GGGGGGGGGAGTTCACAGTGATTTCCACTGGGGGTAGGGAAGTGGAGGGGGAGGGTTTACAGTTGTAGATAATGTTTTTACCTATGATGTTCAGTGTATGAAAAAATGCAGCTATTCATTTTGTGTAAAAGTTTTTCAGACTTCAGATTTTTCAGACTTCAGTTCAAACTATGACTTCTCCTTGCTGCCTTTTAGGTTCAGACAGTCCTCTACTGTGTACGATTGGAATGTATACCAACAGTACAGGGAGGGACTCGTGTCTTCACTGTATGGAGCGCTACATCTGCTTTGTGGGAGAGGCTCCCAGGATCTGTCCACAAGGTATGAGGTTCAAGTATTTTCAAGCTGTATATTTTTTTTGGGGGGAAGGCTCAGTTTTTTTGTTTGTTTTTTTCTTTCTGTGTTGATAAATTCACTGGAAGGGCAAGCAGTTGTTTTCACATCTTGAGCATGAAAAACCTTTTGCGCAAATGATTACTTATATGACACAGAAATTCATCTTTAGTTGGTTTTTTTTTTTTTTCTCTTTTGATAATTTCACTGGAAAGAGCAAGCACTTCGTTTTCACATCATGAGCACGAAAAACCTTAACTGCGAATAATTACTTGTATGACACAGAAAGTCATCTACAGAAATCTTTTAACTGATGTCGTAATACAAATCCTGTTCCTTTTTTCCCTAGCTTTAAAGAATTGACTGCATATTGACCACCATATGACAGAGATGTAATAGCCCTTGGAATAGTATTGTCGGGCACTCTAGTTTAACTTACACCTCCAAGAAAGCCAAACCTCCTAAATGGAGACTTGAGGGCTCGTAACACTACAGAGAATACCCTTGTAGGAAAATCTATTACTTATAAAACTGTACGATAGAAAAAAATGTAAAACGAAGAGAATGTTATTGTCAGTGTGATGAGTGGACGTAATAAACAAAAAGACAGGATTTTGGTTTGCTTAATAGGACATAGATGAGTTGTCCCTTGTTATAAAACATTCGTGAAGGAGTAATATAATGTGAATAATGTTGCAGACATGCTGTGGGTATACTAGTTGTGGTAATGCTTTCCATTCTTAGAGCAGGGTAAACATAGTTCAGCTTAAATGAGCTCCCTGGTTTGGTCTGTTCCAACTAAGATAAGAAGTTGTTGTCTGGAAACCTGCACATTGGTGTGGTGTTTCACCACATACACATAATCATGCACATGTGCGTGCACCCCATACATACATACTCTCCCATACATCCTCTTTTCCACACATATTTTACAGATACACACAAAATATATGCTAACTCTACAAACAGACCCTCAGCCACATGCGTACGATATAAATTAACTATTATTATTGTTAACAAAAATAAAGAATAAGCTAGATACGCAATCAATATTCTGATAGTAATCTACTTAGATTGCTTTCATTCTTTCTCTTATCCTCATCTGTATCTAATCTCTCTCTCTCTCTCTCTCTCTCTCTCTCTCTCTCTCTCTCTCTCTCTATCTCTCTGTCCTTTTCTTCCTCCCACCCTCTATCCACCCATGCACCCATTCGTCCATCCATCCATCTATCCATCAGTTTATCTGATTGAAACTGTGCCACTTAGTTTTGAACCACAACTCTCCTCCCCACCATGCAGGAAGCTACTGTGTGGCCAGCACAGCCCTCATCCCGGTGACTATACCCACACCGTGTCCGACCGGTACCTACGGCGCCACCGATGGACTGGCCCAGGAGACAGATTGCTCGACCTGTACAGCTGGCAATTACTGTGAAACAGAGGGTGAGTGGGCTTAGGAAGCAGCGCTGTTCTGTTGCAGTATTCAGTTTTCAACGACTCTCAAGCTTTGGAAGTCACTAAACGTTGGCGGCCTTTTCTTGCTAATGTTACCGCTGAAACCAGGTGCCCCCCACCCCTTCAATCGCAAATATCTCGACATTTATTCAACTTAAATGGGTATTTTTTTCATTGAAAGATAGGTAAATGAACAAGCTTTAAGATGATATCAATAACTTCACATGACCAAAAATTGACCAGTGCCTGATTCCACCAGGTCGTGACACAATTGAACCTGCTTTACCACTCACCTCTCTATCGTGGTCATCTGTACTAATGGCCACTGTTCTATGACACCCTTGTGTTTTAAAAATATTTTGTAACCTGTCCATAGTGGTCTCTGTCCAACATGGTGAGGATCAGTCCTTTTCACAAGTCAGCCTCAAACACTGCTTGTCATAGCAATCACTTGTTACCAAAGATTTCTGTAAGCCTGTCCTCAGATTGGGTGTGTCCATTCACTCAATGCCGAGATGCTCTCGTAATTGATAACATTTTGATAGCATTGAAATGGAAAGATAAAATTAAAATTTCAGATCTTAAACCTTTAGTTGACTCTTTTAAGTTTAGTAAGTGACCATAATAACTCAAACCTTGTCGACCATAGCAGCTACCTACCAACAGTGGTTACTTTTTTCTGTGATTTTGAGTAACTATGTTGGACAGTTACGACTGTATTATCTGTGCTGTTTGGTTTGTATCTTATGCCCTGTGTTATGATACGCATGATAGGGCTAATAATACCCAGTGCCCATGGGCACGATTGGTGCGGTTTGGTACGGTTTGCTAGCCAGATTTATGCTGCAAAGTGGCTATCTTTGCACAACCTGATTGCCCGACTCGTGGCCTAAAAAACAAACATGTTTATTTTCAGGCGACGAGTTTGGCAATCGGGTGGTGATCGGTTTGCCAATCACCCAAAGGGCACTCTGTATAAGTAGGCTCTGTTTGATTATAGTTGAGGAGAGAAGGTCCGTATTTCATGCCCTGTGCTTGTGCTATGTGAGTGGGCTTACTCCTTGAGATGGAAGAGAAGGGCAGTGATATAAAATAAGGATCATTAAAGGGCCAGAAAAATGTAAGACAACAAGCAGTAAGAACAGATGAATGGTTTCCTTGATCTGTACTTGAAGACAAGTATGGAGGATGCTAAGCTTATTTAGTTCTTTGGGAACATGGAAAAGAATATCCTTTAGTTTTAGTAAAAGTTTTACGACACTTGCAACACGATAAGGTCATATAAGTACCAAAGATTAGAAGTGTTACAAGAGAGTAACACACACAAAAAAGGAGGAGGAGAGAGAAGGGCGATAGTTTTTTTTATAGGAATGAAGGAGCAAAATACACCAGAGCACCTTCCAACCACCAACAAGAATATCCTTGTCTCTGGCATGAGGTGTTGGACTTGCAATGAAAGTGCTATATTTAATTTTCCAGCTGGGGTGGATTGTACTGCTGTTATTTCTTCTCTTCCAAAACATGGAGCTGTGGGTACCTCAAAAGAAGTAGTGAGTAATTCGTAACTGTCAGCTTGCCAGTTTTCACTTATGTAAGCCAAATTAAGGAAATCGAAATAACCTGAAAACTCTATAAATACTCTGAAAGTTGCCCTTTGCCAGTTTTCCTACCACTTTGTCAGCAATTTAGATCACTCTAAAATTATCAAATTATTTAGATGAGCATTCCATGATGCATCATCATCATCATCATCACTACCTTTCTCACCCTGCACCATGGCGGGTATAGGCCACAAACAAACACCTTTCACTTATCTCTATCCTGAGCTTGCCTTTTGATGTTTAACATGTCTTCCCACTTTTCTGTACATCTATTTCTGTGATTCTTCTCCTGGTATTCCATGATGCAATGGGTTTATTTTATTGATTGTTCTGTAAATTAAAGGTTAATGACACTCATATGACCTTATGCAGCTGCGAGACAACTTACTAACCTTACTAAAACAAACAAACACTGTTAAAGGTTTTTTTCAGGATTTTTTAAAATGTCACCAGGTCAGAGCAATGTCACAGGGCCAATCAGTGCAGGGTTCTGGTCCCTGCGTGGTTCAGACGTTCCATCCCCTGCTGACACGGACAACCCAGACCGAGGAATCTGTCCCAAAGGTTTCTACTGTGTGGAGGCCAGTACTTACCCTGAACCCTGCCCATCTGGCACTTACGGGTGAGTGCTTGTTGTGTATTTGCGTTATATTCATCACAACCTTGTGTGTTCCCAAACCACTGATGTAGCTTCAATTTTAATGTTTAAGTCTAGGACCATATTATATTGTAGTTATTTTTGTTTCTGTACTGCCTATAACTCAGTACCTCTGCTGCTGTAATTTCACCTTTCTGCTTGATACTACTAGCTGAGAGCTTCCAGTAAGATGTTGGTTTTAATAAACACTATATCTTTGCTTCAGATATGTTTTCTTTCAGTGTAAAAACACGTTGGATTGAGTTGTACACCACTGCATCTGTATCATTGAACAGGATTGTAATGTGTGCGTTTTATGTGGAGATGCTAAGTGTTTGTATGTTGATGTTCTGGTATATCCACTCAAAATGTTCTTGTAAATCTATAGTTTACCCTTACCTTACCTTACCTTACCTTACCTTACCTTACCTTACCTTACCTTACCTTACCTTACCTTACCTTACCTTACCTTACCTTACTTTATTTTACTTTACTTTACTTTGCCTTGCCTTGCCTTGACGTGCCTTGCCTAATCTCACCTTACTTTGCCCTACCTTACCTTACGTGACCTCACCTTATCTTACCTTGCCTTACATAGCCTTGCCTTGCCTTGCCTTGCCTTACCTTACCTTGCCTTGCTTGACCCTACCTTGTCTTACCTTACCTTAACTTACCTTACCTTACCTTTACTCACCTAATCTTAAAACAATTGATGTTCACTCTATACCGAAATGCTTCCAGCTTTGCCGTCCAGTATGATGAGCTAAGTGACTGCATAAGCTGCCCCGGTGGCCACTACTGTCCCTACCAGAACATGACCACCGATGGGCTCAGCTGTGATGCCGGTTTCTACTGCTCTGGGGGCTCTTCCGAGGCTGCTCCTTTGGGCCAGGCTTATGGAGACGAATGCCCTACAGGTAACACTCCAGTACATTCTAATTCTTCAACGCAATGCCTTCACGCTGCATGACAGATATTATCGCGACCTCAGTTCTTTCTTGTCCTATCTCCATTCTTTTAAACATTGAAAATGTGCCTTTTTCTTAAGCTCACTCTTTGTTATGAACTGTTTTCACTGTTATTAAAAATGGAGATAGGACAAGAAAGCACTGAGGTCACGATATGGCAAGTTTAGGAGTCTGGAACATTTTCCTCCTTTGTGGATTGAATTTTTTTTTTCTTTTGTCTTGACACTGACTTGCTCCTGGGCGGCTATCTAAACCTCTTTATTTCCCTTTGATGAATATATTTATGGGTGCATGTTGCTTTCTCCCACCCTGCCATCCTTCCATCCTCCCATCCTCCCTTTCTCCCACCCCTCCATCCTCCCATCCTTCCTTTCTCCCATCTTTCCTTTCTCCCATCCTTCCATCCTTCCTAACTACATCCTCCCTCCCTCCCTCCCTCCCTCCCATCCTCCAACACTTTTTTCCTGCCAAGCCCCCATCCTCACACCCTTACATCCTTTCATCCTTCAACCTTTCCATCCTCCCATCCTTCCATCCTCCCACCTTTCCATCCTCCCACCCTTCGGTACTCCCACCCTTATATCCTTTCATCCTCTCCTCCTACGTCCTCCCCCCTCTCCGTCTACCCATCCTTACATCCTTCCTTTCTCCTCCCACACTGCTTCCATCCTCCCATCCTTACATCTTCCCTTTCTCACCCCCCCCCCCATGCTTCCATCCTCCCATCCTCTCACCCATAGTATATCCTCTCATTCCCTCCCCAGGCTACTACTGCCCATCAGGGTCCTCCGCCCCTCTCCCCTGTGTGGCCGGCAAGTACACAAACAGAACCCGTAGCTTCACTTGCCTGGACTGCCCAGATGGTCACTACTGCCCACAAAACACCAGCGACCCTATCCCGTGCCCTGAGGGATACTACTGTGGGCCTGACACTGCCATCGCCACCGCCAACCCTTGCCCTGTGGGGACATACAATAATGAGACAGGGATGAACGAAGTCTCCGACTGCATTGCTTGTTTGTCTGGGTAACACTTCTTTTTTGTAATCATAAAAGTCTTGGTAATTTACTTGTAATCATAAAGTTCTTGATAACTTACTTGGTTTGAACAGTTTCTAATTTTTATAAGTTTTACTTGTATTTGGGTTAGCAAGGGGAGCCTTCAATTTTCGTGGAAGATGGAAATGTTTGTGTTTGTTTGTTTGTGTATGTGTGTGTGTGTGTCTGTGTGTGTGTGTGTGTGTGTGTGTGTGTTTATACTCATTATGGGATTTTTTTCATTGCTTTGTATACTAAACATGAAATTACCTTAATTGTCTGTTAATATAAGTGGTCGTTTGTGGGTGTGTTTAGGTGCTGGAAATGTATCTGTGTGTGTGTGTTTGAGTGTGTGTGTGTGTGTGTGTGTGTGTGTGTCTGTGTGTGTGTCTGTGTGTTTGTGCACGGGATCTCACAAAGTGATCTTTTTCTTCCCAATGTGTACGCTGGATATAATTAACCTAAATTGAATGTAAAAAAATAAAGACTGACAAAGGTCTTTAATTCTCTCTCTCTCTCCCTCCCTCCCCCTCCCTCTCCCCTTCTCTCCCTACCCCCCCTCTCTCTATCTCTCTCTCTCTTTCTCTCTCTCTCTCTCTCTCTCTCTCTCTCTCTCTCTTTCTCTCTCTCTCTTCCCCTCCCTCTGTGCAATAGGTTCTACTGTGGTTCTCAAGGCATCGCTTTCCCCGTTGACCTATGTGGAGCGGGCTGGTACTGCACAGGGGGCGCAGTCTCCGCACAGCCTAGTGACCCGGCCCAGGGTGGTCAGTGTGAAGCAGGAAACTTCTGTCCTGAGGGCAGCTCTGCCATGGTCCCCTGTACACCCGGGACGTACTGCCAGGATGCTGGTGAGTGGAATGACTTTATGTCATGACTTCGTTGTTAACCCTTCCAGCCCCACGCAAGTATATTTTTAGCAGCGCTTGTACCTCACACCGTCCCAAGAGTGTATATTCTCAGTTTAGGTGGGGCCACCGAATTTACGCATATTTCAAAATTAGCCAACCTAATCCATTAAACTTGAATGTTCATGATATTTATTCATTTACTTTTAGACATTATATGTTATTATCTAAACCTCATTACAAAGATACTACTTTACCTTTTAGAATGAATGCCTCTTTTTCTGAAATACTGCTGTATTGGCTGGGACTGGGGCTAGGCAGTACACAAAAATGGCTGGACTGGAAGGGTTAACCTTTCTCGACAACAGCTCAAATAACTTGATAAAACAATGTAATGGCCATGTTGGGAGTGATTGTCTCCCAGCCAGCGCTCGCACCAGCAACAGAAATTAGTATACCTTAAAGTTTGAGCTACTAATGCACCTGTACATAAGGTGCTCCAACTAATTTATTTTTTTCAATCTGAACTTTTTTCACTAATATGCCGCAGCAGATTACACAACACAGATATGCACATCACATTTATTCAGAGCCATCATCATCCTGTCTGATGAATCCACCGAAATCTTCTACTTCTGTGTCAGAGTTGGACAAATCGATTGAGTGGTGTTGAGGAAAATGTATCAATTTTTTTATGTTTTAGGTTTATGCCAAGAATATGTAGGTAAAGGAGTTACTCTCCTGCAATAGGGAGACTGCAAATAAGCCGCATCGCCGGGCTGAGGCGACCATCCCCAATCCGACGGGTCCCAGGTGGCGAATATGAAACAGCCACTGTAATGGAGGTTAGCTGTGAATATGTTGAATAAGCAGCCCCGAACCAACTGGCGATGCTCTTACCAGGATGGGGTGAGGTGGCAGATGGTCACCCCAGCCCGGGAACGAGTGATCATCTTCCAACTAAGAACAGAACACACAAGACTGAGACTACATACGTACAGATGTTTTAAACTATTACAATCACCAAAATGCCACTGCAGCGAGGCGGACCAAACTGTTAAACACATTCTTCAGCACTGCAGAACACACAGGGCCCTGAGACAGGAAACATGGCCAACCCCACTACAAGAGAAGCTATACGAGCTGACAGATGAACTGAGTAGGACTGCCCAATTTATGACAGATACCGGAGTTCAAGTGTGATGCAATTAAGAAGAAGAAGAAGCAGCATCGTTCTTTAAGCCGCAGGGTATAATTAAAGCTGAGGAAAAAAGTCGCAATGTATAGCTCAAACTTTAGGCTACTGTACTCATGAGAAATATGCTTGTAAACTAAACCTGTCCAACTTCCCAGGAATGTGATTAACATTCTCTTAACGTTTGATTAACAGAAGTAAACACAATTCTTTTTTTGCTTGCTGGGCAATAGTATAAGTGGCTGACTTGATAAGCCATGTAATTCTATTCCCTGCTTTGTTGCAGCAGGTTAAGGTTAAAATGTTTGCAAACGTTACCACTTGTAGCATTAAAAAGATAAGTTTCAAGCTACAAACTTTTATTACCCACCAAGATTTTTAGAAAGGAATGAAGATATAATTTATGAGGATAGATCTACATTTGTTAAACGGGCAAGCAGATATTTCTGATTGATGAAGAAAACAAGTAAATTCAATATTGTAGCTTCTAGCTACTAGACATGCTGATTTACGAGAGTTAGGGAAGGTTCAGCTCAGACGTGTATTACTTTTACTTTAGTTACAGCGTAAATCTTATGTTTGTTTGTGATGTGTTCATTCAGTTTTCTCATATTCTTTTTTGTGATACCCGAGTTCATGTTTGTTTCTCTGCAGAGCTGTCTGCACCAACTGGCAACTGCAGTGCTGGTTACTACTGCCTTGCTGGCTCACCGACTGCTACCCCCGTGGGACAGGCTTATGGTGAGGGACTTGGCATAGAAAATATGGATTTTATGATTCAATGTTAGTTTTGGAAAAAATATTTAGTGATGAAAGACTTCCACTACTGGAGAGTTAACATCCATTTCTTCACATCAGCTAAAAGGAACTGCCCTCAGTTTAGTGTCAGTTGACCTTGATGTGGCGAAAAAAATCCTCAGTTGGTACGTTTTCTGCCTAGGTCTAATTTGAAGTTACCAATAAAAGCTTCCTAACAGAATGAGAAAAATTGTTGTCTCTTTTAGTCTTTGTATTTAACAAGCTTTTTGAATGGAGACCTCTTTGAAACGGCAACGGATTTACCTAGGTGTCGTAGTGAACATCAAATGTTTTACATACAAATATGAAATCTATTGAAGTAAAAACCAGAAATCAGCTTGTTTATGTGTTTAGCTTGTGTGTATGTATGTGGCTATTAACACTCATGCAAACAGCTATGCTGACCATAACTATATTTTGCAGTGAGAGGCAGCTGCTATCGTTCTTATTTTTAAATTTTTAAAAATTCCTTGCCCATTTATTAGAGATTGAAGCCATCTGATTAGTAAAAAAAGTGCGCATGATAGTGTCCAATAGTGTATTACGTGCATTCTTAGTATGACAAGAAACTGTAACTGATAGAGATTCAAGGATTATAGATGTAAGTCATTGATCTGTGAGCATAGATGATTTTAGAAATAATGGTGGTGATGAGTGATGATGTGGGGCTGCATTTTAGTAATGTTAGCGTTAGTCCTATCTTCCTCTGCTCCAATGAGTCACGAAACTGTTATTATTATTACTATTTCCTGGAATTACTTTCTATGTAGGTTCTGAGTGTCCAGCTGGTCACTACTGTCCTGAAGGCAGTTCAGCCGGGATACAGTGTCCACCCTCAACATATCTGGACACCACAGGCGCACAGACGGAGGCCGAGTGTCACACGTGTACACAGGGCTCCTACTGCGCTGGTAACGGCAACACAGCTGTGTCAGGGCCGTGTGACGCTGGCTATTACTGCCCCAGTGGCATGAACATGTCCAGCCCTGCCGAGTACACTTGCCCTCAAGGTAATGGCTTGGGGATCTCATTTAGTGTTGGAGAACTGCCCCTGTGTACAGTGCTTTAAAGTAAATTGAAGTGTGGTTATGTGATCCTTAAGTGTAGAATAAATTATGATATAAATCTATGTGAGATGTGCTGACAAAATGAGTTATTTCTTCTCAAATTCAAGATATAGATACATCACTCTTATAGGTGAAATTTTTACAATTTATATGCACAAAGTAATTGAAGGCATGTAATAGTTAAAGAATATGACATCAATAGAAAATCTACAAATTTGACCCTTGTGTTGATTTTTGGTCAATATCTCCATCTGTGGACTGCGCGAAGTAACTCATTTTGTCAGCACACCTCACATTTGTATATCAGCATTAGTTTTCTGTCTGGTGTTTGGTGACTGGTATGGATTCTGGTGAGGTCCCGTTATTTGATGTCTACTCTTCGCTAAAGGCAGCCTTAATTTTGCTGATCTGCTGTAAAAAACATTTCATTTCTTATCTCATTGATTTCTCAGCACTGGACTTAGTATGGTTTGCTTCTTTTATTTTTGTTTACTGTGGAGTGTAACTGCTATCGTGCTGGCTCATTGTAAACGGCCCTTTTGTACTTTCCTGTCCATGCTGTGGTCATTCAGCGGTCACTCTGGTGGGGTTACTCCTTCCATGTCTTAGTGAGTTTTTTAAAGTCCTAGTTTGCTTCTGGATACTTGAGTGATATAATAGGGTAGAAGAAGCTGTATTCAAAAGTCTGATAAGGGTGTGAGTTTATATAGAAAAATGAGAATGTAATTATGGGTCTTTATGTTTGTATAGGTCAGAATTCCGTGTAATTGGGAAAATGAAGTTGTTTTCATTTCATCAAGTCTTATCCAAAATATCTTTAGGTCTAAGAGCTATAATTATAACAATAGGAATTACTTTTGTGTTCTTCTTATCTCACATAGTTTCATATCTCCTTGTTTCATCACGACTGCTTTTATTGACCACTCATTCTCAAAAGTTCTAACTTTACAAAATCAATGTTTGTGGACATGTTTCTCTTCCCAGGACATGAATGTCCGAGTGGCAGCCACTCTCCCGTTCGTTGTGCCGGAGGCTCATACCAGGATGAGACGGGTCAAGGGTCATGTAAGACTTGCCCAGCAGGCTTCTACTGCGACAGCACTTTGGACCCAGTAGTCCTGTACAATGGCACAGTCTGCCCTGTTGGTGAGTTCAGTGGTCCATAGATTATTATTTAGATTTATGCACTTTTATACTGCTTTGGGCTGTTTTATGTATGTAATTATTTGTGTTTTTTTAAAACAGTTTTTCTGTTTGTCCATTCTTGACTTGCGGAAAGTGTGTTGAACTTGTACCGTATTGTGCCACTATCAATTTATTTAAAGTTGTTATCTAATGATCAAAAGCTTTTATGTCTCAGATGTGGCTCATTTCATGGCGTACTCGATATGCATCATTTTCTAAAGTGGGGAGAATGCTGTGATATTTCTCTTGTTGCGTCTCTGTTCATTTGCTGTCTGGCCTGTCACAGCATTATTGTGAATGTTTCTCAGTGTGTCATGAAGCTGTGCTGTGTCCAGTATCCATTCATCTGTGTATTATCTTCAGTCGCTGTCTACCACGTGTTTAAATAAAGCCAGCTTGCCCAATATGGCTGTACATCATACTTTTTGACAGTATCTGAGTCCTGTTCCACAATGTATAAAATGTTTGTTGAAGATGCTTCATAAAACAACAACTAAATGTAGGAAGCTACTGTTGACTCTGTATATAAATTATTGAACTTTTGCAACAGGGTCTTTCCAGTATAGAATTTGGACAGAAACAATCCACCTTACTATGTCTTTTCCCTCACACAGGCCATTACTGCCCCAGTGGCACCAGCTACGCCACCCAGTTCAGATGTCTTGCTGGTTCCTACAGCAACAACACAGGACTGCAGGCTGCTGCCCACTGTACCCTGTGCCCAGGTGGCTACTACTGTCCAGCAGAGGGTCAGACAGACTACAACGACGTCTGCCAAGCTGGGTAAGTGTACTTGAAAATGGTGAAATGGTATGGATTTAACACCTCTATCAACATAGAATAATAATAATAATGATAATTGCCTTTATAAAAGAACATATTCATGCTCTATGCGCGTTACAACTATTAGGTTATTAAAGAGGTGGGGCCTCTGAGTTTAATGTCCATCTCCGAAAGGACCGAGCCAAATGGGAATTTTGTGTAAAATGCCTTTGCCAAGGACACAAGGTTGGACCGAGCTGTGCATACATGTGATACTGATGCAGTTAGGATGTGAGGTCAACGTCTTCCTTTTGGTAGCAAAATTTAGGCCGCAATCCTGCCATGCAGCATAAATGTTTTACAACAGCTGTGAATCGTATAGTGGTCTCAATTCAGTACGTGCTATTGTCGTTGTTGTTCATTTAGAGAATCATTACTTTCTCTCCCAAATCAAGTGCCTAGAAGTCTTTAGTTTTAGTTGTTGATCCGTTTTAGTTTCTTTTCAGAGGCTTGTGTCTGGGTCAGGTGTAGGAGGGTTGCCATACTAAATGACATACATTAATCAACAGACATGCATATTGTTCAAAATTCCAAGCTTGTTTCTTAATTTACCTAGGATGTGCCACTTGTGTGCAATGCAGACAAATAGAGCAACATTCTGCCATCCTGTTTAATGGACATGAGGCAAAGCTTTATTTTTTTTTTTTATGAATTGATTAATTTATTTTGGGTAAGTGGGAGGGAAATGTTGTCCATAGTCATAACACAATGATTTCCACATAAGACTTCATATCTCTGTTTATAATGTATGTGGAGCTTGGAGGTCTGACACGACACCTGTGATATGTGTTTACAATTTTGAAATTAGTATCTGATGAAAGGTCGTTGAGTTGTACTTTACAGGTAGACAGCATGGCTATCACCTAGCATAAGTTATGACTCAAGTAATACAAAAGAAGTAAAAGAAGCAGACTGCACCATAGTTCCCAGGAAGCGACTGATAGATTAACTCTTAATCTCTGGCAAGCTGTTGCCAGTGGCTCGGTGTTGGAACCACTGTGCAGGTGAGCCGCTCACAGCGGCTAGGCGCTTTCCTTTACAACGACCTCGACATCAAATTACTTTTCAGCAATAGGCCTTTTTTGCTGGGAGTTCATTCATTAGATGAAAAAACTAAAATAATACGTTCTGTTGTTTTGATGTAATGACGTTTTTGTCAATTTTAGATTTGGTACCAAAAAAGGGCCCCAGCATAGTGGGTCCCCCCCCCCCCCCCCCCCCCGCCCACACCCCCTCAGAGATAGAGAGTAAAAGCATGCAGTTTTTGCCTATAAATGGGACAAAGCTACAGTATTTCTACGTTTTAAATTTAGCACTGAGCGATACAAGGTTTCTTGAAGTTTGAACCTTTAATATCTCTCTTTCAGATTCTACTGCCGGCAGGGTGCTGCCTCTGCCTCTCCAGCCCAAGGGTATGATGCCGATGAGTGTCCCAGGGGTCACTTCTGTCCGACACAAACAACTGAACCCCAGAAATGTCCTCAGGGGACTTTCTCTAATGACACCAGACTCACTGACCAATCTCAGTGCATGAACTGTACTGCTGGTGAGTCAAGATATTTCAGTTGTCTACCCTTTGACTTGAATGGATGATTATTTCGTGTAATTTGTATTTGACATGCTGTTTTCAAAACTACATGTTATGTTTGTATATTGTGAATGATTTAACATGGCATCGATAGAAAATCTTCAAATTTGACCCTAGTGTTGATTTTTGGCCAATATATCTAATTGTGGATTGTGAGAAGTTACTCATTTTGTCAGCATGCCTCACATTTGTGATTTGGTAAATTCACATCCTTTCTTCATTCTGTGTTTGCCTAGGCTTCTATTGTGCGGAGACCAACCTGACAGAGCCCACTGGTCCATGCAGTGCTGGCTACTACTGCCCTGAGGGCTCCGTGGTTGCCACACAAGTGGACTGTCCTCCGGGCTACTACTGCAATGAGAGCAGTGCTGTGCCCACAGCTTGTCTCAAAGGTAACAACAGTTAGTTCTCTTGCTCTTCTCAGTGGAGACGATGTGCAACTGAAAGGGGGGGGAGGGGAGTGGCATCGTTAGCCTAATGTTTAGGCTACTAGACTCATAATCGTAAGGTTGTGTGTTCGAAGGTTAGAGCCTCAGCTCGGTCCGATATTGTGTCCTTGGGAAAAGCACTTTACACAAAATTCCCATTTGGCTCCGTGCTTTCAGAGATGGACGTTTAACTCAGAGAAATAACCTACTAGTGTTGATAGAAGCGTTAAACCCATACCACTTTTTTGAAAGGGGCAAAGGCAGATGCCAAGAAACTGGACAAAACTTGTAGCCTATACAATAGAAGAAAAATGCAAAGGATGCATCGATGGTTGAGTGAAAGACTCTGACAAACATAAATTATTATATTGTAAAATTACGTTTGTCGGAATCTTGCATCTAACCATCAACCTGTCTGCAGAGGGGAATTGTTTTTCATTTATGCTCCATAAGGAGTTAAAAAGCAAAAGGAGAGAGAGAGATATTAATTTTGGAGCTTATCAATTGAAAGTTACTTTATTTCTATTTCAGTTTGTTTATTATTTATAAGATATTCATTATTTCAATGTAAAAAAAAAAAAATTGATCTCATATTTTCACAAACAGAGCAATATTTTTGTTAATGAAAAATCTCATATTTTAGTAAATAAGAAATGTAATACATTTATGAATGAAAAATCTCAAATTTTAAATAACGGAAGTCTCAAAATGGTGCTTCCCTTTTTTCTCAATTTCCATACCAGTTTCCTGTCTCCCCAGGGTAAACATAATAGTAGCCTATATCTATATTTTTATTGCCCTCAGAAGATAACAATGTCAAACATTCATTTGTCACATTGACTCAATCATGTTATTTATAACTTGTTTTCCCCTCAGGCACCTACTCCAACCAGAGCAATGCCCTTTCAGTGTCCGAGTGTGACCTGTGTCCAGGTGGCTACTACTGTGAGACGGACGGCTTGACCACACCCACAGGGGAGTGTGAACCAGGTGCGTGCATGCGGGGGTCAGCCATTTTCTGTTGTCAATAAAATATTACCTGATTAGCCGACTTGCTCACAGCAACAAATGGGAGAGGAAGATGTGCAGCTAAAACAGCACCTGGACATGGATGGCTACTGCCTCTATATATAAATTATTGATGGTCAAGGAAGATGTGCGCTTGTAATGTAGAACAATCTCCATAATAATGGGGCAAAAAAGAGAACAGCGACAGTGTTAAATTAAATTACCTTTATATTGGAAGTTACGATAATATCTCTGATTAGAGATAGCCCTCAAATTGAGCTCACATATTAGGCAGAAGTTTCAATTTCAAAACGGAAATTGAAAATAAAGCAGCTTTTAACGTGCTTATATTCCTATTCTCGTTTTGTTCTTGGTCCCAAGGATTGCAGTACTGCTCATACCTACGTATACCTTAACATGGTATCTTGACCTACACCAAAGTGGGCATTGCCCTACCTGTAGGAAACATTTGGTTTCGTTGGTGTGTATATTTGTTTGGTTATAGAGAAAACTCTCCTTGTCTTTAAAAGAAACTGAACAAAGGGCAAAAACTTTATCGATTTTCTCAAAACTGCATTTTTCAGGAAAGCCTCCTTGTGCTTAAAAGCAACCAATCGTTATTTGACATTTCCATTCATTTTGCTTTTTTTTACCTTTGTATCTAGGTTACTTCTGCCCTGAAGGCTCTGTGTATAAAGATGCAGTTGGAAACGAGTGCCCAACTGGTCATTTCTGTCCTGGAGGCAATGCTGCAGCTCTGCCTTGTCGGAATAACAGTCACGTGAGTCGGTCCCTGGAAGCTGTTGTTGTCTGATGGCTCTGAGCTCAATTGGTGGTCTATTTGAAAACACATTTCTGTGTGCATTTTACTGGGAAAATGTTAATTTAAGGCAAAAGAAAATAAATTTGCAGTTTCTAAGGACTCTCAGGCTTTGGAAGTCGCTACACTTTGGCGGCCATTTTCTCCCTAATTCTACCTCTGAAACCATGCTACCCCCACTTCCTTCAATTGGAAATACTTTGAATTCTGTTTATGATAGTTCGGCGGTTTTTTTCATAGAAAGCAAGGCAAGTGAATAAGCTTTCAGCCTGATCCCACCACGTCATGACATTTTTTTCAACTTGTTGCACGGGAAGATTGGGTTCTGATGTCATAATGTATATTTAAGCAGGACTAAGGTAGGTTAGTAGTGTACAGTGGCTATAGTTTGTTTTTTCAGGAGACATGGCAAGGTGTTCTTTGTGCATTCTCTGGCCTAACCAGTTTTGTCTGATACATTCAGAATGTTTTTGTATTCTGGTTCCCTGTAATGAATTTTGATAAGGATTTTGAACACTAGAAATCTATTTAACTTTTTGATTCTTCTCATTTAGGAATTCATTAATCCATAGTGTCAAAATTCATTACCAATCTTTATATTATGAGTCTTGGGACTTTTTCAGTGCTTACAAGATATGAACAATTAAAAAGAAGACAGCTGAGAACGAAGTTTTGTTTACCATACCATTGTTATAGTTTCGAAGCGTGAATAAATCAAATGTTCTATGTGTTTTGTTTCCTGTCGTGGCAAATATTTTCAAGTGTGATCCCTGCTCCCAGGTCAACCACACTCACGCCACTGCCTGCTATGACTGCCCAGCCGGCTACTACTGCGAACTGGCCGGTCAGTCCATCATCTGTCCTGCGGGCTACTACTGTCCGGCGGGTACTGGCCTTGACTGGCAGGCGTGTCCTCGTGGCACATACAGCGACGTCCCTGGTCTGTATGAGGAGTCGCAGTGCAAACCGTGCTCGGCCGGAAAATACTGCGATGCGGAACATCTCACTGCTGTGTCTGGTAGGTAGCTTGAGAAAAGTTAATAGTGCATGATGATGATGATAAAGATGATGATGACAGAGGCTGAGACGCTGACAAAGATGAGTTGTATTCTTGTCTTAATGAATACGATGTAGTCGTATACAGTTCTGACTATACAGTATACAGTATATAATTCTGGTATGAGTGTTTACAGAATTACTTCTCTTTTTTTCTCTCTCTCTTTCTCTCTTTCTTTCTCTCTCTTTTTCTCTCTTTCTTTCTCTCTCTCTCTCACTCTTTGTGTCTCTCTTTTTCTTTCTGTCTCACTCTCTCTCTCTCTGTCTCTCTCTTTATTTCTCTCTCACTTTTTCCTCTTTCTGTCACTTTCTCTCTGTCTCTGTCTCTGTCTCTCTCTCTCTGTCTCTCTTTCTGTCTCTCTCCCTCCCCCCCCTCTCTCTCTCTCTCTCTCTCTCCCTCTTTCTCTCTCTCTTTCTCTCTCTTTCGCACACATACACACACATTTTTTTCTCTTCTTCTGTCTCTCCTGAATAAATTCTTCTCCTTGTCCATCTCTAAATTTGTAGATCCTTCTCTTTATCTCATTCATTCACTCAAAATCATAAATAAAGTCAGCATCAAAACTTTTACATAACATCACAGACACACAACATTTTTGAAAATGAAAAGACACTTTCAAGTCTTGAATCCTTACAAACAGAAGGTTCACATACCTTTACTATAATGCTCTTTGGCTAGCTTTTTTTTTTTAGTTAATTAAACTAATCGATTTCCTTGAAGGATATACAACATGACAGCCTGCTATGGTATCAAATAAATTTTAATGCTATCATTAGTAATGCTCTTTGGCTAGGTTTTTAAAAAAAGTTAAACTGAAGTGATATTTTTTGTCCTTATTGATTTTTATAAAGAGCTGATGTTATTTGTGGTAGTTTTGTCCCTTGATTCATTGGAATGTGGGTTAAGAAAAATTGAAACCTGGGCTAGTCTTCCTAATTTGATCGATTGTTTTTTCTTTTTGCTTTATTCATTAGAAAAGAGGCAATTAGGTGGAGTTTTTTGTTTTTGGATTTAAGTTGGCCACTTGAGATGTGTTCGTATCGAGAGGTGTTAGTCACTGATGGTGAGTAAGTCACTGGAAGGGTTATAAACACTTTGCGGTCATTTGCTGCAATAATGTGACGGTGGAAATTGTCCATTCAAGTCACTGCTCCAGGCCTGAGAAGTGCGTTGCAGTCACTCTCCTGGCTGGGTGACCAGACGGGGTATTTTTTACTGCTGGTTTTGTGACTGCAAAGTGTTAATCACTGATGGTGTGTTAACCATTGGTGGTGTGTTGTGTTTTCACAGGAGACTGTGCGGCAGGCCACTGGTGTCTGTCCGGTATTGATCGTGCGTATCCTGGGGGAGACAACCAGACCTCTCCTTTGAACAACACCTGTTATGATGATAGGATGGTGGGAACTGGTGGCGTTTGCCCTGTCGGCCATTACTGCCCAGGGGGTGTGGCCAGTTACTTGCCTGTCCCATGCGACAATGGGACCTATGCTGATGTTGAAGGACTTTCGGCTTGCAAGACTTGTCAACCAGGTGAGTTTTGAAGCTCTGTTTTGTTGCTATTTTTCTCTTCATTTCTTTCTCACTTCACCCATCTTTTTTGTGTGCATTTTTACTCTTTGTCTTCTACTATAGAACTTTTTTGTCCTCTGAGGTTTGTTCTCTTAGAAAATATGTTTTTTATTAGAAAATGACGCAATGCTAGCAATTCATTGAAATTTATAGGTGTCGTAAGAAAAACGTATGCTGAGATCTGTGTAAGTTTGTTTTGTTCTGATTATTTACGACTATATGTAAATATGCCTAGTACATGGTCATCTCTCTCTCTCTCTCTCTCTCTCTCTCTCTCTCTCTCTCTCTCTCTCTCTCTCTCTCCACAGTAGAATTGTAAATGGACTGATTTATCAATGTCATGCTCATACTGTGCCAGAACAACATAGGGGGAACTGCTGCTTTTTCTTTCCTCATCCTTACTATCGTCATTTTTCTCTCTACTTCTTTTATATGTTTGTCACTCTCAGGTGAACTGCTATATATGAGGTGCCTTGATAGTCAATGCAGAATTTCTGCTGTTGAGGTTAGAGAGGTGAGCAGAGTAAGCCTGATTCCCTGTTTGGACTTCTCTGTTGACATCCACCCCTTGGCACTCATATGTCCTTATGCAGTTGTGAGCGCTGTAAAACCTTACTAAAACACACAATTGTACACAAGGTGTCTGTTTTCTTTCATCCCTCCTCAGGCTACTATTGCCCAGTGAGTACGGCCAACTACACCGACTTCCCATGCCCAGCTGGTCACTACTGTCCAGCAGCCACTCAGTGGTGGAATGACTACCCTTGTCCAGCTGGAACCTTCAGCAACATTACACTGTTGACAACTGACGCTGACTGTTTGGCTTGCACTGGTATGTCCTTTTAATTACTATTTTTCATATTTTTTAAACTGACATTCTCAAGATTTTCCTTTGATGATTATTTTTAATTTTTTTGAGTCGCAGAGGATGAAAAAATAGTATGAAGTTTTATTATTTGCTTTGTTATTGTGTTGAAGCTTAAAGTTGAGAGAGTGCTGCTCTTGAGTTGAAAGTTTAAGGTGAAAGTAAAGTCTTGACTGAGAATTATGTCAGACCTTTTGTCTATTTCAGTGCTGCTGGCTAATAACATTGTGGCTGTCTAGAGAGTTGACAACTCTTTATGGACTTAACACCCTTATATATCTTTTTGTACAATGGGAGGCAGTTTACAAGTTTCACACTTCTTTTTGATTCACTGAAAGTTTTGACATTCAAAGCAACTTTGTAGTTTTAGAAGTTCTTATACGATTTTCAAGGCTCACTTTTTCCAGATTTTTTGGGGGTTTTTTTCAAGTAAGACCAGTTCATGACACATTACTCAGTTATATTATTATAGCAATGAAAATAAATTAATAGCTTTTTAAAAAAGTGGTGTCATATGCTGGAATTGAATTTTTGCTTTTATTTAATAATGTTATTATGAAAAAGACTACTCTCAAATTTTTTATTTTCAGACGCTTATGTACTTTATTATTTTTCAGACAATCTCTCTCTCTCTCTCTCTCTCTCTCTCTCTCTCTCTCTCTCTCTCTCTCTCTCTCTCTCTCTCTTCCTCTTCTCTCTCTCTCTCTCTCTCTCTCTCTCTCTCTCTCTCTCTCTCTCTCTCTCTCTCTCTCTCTCTCCCTTTTTCCCAATCCCGCTCTCCAAGTCCCTTTCTCAAACCCTCTTCATCAATCTCTATGTTTGTTTCCAGGTGGTTCCTACTGTGGTCAGTCTGGCCTGACAGAACCGTCCGGTCTATGCGATGCAGGCTTCTATTGCAGCGGGAGCTCCAGTGACCCGCGACCTAGTGGTGTTGGAGGTAGTGAATGCTCCCCAGGCTACTACTGTCCTCAGGGAGTTGCTGCTCCTATTGGTGAGTGAGCCTTTATTCCTTATTTTCTTTTTAACTGATTCAGCCGGCAGTGTTGCTCTCAGCGGCTGACAGTCTCTTGTGTTTTGACACAGAGCCGCTCAGAGTAGCTCTTATCTATTGCTCCCTTTTTTTCACATCACATTCCTCTCGTCTTTTTGCCTGACTGCTTACATTTCAACCCTTTTTTCTGGTTTCATTGAATAGTATTTTGTATTCTGAACATTTTTGTAAGCCACACAAAGGGTTTGATAAAATTTAGATATCTCTTTATTAATTTTGTTGTGAAACCACCCGTGAGGTCACAACACGGTCACGAATTATTTGCGTCCAGAGTCAAAATTCACTGCGATCTGAATCAGTTAAGTTTGATCTGCTCCTATTGTGGGCTGATGTGAGGAGCAAATACTGCCAAACCAATAAAGATCAATGCATTTGGAGGCAGGGGGCCATTACAGCAGGTTGGACTGTATTGTTATCTCATCTCTTATCACTGGCATCAAGTTTAATTCTGTTTAATGTTTTTCTTGTAATGTTACCCCATTAAATGAGTATTAGAACTGAGGAAATTCTTTATAGTATGGTAAAAAATAGAAACTTGGACAGTGTGAAAGTATATTCTTTAAGCCTTATGAAATCGTACACTGTCCACATATATCTATATATATCTATCTATATATATATCTCTCTATAAATATATATATATATATATATATATATATATATATATATATATATATATATAAATGTGATTTGTGTGTGCATCACAGAATGCGAACCTGGCAAGTACTGTGCCAACAGCCGTCTTAACGACACCTCCGGGGATTGCCAGGCAGGCTATTACTGTCACAGGATGGCTGTGGTGGCCAACCCCACAGATGGGAATGTCACAGGTAGGATTACTTGTTTAATGCATGTCCTGTTCTTTTAAGTATAAGAGGTGATTTGACGATGTTGCTCACCTCTGAAAAAAGAGGCAAAAAGAACACAAATTCTTTGATTTACTCAGTTCTGTTATTCAATAAGGAATGCTGGTAGAAATGAAATGTTTGGGAATTTATAGAAGTGTAGAATTTGTAGAAAAAATCAGTAGCGCAATGTCTATTATGAAGTGATCTTTTCATTCTCAACTGTGGCCTTTGAGCCACGAGTCTAGTGTGGAGCTTGCTTTGTTTGATTGTCAATCTAAGCATCAGGAGCTACTGAAATAAAAAATAATTATATATTTTTTGGGTTTTTTTCAAACCCTGTGTAGTATTGGCTTGAGAGTTTCCAAACTTCAAATTGAGAATACCAAGTAATCGGTTATAGAGATATATAGGCTAACCTCATAGCCTCACTCATGGTAGGATTTGCATTCTTATACCAACAGCTTTTAGGTTCCTTTACTGTTGTTTTTTATATTCTTTACTTGTAAGAAATATTCTGGTCTCTTTAATATTATGTTTATTGTTATGTTCCATTCATTTTGACTATCTAAATAATTATTTATTATAGAAATTGGAGAAACTAGTTTTTTGATTTTTTGGGGCTTTCTATGATGTCAAGATAAGATATTAGTACTTCACATAGTATTGGTGCTGGTTACTATCCCATAAAACGTACTCCAGTAGCCTCCATTCCTGTGTTTTTTTTAAAAGAAACTTCTGTTTTTTTCTGATCCCCCAAGGTGACATCTGTCCTACCGGAGCCTACTGCCCCATTTCGTCATCAGCTCCGACCCCGTGCCCAGCTGGGACTTACGTGAACGCCACTGGCAGCTCTGACCCAAGCCACTGCCTCGACTGTACTGCTGGCATGTACTGTGACGGTTCCGGAAACTCTGTTCCCGACGGACCATGCCTGGAGGGCTATTATTGCCCTGGAGGTCAAAGTTCACCTAACTCCCCAGACCTGAATTGTACGCTCGGTCACTACTGTCCCGAGGCGGCGTCGGCCCCCATCCGTTGCCCCTCGGGGTCATACCAGGATGAGACCGGTCAGGCCCTGTGCAAGTCGTGTCCAGCTGGCTATTTCTGCGACAATACCATGCAGCCAGTAGTGCTCTTCAATGATTCTTATTGTCCTCAGGTTTGTGGTCAATATTCTTCTCTGATTTCTTTCCCTTCTCTCCAGTGAGTGCCTGTGTCTATGATGTAACGGTTATAAGGCTCTTTGACGTTGCACACAGTAGACTCAAATTCAGTCTCTTAGTGTGAAAGTTTGCTTTTTCAAGTAACTCAGTGTTTCTACCAGGTCGTTATATGGTTGCACAAAGGGGTTGTCCCACAAAATGCTGTTTTGAGAAAATCGAAGGTTAAGTTTTTGCCCCTTTTTCAGTTTCTTTAAAACAGAAGGAGAGTCTTCTGTATAACCAAACAAATACACACGCCAATGAAACCAAATTTCTCCTATAGGTAGGGCAATGCCCACTTTTGGTGCATCAAGATTTCTAGAAACCCCCCGAAATCTGGATAAGCCCGCTTGTTTCCTTACAAGTGACCTTTATATCTTGCTCAGTTCTCATTGACTTTGACAGGCAGTTTATCATCTCTGTCTTCTTTTTTCTTTTTTTTCTATCCTGTTTACTGTGGTGACGAGATCTAAGGATCTCTGACGTGAGAAATTTGTTGTCTTAGGGTATTAAACAATACGTGCTAAGTGTTTTTCCTTTGTGTCAGTGGTGATATATTGTCATTGGTAATTACTGGAAATCTGAGTGTGTTTTACAGCCTTTCTAGGTATTTGTAATATATTTTTTTGTCAAAGGCTTGCTGTTTTAGTCACAAAGAATTTCATAGTTTACAACTTGGTTGATGTTATTTTTAAGGTATGGGCTAATTGTGAAGTTTACGGTATCACCTACTTTTTCATCCCTTTATTATCAATTTAATCTTCTTAAATAAAAACAAACTGAATATTACATGTTAAAACCCACCACACGTTTCTCTTTCAGGGATTCTATTGTCCTGAGAACACCACCATGGCCAACGAGTTCCCCTGCCCACCAGGAACATTCAACAACCTCACACACCAAACAGCATTATCTGACTGTCAGTCTTGCACTGGAGGTTTGTCATTATCACTTCATATGCTGTGCCATGTGTTTTGTTGATGTGGCGTGTTTATGTAGTGTGTTCATGTGTCATTTATTGTATGATGACATAATTGAACAAATAATAGCAATTTTAGGATAGTGAGTTTTATTTAGTAAGTGTTTTACGGCACTTGCAACACAAAAAGGTCACAAAGTGCCGAAGATTAGGGGTATTACAAGAGAGTAGCAGGCACCAAAAAGAAGGAGCAGGGATAAGGACAATAGATGTTTAATAGGAAAGAAGAAACAAACCACACCAGAGCACCTGCCAACGACCCACGGATATTGAGTACTGTTTGCATTGACAACTATGAGTTGTTGTTGTTGTTTTTTTTACATGAAGCCTTCAGAAAAAACGTTTTTGAAAATTAGTAGGTGGATTTCATCTTTCTGTGTTTCAGAATGTTAGTATTGAAGCCTCACTATCACATTTGAGGTGACTGTGACTGGGTATTACCCTTTAATTTTGTCCCTTCAAGCAGATTTTATTTTCAGCATTTTTGTTGTTGCAAGTACAAGTGTTCATTACAGTTGCTCACAGTTTGTTTCTGCAGCTAGGGAATACTTACTGCTGTTGTGAAGGCTGCTCTTTATCTTACCTATGACAAACTCAGTTGGTCTCACGTTAAGAAATGTGTCTTTGTCGTGTACAAGAGTAGTGAATCTGTCTTCACAAGATATGGAATGCTTTGCTAAGTACTTTAAGAGACTTCAAATCCTTTGATTCATTTTAATGTCAGCTGAAGTCATTTCTGTTTTTAAGATAATAAGATGAACATTTGGAGTGATTTTCTTTTGGTCAGAACACAACGTTTTACGTTACTGTTGTACTTTGTATTGTAAAGTGCACATAGCCTGTGTACTTCTATCGGGGCAGAGCACTATATGAATGTCATTTATTATTTATTATTATTATTATTCCCTTCTTCTTCCATTTGTGAGGCGTGCTGACAAATGAGTTATTTCTCACAATCCATGAATGGAGATATTGGCTGAAAATCAACGCATAGGTTATAGTTAGAGATTTTGAGCAAATGCCATTCTCTTCAAGAATAGCATGCCATTTATCATTTCATAGGCCATACTAATAAATTGTAAAAACTCAGCCTATAAATTTGACACACGGCGTCACTTTTCGCCCGCTTCTGTTACTTTTAGTTCGCGTTACTCGGCAGCCCGCCGGAGCTTCCCGGCTCGGGGTCACGGGGTTAATAAGCCCTGAGGCGACTTTGCCGGTGTCGGTTAGGAAGTTCACATTTTTGGTTATGTTTAAAACTATATAACTTCTTCCCCATCCCATATAGCAAACCATTACGCAGATATACTAAATGCTCAATGTCTAGAGATTTATTCTGCGTTAGAATGGTTAATTTCTGTGCCTTAGTTTTTGTTCTAGGCAAGTGTTTGTAGAGTACCCAATTTGTCTTATTCTAGTTACAAACTTATGAATAAATTATTGTTAATTTTTAAAAGTCACGACAGATCTCTCCAAAATCTGTGTTAAACTGACTACGAATATCATGTCTTTTACCATGAGAAATCTTAAATCTGCGCGAGTAGAAATAGTCAAGTTATAAGAGGATAAAGATGCACATCTGCATTTTTTAACTGAAGACGATCAGCGCCAGCTCTTATTTTACTAATAAACAAGAGAAAGTTACTCTGCGTTTGTTCATGAATCATGCTGTGTCTGTGGCAGCCTGCATACAACTAAAAAGATATAATATAGAATCTAAGCGATTAAAAAACCCACAAAACGTGTAAATACATGGGTAGAGATAAACTTGTACGGAATAAAAATAATGACAGCTAACACATTCATTCTTAGTTTTTGTGTGGGAAATATGCGCGGACACAATTATGAATGTAAAGAAATCAGTCACATTGTCAGTTATTGCAAATGGTCATAGAAACGAAAAATAAAGCTGGAAAAGTCTGATACTAATTCAGGGTCCCTGGAAAGCTAGAAATTATTCTTATAACCCAATTACGAGAAGTCATCCCTATTATTCAGTCAACTTACAAAACCTAGACTTAGCGTTTTAAGAAAAGTATGGAATTTCTGGAGTGTAACAGATACTGTTCGTGTATTAGATCTACATTGAAGATGTATTCTAGCACTAAAATCGATTTGTACTTTTCATAGAGAAACTTAATGGTGACTTTTATAAACTTTTGAGAAAATATGTGAATATTCATGATTATATTAGACACATAAAGTTGTATTTGGAGGAAATACTTCATAGCGAATTGTGTGCCCGATGAATAAAGTTGCAGAATTACAGCTTTTTATTATATGCGCAGATACCATCTTTTCTAAGTATCTGCACCAAAGCTATTTCGTTCATGTTCCAAAAGTTTGACAGATTTTAACGAGGCCTTCTTTTTATATTGATTTTTTTTCATTCACGCTAGTCAAAAAAACAAAACAATTTAGCATTGCCAACTCCAGCGCGTCTAACGAAATGACCAGACAAGTTACAACGTCGGTTCTTTTTTGAGTCTCAAGAGCAGAAATGCATGCTTTGGGTGCACTAAATGAGAATTACCATAAATACAAGGATACACCTTAAATTGTACGTTGAAAAGTACCAAAAATTAATTCGGCCCAGACAGAGCGCCGACAGGGAGCTGACCCCCGTGACCCCGACGTGATAAGGCGCCCGGCGGGGAACCCCCCGCGGCAACGAAAAATTCCACTGCCGGTGCGCCGTGGACGTATATATTTCCATTAGGCAAACATCCGAGAAGTAACTCATTTTGTCAGCATGCCTCACATTTGTGGTGAAACGCTGCCGTGATCATGAAATCTTGATGCACATTAGGACTCAACATTGTGCACTCCTCCCCCCCCCCCTCTCTCTCTCTTTAGGTTCTTTCTGTGATCAAGACGGTCTAGCACTGCCAAGTGGCCTGTGTTCTGCGGGCTACTACTGCACTCAGGGTGCCAACAGCAGCACACCAGCACAGTGGCCTGATGCTGACGTGTGTCCCGTGGGCTTCTACTGTCCGGAAGGATCCGCTTCACCAGTTTCTTGTCCACTAGGTAAATAATGTTTGCTTATGAGTATTTGTTATTGGAAAAATTATTTTGTTAGCAAATTTTTTTTCTAGTGGTTATCCTTTTAGTCAGAATAATCTAGTTTAGCTAGATGGTGACATAATTATTATTGTAAAGAGGAATTGTTAAAAATGGTTTTTGCATGCACATTTAGTGCATAATTTTTCAAATTTCAAGTCTTCCATTGCTCAAAATATGCTTTTAATGTGCAAAAAAGAGTGTCACTATATCTTCTCTTATGGGAAATGTAAGTTTGAGAGTATTTATATCTTCCTCACTTGGATATTGAATTTGGTACTTAAAGATGAACTATTTGATGCTATGAATCAGTATGGTTGTCAGCTTTGTTCTGTGATGACACTTGGAGTACAAAAAAGTGCGTGTCCACTTAAGTACAAATGATTCTTTGAAGATAACAGGCTGGAAATGTCAAATATTGCGGTAATAACACATAAAAAATTAGTAACGGATGACTTTCAAGCTTCTTGTCAGGACTGTCTGTGGTTGGAAATTCGTTTAAAATTAAATGTTTTGTCTCAGCTTTTCATTATCATGAGTTAAGATTATTTTTTTTTTCCTGTTATCAGGATGTTGTGATTCATGAAACCAGTTTTAGTGCAATATTATCTTTCTACAAGTTATGGAGGGGAAAAAAATAGGAATCTTGTCAATTTTTTCCCCCCTTTTTCTAATTACATGATGTCTTTCCTAAGGTACATACAACCCATCTGTTGGGAGGAGAAATGAGAGTGAGTGTACAGACTGCTCTGGCGGCCGCTACTGCCCTTACTACAACATGTCTCAGCCTGGGCCCCAGTGCCAGGCCGGTGAGTTGACCACTCAGTGCAGTTTGTATTTCCATGTTAAGTGTTGTCGGTAGCCTTGTGGTTAAGCCACCAGACTCGTAATCATGAGATTGTGGGTTCAGGGGTTCGAGCCTCAGCTAGGTCTAACATTGTGTCTTTAGGAAAGGCTCTTTACACAAATTTCCCATTTGGCTAGGTCTTTTCAGAGATGGACATTAAACTCAGAGGTCCCACCTCTTGAATAACTTAAGTATTGATAGGGGATGTTAAACCCATTCCATTTTCTCCTTTTTCCCCATCTTATCCAGGAGCACTCAGTATCCTTTGGAATCTGGCTCGTCTGTGTTTTCCTCTGGTCTTTTCAAGTGCCAAAGAGCTCTTGACAATTACCGATCAAGACAATAACAATGGTAGAAGTTGGGCACCTGACAGGCTGTGACACTGTATGTCCACATAGCCTTGGGGACTGAGACGGCATATTTGAATTTTCAGGCGGAATGTTAAAGTTATTGTGAAATTGTCTTCGTCTTTGGTTGATAGCAGTACTAGACTCTTCAATGGTACTTTTTTCCTTTACCCTTACTGTATTGTGGGATTAGGTTTATTACATTTTTACAAAGGCAACACATATCGGCCTAGTCATTTCAGAATTCGAGTTTCTTATCTGGAGTGCATCTGCAGTTTGGAAGAAGTAAGTGAGTGATGAGTTATGAAACCTCATTTTATTTTACAAATTGAGGAATGTCCAATATGAGATTTTGTACTTCTTTCTCAGGCTACTACTGCCCTTCCAAAGCACACGTTTCCAACTTCCTCCTCTGCCCTGCTGGCTCCTACTGCCCAGAGGAGAGCTCAGGCCCAACCAATTGCCCTGTGGGTACCTTTTCGAACATGACAGGGCTTGGGAATGAGTCAGAATGCACCAACTGCACAGGGGGATTCTATTGCCCGAATCCAGGTAAACGTTTTGTTTGCTCTTGCTGGAAATATATTTAATTAGTTTCAGTATCTTTTGAAATATGATTTTAAAATTTTAACACTGTGCAGTCACACAGCCAGCAGTACAAAATAACACATCTGGTCACCCAGCCAGGAGAGCGACGGCAACGGACTTCTCGGGCCTGGCGCACGCCAGGTGACCGGAACGGATAATTTTCACCGACGCATTATTGCGCCAAGTGACTGCAAAATGTTAAAGAATGATTTCTTGAGTTTCAGGAAAATGATCAAGTTAAGTTTTATTTTAAGGAGTCTAGGGTTCTGTCATATCTATCCGGATCTTCAAGTGACTTATGTGAATGTTGAGTATGGAAATATCTTTACAGCCTAAACAAGAAATGTATGAACCTCTGAATGTCATCAGACTATTTTCTTCATGCAGTAACATTTTTGTTTCAATGTCCCCCCTCCTAGGCATGACAGCCTTCTCAGACCTGTGCTGGGGTGGCTACTACTGTCCTAGTGGTTTGGATGTGCCGAACCCATCTGAGTATGTGTGTCCCATGGGGATGCAGTGTCCTAATGGAAGTCAGATCTACATGGTATGTTCAATCGATACCATCTGATCTCTTTTTAATTATTTTTAGGTCAAGAGTTGTATTTACTTTTTTAAAATCTATTACGTATTTATTTATTTTTTTAATGGAAAGGTTACTTCGAATTGTAGTTGTAATTTATTTTTTGGAGACTTGGGATGTGTTATCCTAACATAGGTCTTGTGTATTCATTCCTCTTGCAGTTTTATGATGGCTGGTTTATCTTGCATTGATGAAGACACTGGATTGTCCTGTTTCGATCTTATTAATTTTTTCAGTAGTAGGCCTAAGGCTCACATGTCCAAAATTTGACTAACGCCTGATTCCACCAGGATGTGAAACACATGGATACACAATATCTTTATTTTGATAATAATAGTTCATCCATAATGAATGATAATGATCTTTAACATCCAGTGGGCATACGTCAGTGACAGGATTTGACTGTATTGTTTTCTTGCTTCTCTTGCTCCCTCTGCTTTACACACTTTACTTACTTACTTAAGTTTACTCTTTCTCCTTTCCGTCAGGTAGGCTACATAAGGCGAAGAGCAGTCGACACACTTTATAATCTTATAATTGAACAAAATGTAATCAGAAGAGCTGGAACAGAAAAATATCAGTGGTATATGTGAGGCAGCGTGGTGAAATCAGGCGCTCGTCAAAACAATAAAATCAAAGAAATCTGCATTTTACGGATAGTTTGGGAATTTTTGTAGAATTTTTGTTTTTTAGCTCACCACCTTTTACGTCCTTTTAAAAATACATTTCTGTGTGGATTTTACTTTTAAAAAACTTTGAGTACACACAAAAAATGGTAAATTGTAAGTTTCCAAGTTCTCTCAAGCTTTAGAGATCACCAAACTTTGACGATCTTTTGCTCGCTAATTTCATCTCTGAAACCAGGCGAACCCCATCTTCTTCAATGCAAATATCTAAATTTTAGCTCTAGATAGAGCGCCTGATTCCACCGCGTTGTGACACATATTCTAACAGAGAGTCCCATCAGTTTATCCTAGTTGTATCTCTTCCCCCCAGGAATGTCCAGAAGGCACCTATACCAGCACCAGTGGTCAGTCTTCATGCACCTCCTGTCCGGCTGGCTTCTTCTGTCTGCCAGTCCAGCCAAGCAACGCCTCCCTCAACACACAGTCTTGTCCAACTGGCTACTTCTGTCCTCAAGGTTGGATGTTTTAAAAGATTTTTTTGAAAATTTTAGGTTGTTTCAGAATGCTCTCAGTCTCTGCGGGGGTAATAGTATAGATTGTAAAATGCATAGAGCTTGCTGTTGAGCGGGGATTTGCGTTACACAAATGCTATCTTTTATTATTATTTATATTATTGATCTTATCAAGTGAATTTTGTTCTTGCAACATAGAACTGTAATCAGTGGCGGTGGGTAGTGAAGGGCTCACGGGCTTGAGCCCCTACCCCCTCCCCACCCACCACCTCCAACCTTATCCCAAAGAAAATGAAAGTTTCTCCTTAATGAAATAAGCAGTTGAAACCGTTATAACTGCACGCAATGAGTGATCAACTTTGCGGCTTGCTCGCTTATCCAATCACTGTTGTCACCGCTTACAACTATAGTAACCTAACAGCCAATCAAATGTCTTTAGGGCTCAGCTAAGATGAGCCGGTTCCCACAGACCCTCGTTAATGAAACTCTTATTGTAAAAAGGTAGAAGACTGGGGGAAAATAACACTGTACGGAGGGCTCACGCTCTCCTAGCCCTGACAATGAGGTGAAAGTTTACGACACACTTTCCCCCACTGACACAGATACCTATGCGCTCATTGGTTCTTTGTTGGGTGCGTTCAACTTTCTCGACTATACGGCCTCATCCAGCTCATAGAAGTATTATGTTTGAAGTGCTGTCTGTGCATGTTTGTGTTGGTGCCGCTGAGATTTAACAGTTGTAAATCAGGTCGAACTACTTGTAAGGCAACTTTTTCATCACACGAAAACTAATTAGAGGAAATTTGGAGGTGAATCGGCTTCGTCCCTACCATCAACAGAAATTTGACTAAGAACAAAGAGATGGAAAACAAAGGCATCTCTTCTCGTTTGAATGGTTCTCAAACTGCCGTGGCTCACCGTGAGTATAGAAAAATCATCACTGTGTAATTCTTATTGCTAACTATTTGGTGGTAAAGAACTGGAAGCAACCTAAGCCCCACCCAAATTTGGGTCCACCCACCGCCACTGACTGTAATTGATTTTTGCAGTATAGAGATGGCTCTCTCTCTCTCTCTCACTCTCTGTCTCTCTGTCTCTCTGTCTCTCTCTTTCTCTCTCTCTCTCTCTCTCTCTCTCCCCCTTTCCCTTTCTCTCTCTCTCTCTCTCTCTTTCTGTATCTCTCTTTCCTTCTCCCCCCCCCCCCCCCCCCCCTTAAGAAACATTACACTTAAAGTATTCATGTTCTCAGGCACGGGTCAGGACTGGCAGTCATGCCCTAGTGGTACCTTCAGTAACACGACAGGCCTGTACCAAGAGTCCCAGTGCACGCCCTGCTCTGCTGGCTACTACTGTCAGGGAGAGCATCTCACCGCTGAGACCGGACTCTGTCATCAAGGTGGGACCTTTTTCTTTTTATAAATTTATCCCAGATCAACACGATTTGAATCCTTTGTGTGATGGTCTGTTGTAACTCTTTGAGGAGGTACCGGACATATATGTCCTATCAGCAACAGACCAAAATCTCTTCTGCTGGATATTTCGAACCCCCATACACATACCAGAATCCAAAAAGATAAAAAAGGTTTGTACCCTAATGTGTTGGTTATGATTTTGATAAGCCAACGGATACAACTGTTCATGCTTGATGCTTCATTAAAAGAGTAATTTCACTTAGCGTGTAGCGGCTTACCAACATGGCACGATAGTGTTCTGTGTCTTGTGTTCATATTAAAGTATCTGTGGTCTATCCTGGTTGATATCAATCATCCACACTTTTACAAAAAATAAAATTCATAAGAAGACATGTTGTTGCCTGGCTTTTTAAGTTTTAGATAAAGAAAACAGAACAGGAAAATCTGTGTGAATAATGAAGTTCTGTCCCAAAACAACGAGTCTTCAAGTAATGTCAAGTGGCCAGAATGCACGTCTTCATTGAATTAACCCTGTTTATCTTTTTGTCATCTCAAGATGAATGGGATTCAACATCCCAGCAAACAGACAGAAAATCTCTATCAAATTTTTCTACTATTGAATTCTTCATGCAACATGGAAAAACATAACTGCTACACCACAGACTGCGGAAAGAAGAGATTGAATTGGTAATGTGAGTTTAGAAGGAGGAAAGGGAGGGATCAAATTACTTTTCACATCTATGGGAATGCCACATTGAAACTGCTGGTTCTCGTCCGATCAAGCAGTGTTGGGAGTGATTGTATGTAGATGGGTGATCCAACCACTTGTGAACTTTAGATACTTTTAATGTACCTGATTTAGTTTTCTCCAGCCTTTGTGGCTGGAAACTGGGAGCCTGGACAGCTTTGTCCAAAGTGTTGCTTGCTACTTGAAATTCATGTTACTTTTGATGAGCAAAGCAATATTTTACTTTCTTTCTTTTCGTCAGAAAAATTGAAAAGAAATAAGATTTCATTTTAAACAGCAAAAAAATATTTTTTTGTTTTTCTTTTTTTATACATATTTTTTCTTTTTCTTCTTGATACATATTTTTTCTCTTCCATAATCATCATGGCACACCAAATCTGAAACAGACTGCAGTTTCTCTTTAAGGCATCATATATATGTTGTTCATCACTCTAAAGTGCATTTTTGACGTGTAGTTTCTCTTGAAGACGTTCTATATGGGTTTTTTTTTCCGGAGTATATATTTTTATAAAGTGTGTACAATAACACTTGGGTGGTTGGAGGATGCACTGGTTTGGTTTTCTCCTTCTTTCCTATCAAACATCTATCTTCCTTTTCTTTCCTCCTTCTATTTTGTTTTTGTTACTGCCTTGTAGCACACCTAACCTTCGGCACTTATATGACCTTATAGTGTTGCAAGTGTTGTAAGACTCTTAAGAAAACGAAACATACAATAACACTCCTCAGGCTTTTATTGCACCTCTGGCGTGGACCGACCTCAGCCCGGTGCCCCGAACGACACGCTTGCCTCCAACTGCTCCTGTCCGGGAACCACTTACTTCACGGGGGTCGGTGGTATTTGTCCGACCGGTCACTATTGTCCCACTGGCTCTGACCACCCCCTGGTTTGTAGCCCTGGAAGTTACAGTGATGAGGAGGGTCTGAGCTTGTGCAAGCTGTGTCCAGAGGGCTATTTCTGCTTGGCGAATGCGACAGAGTTCACAAGTGCCCCTTGTCCCACTGGTAAGATTTTTTTTTGTGCCGGCTTTTTAAATGCAAGTTGAGACTCATTTCTTTTCCTTCTTATGGAAATCAATTTGTCCCTTATCACTTCGCATTTTCTTAACAGCTGTGTTGCCATCCTTGTTTGCTTCTTTTTTTCTTTTTTTTAAACCTTTGTTTAGAGTGGGTGATCAGTTGATGACCTGGAGTGATTCATTTCTACTCCTTTGCTGTGTTGCTTCCCCTTAATATTTGAAATATGGGCATTTTTATTATTATTATTTTGGTTGTTGTTGTTATTATTATTATTATTATTATTATTATTATTATTATTATTATTATTATTATTATTATTATTATTATTACTTTGAAGTTATTATTATTATAATATTAATAATAATAATAATTATTATTATTAATATTAATATTATCATTATTATTATTATCATTATCTTTATGATTATACAGCAACTTCTCTAGTGTAGGGAAGACATTAATTTTCCCTGTTAGTTTCTGTCAATTACTAAACAAAAGTACAACAGGAACAGCAATAATGCCTTGTATATAAACATCATGTACATTTTATGCCTTTCCCTCTCTCTTTCTCTCTCTCTCTCTCTCTCTCTGACTGTCTCTCATCACCTCTTTCCCTCCCTCATTCTCTCTCCTCTCTGTCTCTGTCTCTGTCTCCTCTCTCTCTCTCTCCCTCTCTCCTCTCTCTCTCTGTCTCTGTCTCCTCTCTCTCTCTCTCCCTCTCTCTCTCTCTCTCCCTCCCTCCCTCCCTCTCTCTCTCTCTCTCTCTCTCTCTCTCTCTCTCTCTCTCTCTCTCTCTCTCTCTCTCTCTCTCTCCATCAAAGTGAGAACTATTTCATTTTTAAAAACACATATGACCTGAGCATAATCATTAGTTTTTCTTTCTTTCTTTTTTTAAAAATCCCTTTGCCTAATGTCCTTGTAATTTTTCCCAGATTCTTTACCTACGAGTCGAAGTTCATGAAGCCACATTTAAGTATTTTGTAGTGTACCTTTGCGATGTTGTTCTATGATTTACAGTACAGCCCTCTCTATAACGAACTTCGATATAATGACATCCTCTGTAAAGCGACATGGTGCCCAGGTCCCGATTTTTTTCCTTATATATCATTAGTAGTTTTTGGTTGCTTCTCTATAATGACAACTCTGTACAACGACATTTTTTCTAGTCCCAGCGATGTTGTTATAGAGAGGCAGCATTATACTTTATTTTGTCTTTGTGGCTGTGGAATAAAAATAATAATAATAATTAAATAGCATTTATGCTGCGCATTTCTATTTTCTAAAAAATGTTCTATGCGCATTATATTAAAAAAGATATTACATCTTAAAAGTTAATCAACATGTGTGTACATAAAAAGCAGTTTTATGAATATATTTATATATATGTATATGTATAAAAATCTCCATGAGAAAAAGTCTTGCAGTGAACTTGATGTGTTCACTAAAAAATACAATGCAATAAAAATTCACGAATAAAAGTAAACCAAATAAAATTGTTTCCCTGTAGGTCACTACTGTCCTAACGGCACGCAGTACAGCACCCAGTACCGCTGTGCACCAGGCACGTACAACCCCAGCACTCTTGGGACGGCATCCGATGACTGCCTGGACTGCCCTGCAGGACAGTATTGTGCTGGATATGCCAACGTGGTGCCTACAGGTAGGATGCATTTTCTTGTGGGGTTTTTTATATTTTGAGTGGGGTGGGAGAACATACTCTCAGGAAGAAGAGCAGCTGCATAACGAGAAACGTGTTGGATTAGAACCCTCAGGGTAAAAGATCATGTGGAACCTGGAGAAGAGTCACGGAAATGGATGTACAGAAAAGTGGGAACACATGGAGTGGCATCAAGCGACTAGCCCAGAATAGGGAAAGGTGGAAAATGTTTGTTCATGGCCTATATCCTGATCCAGGGTGAGAAAGGCAATGTTGATGTGGAGGTTGTAAATATTTTACTCCCCCAGGGACTCGACTCGGTTCAGATCACTTACAAATCAGGAAACGTCAACCTGGTCTGTAATGACTCTCCCAAGGTGACATAGAGACAACATCCCTGCTGACAGATGGAGATAGGCTCCTTAATAAAAAATCTTCTTAACTGGGGAAATCAATTTCAAGTCATCTGTCTCTTCTGATTGTGTTTAATAAAGTGTGAGAATAAATTATTGAAGACCTTGAGTATTTTTGTATCATATATTTTTTAATGACTAAGTAGTATGGAGTTTTCTCTACAACTGTGAAGTTGATACTGTTGTAAAATAGCAAAATGGATTTATCTTTTTTGTTTCTGAACTCACCTGCTGAGTTTCTCCTTTGTCCTTCTTTTTCTTTTTTTTTCTTTTTTTTTGGGGGGGGGGGAGAAATAAGTAAATAAGTAAACCAACAGCATATCAGCGGAATGTGCAACCCTTCTCTATGAGAAATATAAGACTCTTAAATATCTATCCTCAGATGTTCTTTGGTGAATTGTCCCTGCTTTGCTTCATTCTGTCATCCTTCTTTCCTTTGTGTCCCTTTGAGCCAAGAGCTCTGCCTAGCTTTCAAAATTAATTTTTTTGTGTATCTAGAGGGATATTAAACCAACAAAGATAAATGTGAGGCTTGCAATCCAGGAATGGGGATACCAGCCGGAAATTGACACTGTCGTCAGATTTATAGATTTTCAGTTGATGCCATTTTGCTTAAGTCTACTGTGTCTATTATTATTCCATGTTTAGAAATTGTACAAACTCCACGTAAAAAGTTGATGTATCAATTTCCATAAGGCTAAAATCTCCGAGCAGTAGCCCTTACTCATTTTGTCAGCACACCCCACAAATAATGTTTTCCTCCTTACACGACAGGGAACTGCAGTGAGGGTTGGTATTGCACTGGTGGAGCGGACAGCCCTAACACCACCACACATGGGGGACGTTGTCAACCTGGGTACTACTGCCCAGAGGGTATGTACTGCATAACGATTGTTACTGAATACGTAGAATTATATATTGATCTAATTGCTGAATTGTTTTAAAAAATTGTTCACATCTTTTTGTTTTTTGTTTGTTTTTGTTTTCAGAGTGGTCATGACTTAATCATTCCATTGGCTGCTTTGTCGTGTCTTTTGTTCCTAAATTCATACGTCCATCTCTTTTGAGGTTTTGTCCCTTGTGCATTATTTAGAAAAAACGTTATAATGAGTTGTCAATGTATAAATCTAAAATAAAGACTACATTTAAAGCATATGATATTCTTCAATTCGTAGCTCCCTGCATAAAGTTTATCTGACCTTATCTTAATTATTCTTTTAAAATTTCCCTAACTTGTCAATGAAATTGAATTGCCTTTTATTTTTCCTTTCCGCTTTTTATTTGCTTTTAGAACAGTAATTCTTCTTGTTTAAAATCTAACTCTCTCCCTGGTGACACTGACTGAAGTGTCTTTTGGCCCTTTCCCAAAAGGGGTACATTTCTCGTTCATGCACAGTAGAAATGTAAATGGGCTGATTCTTCAAAGTCGCGCTCATAACTGTGCCTGATCTACAACAGGGAACTGCTGCTTTTTCTTTCCTAATCCAGACTATCATCATTCTCCTCTACTTCTCTTATATGTTTGTCACACTCTTTTTCCGGGATGCCTTGATAGTTGAAGCAGTCTTTGTGCTGTTGAAGCTAGAGAGGTGAGCAGAGTAAGTCTGATTCCCTGTAAGGACTTCTCTGTTGACATCCACCCCTTGGCACTCATATGACTGTATGCAGTTGCGAGCGCCATAAAACCTCCACTAAAACTAACTGTGTCGCCATTCAGTTAGATCAATTTTATTTTTTACACAATCAGGCTCCTCCGACCCGGTGCCGTGCCCTGGAGGTCAGTACTGTCTGACAGAGGGCCTGGCATTGCCCACAGACAACTGCTCTGCGGGCTACTACTGTGCCCTGAGAGCTGTAACACAGACGCCCACTGATGGCAGCACGGGTGACCGCTGTCCAGCAGGACATTATTGTGAGAGTGGAGTTGCCTCCCCTGTGCCCTGCAGCCCCGGCACTTACAGTCCCAGTGATGGAAACACTCAGGTGGGGGTCTTGTTAAACATAATGTAGAACTGAATTAAGAACTGATACTGAATAGCCTTTCAATTTTTTTTATTTGTTGATGCTTTTATTAAGGCTAGTTTGACAATTTCATTACTGAAAAGGCTATATTTTTTGTGTGAACCAAATAAAAGGTGTGATCTGCTTTTTATTGGGATGGTGTAATGACTTAAACTCTGGTGTGTTGAAACAGGATTCATAGGTATTAGCATGATAATATAGTCATATGATCAAATTTGTTTCTTCATGCAAAGGCCTAATCATCTCATATGTCAATGGATTCTTTTTTAACATCCTCTCTGGTTTGCTTTGCAAGTCCTTGCTCTTTGCTAAAATGGCAAAGAGGATTTCCTCTGCACCATTTTAGTTAAGGGGATGGATGAAGTTTTTGGGACACCTGAATAGACAAAAAGGTCTTGAACATCGCTGGCTCTCACTGGCAAAATTGAAGGCAAATGAAGCAGAGGTAGGCCCACAGCAGCCTACTTAGGGAAGCTAAACAAATGGATAACAGGGAAAGTTCAGGAGAACATAGTTTTTTAAAGAGCGTTTGAGCAAAGGAATGTATGGAGAACCATGATCATAGATATGTTGCAGATCTGGCACTGGATGAAGACGCAACAGAAACTATATCTTATTCACTTCTTCCCCAACAGGCATCAGACTGTCTGGCCTGCACTTTCGGAGAATACTGTGCTGACTACAACCTGACTACTACCTCTGGCAACTGCACACGAGGCTACTACTGTCCGACCGGGGATGTCACTGCCACATCTGTCCAATGTCCAGTCGGTCACTACTGCCCTGAGGGTTCCTCCACCCCAATACTGTGCCCCAGCGGCTGGTATCAGGATCAGGTAGAGCAGTGGGAGTGTAAAATGTGTCCGTCTGGATACTTCTGTGACAGTTCCACGGGTGTTGTAGTCATCAACAACACCATCGCATGCCCGGAGGGCTATTATTGCCCCGAAGGTGAGCTTTTTTGCAAAGATTCACTTCATCAGATTTATTAATTTTTGTTGTAGTTAAAGTTTTGCAGCTTTTGCAACACAATCAGGTCATAAAAGTGGGAAATATTGGAGGTGTTACTAGAGTGTAAAATACAAAGAAAAGGAGGAGGAGAAACATGGACGATAGATCTTTGATGGGAAGGAAAAGGCACACCACAAAGGAGAAACGGCCAGCATGACTCCCATAGATTTTATATGATTTTATGGTACTGCTATCAGCTTTTGAACAACTGATATCTAGAATTCTTACCTTCATTTTAACGCCTTTTGAAGATGAACAACTTTTTTGCTCGTGAAATACAGACATTATTCGTCAGTTCAGCCTTTTACTGGACTAGACATTACACCATTAGAGGCGGGACTTTGTCATCTGTAGGAAGGGTGGATATTTTTATTATTATTTGTATTATTTCATTAAAATGCTAGTGATTTGGCTTTCGACTTTCCAAAATTTTCAGATATTTCAGGAATGTGCTAGGCCTATAGTCTTCATTTTACACTGGAGACAAAAGGTATACGGAAGGACAACAAAAATACTTTTATACAAAAAGATCTGATCAAATGCTTGAGAAATATGTCTGAAAACTAAAAATTATATATAGAACTTTCAATTTTTCCTGTTTACGCATTGTTTTACTCATTGATCAGTACAAAGTATGGTTAACTTGACTCAGGTACCCAACACCAGAGCCAGTACCCATGCCCCCTTGGAACCTTCAGCAACCAGACAGCTCTCAACAGCAGCTCAGAATGCTCTCCCTGCTCTGCTGGTCAGTATTGTGGTCAGATGGGTCTCACCTCGCCCAGTGGTCCATGCAGCAAGGGCTACTTCTGCAAGAGATATGCTGAGATGTTCACCCCGAATCAAACAGCAGATGCCGACATTTGTCCTCAAGGTGACCTGTCTTTGTTTCATTTGTGTAAAGAGAAAAGGAAACAAAATACAGGCTTGCCAACTGTCCTGAAGTTCCTGGGACTGTCCCAGATTTCTTGGGACTGCCCAGGATTCAGTAATCATGAATTTGAGAGCCTTACATAAACTCCACAAACACCAGTCCCACTTTGTGTAGTCGTCTTTGTTGCTATATAATCTGATTGGGGTTTGAAAAAGTTGGCAAGCTTAAAAATATGGAAAAGAAAATCTGAAACTTCAATTAGATAGTAAACTAAAAATAACATCACTTTTACGTTCATTAATGAAACAAAGGTGAACCCTGTCTGGTATATATTTTTTCCCTAACAATAGCCACCCTCTGGTTCCACTTTCTGAGCACATTGCAGCAACATTCTAGTGTTGACATTCTCTGGCACATTTTCCTCTCCAGAAAAGAAAACTGGGTTGAATGACAGTGATTTATTTTTATCATAGCAAATCAAGCTTTTCATTGAGAAAATCCAGTTGGAGTTACAAGTTTGTATTTGTGTCCAGCTAGTTTCAGTTGGGTTAGACACATTAACTTACTCAACCCTAGGCCTACACTTCCAGGTTGTCAACTCTCCCTAGAGATTTTTATAACTTTTTTTGAAAAATTGAAAAAAATCCTAAATTTTACCATATCCTACCTAAATTTGGTACCCAATGTTTCATAGTTTTTATGCAATACTTCATGGAAAAAAGTCTATGTACAGAATAAAAAAGTAAACCAAAAAATGAAGAAAGGAAGTGCGCTCAAATTACGCACCCACTCACATGGTTCTCAAATATAGTTTTTTTGGTTCTAAATTTGGGCTTACTTTTCTGGTCCTAGTCTGTTTCAAATGAAAAATGGTTACTCTTCCAATTAGGCTTCACACAAAAGTAGTGTTTTCGTTCACAATTACGAAATTTTCCATACCGATACTGTCGGCATAAGGGTTGGATTGTTGCGTGCGCATACCAATATTTTCCACCTAAGGACTGGGTTAGTTAAGCTCTTAGATTAAAAAAAATTTGGGGGTTGGGGGGGGGGGGGGGGGCTTTTCGTGCTAACACCGTTGTCCAATACGGTACATGTTTATATATGAGATGTAGATGTTAATTTTTGAATTTCACATGCTGTACAAAGTGTTTACTGTGTTCTGTGTGCCCTGCAGGTTCCTACTGCCCTGAAGGGTCAGCTGACTGGACCCTGTGTCCAGCTGGCACGTTTGGCTCCACCACTGGACTGGGTAATGTGACTGAGTGTACGCTGTGCACACCTGGATTCTACTGCCAGACTCCTGGCTTGACCACCACAGAAGGTAAATAGCCTACTTACGTTGTAATGCCAGAACAAAGTTCTTTTTTATGCTGCCAATGTGATAGGCTGTTCATTTTTGTGGCTGTACAAATCTAATTATTAAGTTTGATGGGCGCTTGAGAATTAGATTGTTAATTAGTGTATTAAAATTTTCTTCTAACTTAATTATTGTTCTGTAAATCAACTGATTAAATTGTTAATGTTTTTGTTAGAAGTTCAGTAGTCCCTGGGCTCTGTGCCCTTTGACTCGGACCCAAGTTGTGGTAGTTTTAAAGTCCGTTTTTTAAGTTGTTCTCTCTTGACTTTAAAAAAGTTGTCAGTATTAGGAGCATGAGCAAGAAAATGTCATTGTCTGCCTTGTGGGTCAGTACATTGAAAGAAAAAAACATTGGGTAGTTTTGTTATGGTGATTTGCCTGGAAACGCATTGGTAGATTTTTGTATAAATGAAATTGTTAAAGATCATATTCCAATATTTCTCTCCCATATATGCATTATTCAGGCCTTTGTGCTATCCAGTACTTCTGTGTTGAGGGATCCTCTTCCAGCACTAGTGAAATTTGTCCCAATGGTCGGTATTGTCCAGTGGGTACAGCTGTGCCTGAACTTTGCCCTGAGGTGAGCAGCGTTCTACTGTTTGAAACTTTTGCATTTTTCTTTTGTCAGAGAGCAAGACAATAAATGTCATTTCTGTCTGAGGTAGCAGAGATGCATTTTATATATTCTGAGGTAGAAGTTTAGCAATCTGTTGATACATTGCTGGACTGTGATGAGTACCACTCTCTCTTGAATCTGTAAAGTGACATTTTTAGTTTAAGTTTGCATTATGCAAAAGGTTCTATAACTGTACATTAAATTTGTTTAGTTTCAACCTCAAAAGGCCTCCGCGTTGGGGGGAAGTGCCCTTCTTACATCACCTGTAATGGTGAAATAAATGTTACTTAAAAAGACCAATCAGAATTGTCAAATGTTTTGATTCTAAAGGCTCTATGTAAATAGAATCTAAAGTTATTCACAAAACTCTGTTATATCATTGTGTTGCACAAGTTATACCAAAACATTTAAGAGTTTTCACATGGTTGATTCAATTGAAAACCTTTTGCTTATTTTGATATGGAATCTGTTTTGATGGTGTGCTTTTTTATCTTTGCAGGCGCACTGTAGAAGGAAGTTAGGAACTTTATGAAAAAAAAAATACATAGGCCTACACTAGATCTATAATAGCGTTTTCATTGCTTGTTGCTACAGGGAACATTCAGTCCGTACACGGGGCTGGGTGCCTCCTCAGAGTGCACAGACTGTACCCCCGGCGAGTACTGTGATACCCAGGGTTTGAACGCCACCACAGGTCCTTGTGACCCCGGCTACTACTGCCCAGGTGGACAGAACTCTTCCAGACCGGCGGAGTACCCATGCACTGTGGGGCATTACTGCCCCCTGAACTCATCTCAGCCTGTACCTTGTGGTAACGGTACCTACATGAACCACACCATGGCTTCTGAGTGTTATGTCTGCCCAGATGGCTGGTGAGGAAGAGTTTGTCGTTCAAATTGTGAAGATTGAAGATATTAATTTTATTTTTTGAAGGTTTACTGTAGAAGTATTTCTAGATTGTAAAAATTCTGTTTCACTTCCCCTATGGACCTGAGCCCAGGTTCCCTGAGTACAAAACGCATGCCGGAGCGTCCAATAATGTAAATGCAACTAAAAGCCCTAAAGAGCTTCAGTGCACTGGTCAAGTGGGCTCATGGAACCAGGGCTCAAAAGATTAGCATGGTTAATGATACAATAATGTCAAGAATATGTAAGGTATGAACATTACTGCAAGTTTATTTATTTTAATTAATATTTTACTTGAATATCTGGTAGGGAAAACTTATGTGTTTCAACAATTTGTTAGACAAAGCAGAAGCTTTTATCAGTCTTGCCATCTATAGGCTATAAACTGGTGAAATAAAGCTTTGACAACCTGCTGTGAGACAAAAGGGATGAAGTATGACTTGCTTCTGTGTCTGAGTGTCTTTGATCTGTGAGGACAGTGATACTGCCAAGGTTCAATGAGAAATGCAGCTTTGATCATCAAACCGCAATGCTCATTTAGTGTAAGGCAGAGTGGTTAAATTGTGTGTGTGGGGGGGGGGGCATCTCATTTAAGGATTAGATTGTCAGAGGCTGATCTAAGGGCTCTGAGTGGATGATATAATTCCAGGAATTGATCCTTTCTTTTACTGGCAGCCAGTGTAGTTCTTTCAGAATTGGTGTTACATGCACTGATTTTATCAGAATGTTATTATTATTATTTACAGAAAAGGTGCTTCCCTTTCAGCCCTACATGTCTGGTTTCATTCAGACAATGCTAGTAAATAATTTTGTTTAATTTTGCGTTTTTCTCAGGGGGTTTTTTTACTTCCTTGATTCGAGGGTAGATGTGATCGAGACCCTCATCTTGGCTGATATGAACCAAACATATTAGAGGTTTAATATGTGTCACAATGTGGTGAAATCAGGCGCTCATCAGTTTTTAGTCATGTGAAGTTATTGGTATTACCTTAAAGCTTGTATATTTGCCTTGCTTTCGATGAACGAAATACCCATTTATTTTGAGTACAAAGCAAGATTTTCAATTGAAGGAGGTGGGGGTGGCTTGGTTTCAGAGGTAAAATTAGCGATAAAATGGCAGCCAAAACTTGGTTATTTACATAGCCTGAGAGTCGGTGGAAACAGACAATTTACTTTTTTTTGGTCTGTAATCAACATTTTTTCTGTAAATCACACTCAAAAATTGGTTTGTAAATGGATGTAAAAGATGTTGAACCCAAAAAAATTTTTTTGATAAAAATGGTCAAACCAGTGGAAAAATGTCAATTTCTTCAATTTCATTAATTTGAGGAGCACCTGATTTCCCCATGATGCGTCACATATGCGTTTCACCTCCTTTGGAGAAAATTTGTAAAGATATACCAAATTTCCAAAATCTGTTGCTCTCTGAGCACAATAAATAAAAAAACCCACTGAGATTAAATGTTGGGGATGTAAAAGAAGCACAACTTTCCTTTGATTTTGTTTCCGAGGTATCACAGAACTTAACTTGTTTGTCTAGTGTCTTGTGCTTCACAAGCTTCTTGCTTTTCATTTTCCAGGTATTGTCTGGGCGGTGACATCATAGCAGAGTGTCCGTCTGGTCACTACTGTCCAGCTGGCACTGGACAAGACTGGACAATGTGTCCCCGCGGTACCTTCAACAACCAGACTGGACTGAGCTTGGTGGATCAGTGCATGCCGTGTAGCGGGGGATACTATTGTGGCAGGTCGGGAGGAATGCTTTCAGTTTGTTCGTGTTTGAGAGCTTAATCAGCTGTTTGCACTGTATGCTTCCCAGGAAGCTGAGAATGTTTCTGAGTGTCTGCTTGGGTAATAATATAGTGGAAAGTGCAAAGAGCTTGCTGTCAAGCAGGGGTATGCGCTATACTAATGCTATTTGTTATTTATTATTATTATTAACACTTGTATGTCATTTGTGAGGATGCTGACAAATTGAGTTACTTCTTGTATTTTAGCTTAATGGAAATATATACGTCAAATTTATAGGTTGAGTTTTTATAATTCTTTAGTATGAAATGGTAAAAAGTTTTTTCACTTCCTTGATTCTAGGGTAGATAGTATCGAGACTCATCTTGTTTGATAAGAACCGATCATTTTAAAGGTTTTACTCTTTATCACCAGCAAGCCACTCCCAGCGGCTCGCGGTCGGGACCACTGGGCTGATGAGCCGCTGACAGTGGCTCGGGCACATTCCTTTACGTCGACTTCAACATCAAATTACTTTTTGGTCAATTGCCAAAAATAGGTCTCTTATAACGGAAGTTCATTCATTAGATGAAGAACTATCGAAATAGGTTTGCTAGTTTCAATTTAATGGCCCATTTATGACGTTTTTGTCATTTATAGGTCTGGCACCAAAAAAAGGCTGAGGCATAGTGGGTGTACCCCCTCGGAGATAAAGAGTTAATGCTTCTCAATCCCTCTTTTGAGAAACTTTGTCTGTCAAAATAGATCAAATTCCCCAAATCTGTTGCTCTCTGAGCACAGTAAGTCAATACATCAATATTATGCTGAAATATGCCCAAAAGGTTACTGTAAAGTCACATAGTAGTTGGTTTCTTCCACAGTGAAGGGCTGTCATCTCCCAGTGGTCAGTGTGATGCCGGCTTCTACTGTCAGTATGGACTGGACAGGGCTCAGCCTTCTGGCCAAAATGCCACACTGGTCAATGGGACTTGTCAGATGCCAGGTGAGCGGAATTGGAGCTGGGTCATTATAGATAAATTTTTAACACTTACAGTACCGTCTGTGACTTTAAATGCCAGGCCATAGTATGCGCCCACTACTGCTGGCGACTTTAGTCACTGAAGCAACCTGGCACACTAAACATAATTAAACAACGAACAGACCCATTGCACTAAAGTGAATACCAAAAACAATCACTCTGTATGATAGCTGAATAGTTGATGAACATCTATGAATTTTTAAAGCGTGTTTCTTGGGCTGTCAAGGATTTTTAGATTTTAAAATATTCTACCCGGCTTCATCGTTCTAAACTGGAGCAGTACTCGAGGGTTTTTCACTCTATGAGCCATCAGTACTGTAAGTGTTAATTAGTGCTGTACTTCTTGGGTACCTAAAAAACCACGACACCTGTCCAAACAATGGATGCTGCAAGTTCTAAAATAGTTACAAGTCAAATTACTTTAAAATGTTCTATTAATATCAAAAACAGTGTGTATAAAAATCAGTGTGAATATTCACTCTTGTGGTGAGAACTTCTGTCCAAAGATATGTAAAGTCAATGTTGTTGGTTTTTAAAAAATCAGTTCTTCCTCCTCGTTCTCGATGACAGCAGCTAGACAGTCAGTCCGATGTCGCGTACAAACTGTGTAGTTCGCTTCAACTCTGATAAAAATCAGTAATTTGCTCAAAGCGCAGATTTCTCATCATTCTTTTGACAAAGTGCCAATGTCAAGAAACTATAATATCTTTTTATCTTTGTCTCTAGGTGGAGAGACAGGAGTGGGTGACATTTGTCCAGTTGGTCACTACTGTCCCCTGGGCAGTGTCCAGCCCATCCCATGTGGAGCTGGCAGTTTTGCCAACGTGACGGGAATGTCGGTGTGCTCAAACTGTCCGGCTGGCTTCTACTGCCTGGATGGTGAGTGAGAGTGGAGGGCAACTTGATATTTGTGTTGAAATTATAACATAATTTGGTGTGTCCAAATTATATAAATAACTATTTATGTGTGTTTGTGCGTGTGTATGTGTGTGTGTGTAGGTGCATGTATGTGTATGTATTTACTGCACTAAATGTCTCTTTGTGGATATCAATAAAATATTATTCATCCTATCTTATCGGTGTAGTGGCTGAAAAAGATTGTTCTCTGTCTTTCTTTCCAATATTTAATCAAATCTGAGAGCAGATTGAGCGTACTTTTCCATTGAAAGGTTTACTTTGAGGTAAATATGTATCAAGAAACACTGTGTTCCATTTTGTTGTGTGTGTTAGCAGAAATTCCAGCTTTTGTGATTCTGCTTCCACATAGCTCCATGTCTTTTTCGGGCACTTTATGCTGTGGCCATATCTCTTCTTCATCAAGACATTGATATGCTGTTACCATTTTTTTTCTACCTGTTTCCTTGCACTCTTCAATCTAACCACCTTTACTTGTGTTAAATAGTTATGTCATTGCATACTGCCGCAATACCGTACACTCTTTTGTCACTGATTTGTTTAACTTGTTACCCTTTTTTGAATCGTAATCATCATTATGTAGGTAGTAGATTCTTGTAAATTTTTGCTGTTTATGGTACTTACAATAGGTTTTACCGTCAACAGCAGGAAAACAAGCTGGAATCATAATTATGTACCCAAATAATGTTCTCTCTTTGATTTTCCTCAGTCATGTTTTCAATATTACCTATTGTCTTTTGCCACTTGTCTCATCAGGATAGCAGTGGCGGTGGGTAGTGAAGGGCTTACGGGCTTGAGCCCCTCACCCCCATCCCGTCCCCACCCCAACTCTATCCCTTAGTTAATGAAAGTTTCTTAAATAACGAAATAAGCAGCTGAAACCGTTATGATCGCACACAATGAACACACAGTTTTCAGCTTGGCGGCTTGCCCGTTTATCCAATCATTGTTGTCACCGCTTACAACTATAGTAACCTAACAGCCAATCAAATGTCGTTAGGGCTCAGAAAGAATAAGCCGTCTCCCACGCCCGTCTTTAATGAAACTCTTCTTGTAAAAAGGTAGAAGACTTTAAAAAAATAACACTGCACAGAGGGCTCACGCTCTCCCAGCCCTGACAATGGGGTGAAAGTTTACGACACACTTTCCCCCAGTGACACAGATACCTATGCGCCCATTGGGCCTTTGTTAGGCGTGTTCTATTTTCCACAACAACACGACCCAATCCACCTCATAGACGGTATGTGTTTGAAGTGCTGTGTGTTTGTGCCGATGAGATTTAACAGCTATTAATTACATCAAACCACTTTTGAGGCAACTTTTTCTTCAGATTAAAAACTAATTAGAGAAATTTGGAGGTAAAACGGCTTCATCCCCACCTTCCAGAAGAGCTTAAATTTATCTAAGAACAAAGAAATGGAAGACAAAGGTGACTCTCCTCGTTTGAATGGTTCTCAAAATGTGTGGCTCGCCATAAGTACAGAACAATCATCACTGTTTTGTTCTTATTGCTTGCTTTTTGGTGGTAAAGAAGTGGAAGAAATCTAAGCCCCACCCAAATCTTGGTCCACCCACCGCCACTGCAGGATAGGTGGTTGGCGGGTGCTCTGGTGTGGTTTGCTTCTTCTTTCCTATCAAACATCTATCGTCCTTATCTCTCCTCCTTTTTATGTTTGTTACTCTGTTGTAATACCTCTAATCTTAGGCACTTATATGACCTTATTGTGTTGCTAGTGCCATAAAACATTTACTAAAACTAAACTGTCTGATCAGGAGTGGATACATACCTGGATGCCCCTTGCCCTAGCGGTTACTACTGCCCAGCGGGCACCTCCAGCCCCTACCAGTTCCCATGCCCCGCCCAGACCTTCTACAACCTGACCCAGGCCAGGGACGTGGCTGACTGCTTGCCATGTCCTGGAGGAGAGTACTGTGCAACAGATGGGCTCAGTGCCCCCACAGGGCTGTGTTCTGCAGGTACACAGTGGGTCTTTATTTTTTAATATAGATAGATCAATAGATAGTTAGATAGACAGAAAGGTAGATCGTTGGATCGATAGATAGATAGATTGAGAGTGGCTGACTGCTTGCCATGTCCTGGAGGAGAATACTGTGCTACAGATGCTCAGTGCCCTCAAAGAGCTGTGTTCTGCAGGTTCGTACTGGGGCTTTGCTTTTGAATATAGATGGACAGACGGATGGACAGACAGATAGATAAATGGAAGGAATGGATGGATGGATGGATGGATAGATGGATGGAAAGATAGATAAATAAATAGTGACCGACTGCTTGCCTTGCCCTGGAGGAGAGTACTGTGCAACAGATGGGCTCAGTGCCCCCACAGGGCTGTGTTCTGCAGGTACACACGGGGATATTTACTTTTGAATATAGATAGATAGATAGATAGAGAGATAGATGTGTGTTCAAATGGGAGAATATGGGTGGTTGGAGGGTGCTCTGGTGTGGTTTGCTCCTTCTTCCCTATCAAAAATTTATTGTCCTTATATCTTCTCATTCTTTCATGTGTTTTCTGATCTTTAGCTCTTATATGATCTTATTGTGTTGCAAGTGTCGTAAAACTCTTACCAAAAGAAAATTAAATGTGGTGATATAAGACTCTCTTAAGCCTGTGGCTCTCCTTTACAGGATGGTACTGTGTGTCCAATTCCTCGTCTGCCACACCTACCTCTCCGGAGGGTGGCCAGTGCATGGCTGGCTACTACTGCCCCATTGGCTCAAGTGGAGCAACTACTTGTGACCCTGGCACTTACTGCGAGACAGCTGGACTCAGCGCACCAACTGGGAATTGTTCTGCGGGTAATGAGCTGAGGGGTTTATATATCTAAGAACTAGTTTTGTTATACAGGGTGCCCATTGCAGTTGGGATCGGGTCGGGTTGGGTCGGATTGGAGGCGATCATGCCACTCTTGGCCTGAAAACAAAGTTTGTTTTTGAGTTGTCGAGTCGAACTGGATCGACTTGTGCCACAATAGCAGCTTTTTGTCCTTAATCTGGCTAGCAAACCGCCCCGACCCAACCCGATCCCCCAATGGGCACCCCGTATAACTGTCTTGATAGTGCTTGGGACATGAAACCCCATGTTGTACTGTGGGTTGTTGCTCCTGCAGGTTGGGAGGGGGGATAGTTTTACCCTGGGGTAGCAAAGAATAACACCTGCCATAATACTGCGTGTTGTAAAAGGTGACTAAAGGTGCTTGGCAATTGGTCTGGTCTCCCGAAAAGTACCAGTTTGCAGAGGGCCAACTACCCGATCCTGTAAAAACTGAAAGTTATAGAAAAGCAAACAAACACGCCTATTTATTTTTCGATCTTGGAAGATGGAGGAGCTTCTGCATCAGCAGGATGTAGAGAAAAGTTGGAAGACATGGGGAAGACATGGAATAACATCAAGAGGCTAACCCAGGATAGAGAAAGGAGGAAAGTGTTTGTTCGTGTCATATACCCTGATGCTGGGGGAGAAAGGCAGTGATAATGAAGAGTGCGGTTAGTCCTCAGGGCTTGTAGCTGTGCCCAGGACACCCAAGTGTCATGGCAGTCTCTAAGGAAAACATGAAGTGTAGCATTATTTGGTTTTTATTCTTGTCAGTGCTAGGCTTATGGGATTTTCCCCTGAACTGTACTCCAATTAAAAATTCTTTTTATTTCATGAGTATTTTATTTAAAGAAATTCTCAGATCTTTTGCTGAATTTCTGTTTGATATCAGCAAAAAAATTCACTACTAAATAAAGACAGGAGAATAGGTTTATTTCATTTTTTTGCCGTCAATGTTCTTGAAACAAAAATTGAACCTATAATCATATTAACACAGCCCATTTCCACACTTTTCAACAATGTAGTGACCAGTGCAAGCTCTGTTGTGATTTACTTCAATAGGATATTGAAACTGAAGACAATCTGAAGATTTGTTATTAAGACATATTTTTGTGATATGATTATTTGAGTTGGTTATTTCTTTTCAGGCTATTACTGCACTCTGCAAGCCAACACTTCCACTCCTTCAGATGGAGTCACTGGAGACATCTGCCCTGTTGGTCACTACTGCCCTGAGGGAGCCAATGTCCAGATGCCATGTGAGCCAGGGTAAGTATTGATAGAGATAAAAGCTTGTCAATAATTTTGTTTCCTTTGTTATCAAAGTTTGCATTCAAATGGAGGAAAGACGTACTATGGAGAGGAAACTGCACTTTAAACTGTGTCCAGAAGGTTATCACATCAATTTTACGTTACTCGTTTTTTTTCTGCTCGAAATGTTGGTATTATTTATTCTTAGGCAATAAGTTTTGCATAGAGCTGCATTCTCATTGCATTTACTCACTGACATCCTTCCATTGACATCTACAACGCCAGTTAGGGATAATTGTTATGGTTTAAGATTAAGTGTGTAATGTAGAGGCAAAGTTCATCCATTCAGTGGCTGCAGGACTTAACACTTACAGTACCAAAGGCTCATATAGTGAAAAACCTTAAGTACCGCACGAATTTAGAACACTGAAGCTGTGGGTAGAATTTTTTTAATTTAAAAAAAACCTTGGGAGCCCAAGAAACACACTTTAAAAATTCATAAAGGTTAATCAACTATTCAGCTATCATGTAGAAAGATTTCCTTGGGTATTTACTTCAGTGCAGTGCGTCCGTTTGTTGTTTAGTGTTTATTGATTAGTGTGCGTCCGTTCATGTTTAGTGTGTCTGATGCGGTAGTGAGCGCATAATACGCCCTGGTGACTAAAGTCGCCGACGGTAATGTAAGTGTTAAATGAGCCATAATGCCAACACGTACATTTAATGAAATATCAGAAAGGTTAGGTGCTTAGGTCCAGAGGCATTTTTATCAAACAAATCATTAGAGAAGACAACTTATTTGAGTTATTGTTTTTTGTTTTTTTTTACTTTCTTTTGTCTCACACTTGCTTTATGACTGCATTTTCACCCCAGTATTTCACCTTCACAGGTACTATCTGGACGTCCAGCAACAAGTGGCAGAGTCTGACTGCAAACTTTGCAGCCCTGGTCAGTACTGCCCGTCTTCAGGTGCTGAGCTTCCCCAAGGCAACTGCTCAGCTGGTTACTACTGTCCTGGTGGTCAGAACACATCAACTCCTCATGAGTATAAGTGAGTGGGATCCATATGTGAGGTATCATGGGGAAATCAGGAGCTTGTCAAAATAATGAAATTGAAGAAAACAGGATTTTTCCTCCACTTTGGCAATTTTTGTCGAATTTTTGTTTTCGGCTCAACTCCTTTTATGTCCTTTTACAAACATTGCTATGAGGATTTTACTGAAAAACATTGATCGAAGACCAAAAAAGTGTAAATTTACAGTTTCCAAGGACACTCAAGATTGCAAAACTTTGGCTGCTATTTTCTCGCAAATTTTACCTCAGACACTAGGTGACCCCCCACCTCATTCAATTTCAAATATCTCAACTTCTATTCAAGATAGATTACTATTTTTTCCACCTAAAGCAAGGCAAATGAACAGGCTTTAAGATGATGCCAATAACCTCATATGCCCAAAAATTGACGAGTGCCTTTTTATACCCTGTTGTGACACGTATGACTGATTTTTTCACTGAGATACTGTTGTGGAGGGGGGGCAGAGGGGACTGTACCCTGTGCTGTAAATGAATGGTAGTTTGCACTTCAGAATTCAGGTTTAGTGTTAATTCAGTTACATTTTAGAAGTTACAGTTGTCCAGCCTCAAGATAGTCTCTTTTTATATTGGCTGAATTATATCTTTTCTCTTTCGCTAAGTTTAGGGAAAAATACCTACATCTTTGGTGTTATTTTCAAGCTTTTTTCTTTGTGAGAAATGTACTTTTGTCTGATTCCCTTGTGGGGAAGATGTTTTACCTGGTATCCTGGTCTTTCTGCTGGGATGTATACCACACAGCACATGGTTGCTAGGACTAGCAGGGTTGTGATAGTCTGCTCCTAACTGATCTAAATTGTGTTGATGGGGACATAAGACATTTACAACAAAGCAAATCAATTCGTTTCTCTGATAGTTTCCTGCTGACGTAGTTGTTGGTTGATGGATGCTCTAGTGTGCTTTTTTTTCTTTCTTTCCTATCAAACATCTATCGTCTTTATCTCTCTTTTTTTTCTTCTTGGTATACTACTTTTTACTAACACCTCTGATCTTCGGCATGATTTGAATGACCTATTTGTGTTGCAAGTGTCATAAAACTAACTAAAACTACACTAAGACTAAAAAAAACCTGATGTTGTATCTTCAGCTGCCCGGTGGGTCACTACTGTGTGGAGGGCACAGACACCCCGGCCAGATGCTCCAACGGTACACACCAGCCCCTGGAGACCCAGTCCAGCTGTGTCCAGTGTCCAGCCGGCTATGTTTGCGACAACACTATGTCCATTGTTGTCCTGGACAATTCCACCACAGTCTGCCCCATGGGAAGCTACTGTCCAGCAGGCACTCGGTTCAGTAATGAGTTCCTGTGTCCAGTCGGCACCTTCAGTAACATCACTGGTCAGTTGTTTTGTAAACTTTCGAGGTGTTATTCTTTCCTGCATGGGTCTCTTAGATACTGTTGAAAAAAGTGAACATTGTTTTGTTTGTAGTGGATCATTAATAAGATGTTATTGTAACAAAGCATTCTGAAATGAGACAACCTCTATTAGAATTAAAAAGAAATAGTTGAAGGTCTGGTCTTTCGAGTAATAATTAGCATTTGTAGCACTTGTGTGTCAGGCAGGAATTACAATACAACAATTGAATAACCTTTCATAGACTGTTCCTAGTTGCCAAACTCCACTTGAGTCTTAAGCTTTGTATGCTATCCTTGGCATAATGCATTTTGTTTGTCAGTACAATTAATACAAATAGATCGGAAATGAGAGAGTTGGTCATATTCCAAGAAACCTGTGCTGGGATTTTTGCAAGTGATAGTTTGTCATGATATGATTTACACGCCAAACAAGCTTTTCAATATGCATGTTTTGGGGAAAAAGTGTTCAGACATATCTTATCCTTCTTTCCTGGAATGTTTAGGCCTCCAGACAGAACTGGATTGCAGCCCTTGTTTGGGTGGCTACTACTGCCCCACTCCGGGTATGGTGACCCCCATTGACCTCTGCAACGCTGGATACTTCTGCCTTCAATATGCCAACATTTCTGCACCTGATCAAGGTGAGTGTTACAAGGAAGATTGATATGGAAGTGACAACATATTGTTTTTTCTGAATGTTTCTAAAATGTGTTTTGATTTGTTTTGCTGTTTTTATCGGATCTATAATACGATCTAGATTTTATCTGGGGACATTAAGAGACACTCAAGAATGTTAATCATTTTGTGGCTTTTCATACTACCATTATGAATCTTATATTGATGTCCTCATGATCAGACCTCGTAATACCCCCCGGGCAGTGCCACTGACTGTAGTGTCTTTAGGCCATTCCAAAAGGGGGGACATTTCTTGTTCAAGCATAGTAAAATTGTAAATGGGCTGACTCATGTCACGCTCATAATTGTGCCTGATCTACAACAGGGAACTGCTGCTTTTTCTTTCCTGATCCTTACTATTGTCATTTTCCTCTACTTCTTTTGTATGTTTGTCACTCTCTTGTGACCTGCTATTTCCGGGGTGCCTTGATAGTCAAAGCAGACCTTGTACTGTTGAAGCTAGAGAGGTGAGCAGTCTAAGTCTGATTCGCTGTAAAGACTTCTCTGTTGGCACCCACCCCTTGGTGCTTATATGACTTTATGCAGTTGCGAGTGCCGTAAAACCCTCTACTATATAAAAAAAAAAGACCTCGTAAGCGACAGTTTTTGCGAAATCGACTTTTTCGCACCATTAGATTCTACTGTTTACAGTGCACATGCCAACAGAAGGTTTACATGAAACAATTGCATTAAAGTGTCTTTTATGGTAAGTAAACAAAACTCGTAAGTCCACCCCTCCCCAAACCCGGTTGTGATCAGAACCCATAAGCGTCATCCTGCCGCTTATACTCTTTGATTACCACTGAGCTCAGTGGTTTGAGACAGGTCATCGACGCTTAGGAGTGGTCAAAGCAACCGCTATCTACCTTTTGTACCTGATTCACTATGTTTTCCAGTTCTGACACGTTTTGTACCAGTCATAATCGCCAATATTTTGACTTCTATTCAAGATAGATGGGTATTTTTAAAGTCAAAAACAAGGCAAATGAATAAGCTTTCAGATGATACCAATAACTCTACATGGCCAAATATTGACGAACGCCTGATTCCACCACGTGGTGAAACATTTTCCTTTTAAAAAATCAATATACTACAGATATTTTGGCAGCATCATTGGCAGATCCTGCTTCTTGAACCTGGCAAGCAAGTGATTATTGTGTTTGTGAGCTTCTATGAAAATTTAAAAAGTCATTATGGTTTCTCGTTCCTTTTCTCTTAGGCTCTGACGCCAACATTTGCCCGGTGGGTCACTACTGTCCAGTGGGGACTGCCTCTCCTGTACAATGTCCGAAGGGTACGTTTAATAATGGCACAGGGCTGGAGGCTGAGGCAGACTGCATTCTCTGCACCCCAGGTTCCTTCTGTCAGGCAACGGGACTCGTGGATGTCAGCGGTCTGTGTGATGCTGGGTAGGTCGGGAACAGAAAGCAACTCTTTAGGGGTTTTTTCAAGGAAATATGCCTTACGACAGTGACCTATATAGTAGCATACAAATCATCGAAGTCTTAGTGTCTGTACAAAAAAACAGCAACCAATAAATCAATATACTTGCAAAGGCAAACTCAGCACTGTTTGTCGTCATCTCATCTAGAATAACAATGTCTTGCTTATGTACATTTATTTGTCTCTGATTAGAAGTATGTCCACTTTACTTTACTTTACTTTTCCGATCCAGCAGCCATCTGCGGGGCTCTAGTCTTTCGGCCTCTCAATATGATAAAGAAAGTACAGGCTTTTATCAGCTGTGTTTTGTCACTGCATGAAGTATATCCGATATCTAGGGAGGCAGGTAGGTAGATACTACACAGGTCGCTAAGTGCAGGGCAAAATATGCCCGCAAATTGACTGTCTAGTTTAAGATTCCACCATACACCATTTTGAAAAGTGATGTATGACAGTCTTACACTGAGCAGTCATGAAATATTACATAGTTAATTGACGAAGTTACATAGAAAGGAAATTAAACTATCTAATAAGCTGCGAGGAAACAAAACTGAAACTCCACTGCTACATTATCATTGTTGACTTTTTCATGTCTGTAGTTGTCATTGCATGATAATCTTTTTCCTTAACCATTGTAAGATAATTTTTCTGTTGCTCTTTAAATATCCCGACAGCTACACCTTCGAATTTTGATGTCCACTAACAACTTATTACCTGTTATTTTACCTAAAATAAAAAATTTTGGAGGGTAACATTCTCCCTGGAAATAGTATAAAGCATCACATATGGGTTACATTTGCAGCTACTACTGTGAACTAGGCTCGAACACCTCCCAAGCAGCTGTTTGTCCAGTGGGTCACTACTGTCCAGAGGGCTCCTCCGCCCCCACCCCATGCCCTGCTGGAACCTACACCAACACACAGGGGCTGGAGAATGTGACCCAGTGCACTGACTGTGATCCAGGAAAATACTGTAATGACTCGGGTAAGTTTTGGATAGCTGTTTATTCTCTCCTTGTGGGTAATCCTGCCTGTATTGATTATTCTGTATCGTCCACTTTGATTGCATTTCATCTCTCACTGCCGCCATCTTGGTTTTTGTGTCTTTGTCTGTGTCTATGTCTCTATCTCTGTCTGTCTGTCTGTCTGTCTGTCTGTCTGTCTGTCTGTCTGTCTGTCTGTCTGTCTGTCTGTCTGGATGTCTGTCTCTCTCTCTCTCTCTCTCTCTCTTTCTCTCTCTCTCTCTCTCTCTCTCTCTCTCTCTCTCTCTCTCTTTCTCTTTCTCTTTCTCTCTCTCATGTTCTCTTTCTCTCTCTCATGTTCTCTTTCTTTCTTTCTTTCTCTTTCTGTCTTTCTTGTTCTCTCACTCCCTCTTGCCTCATTCTCTCCCTCCCCCTCTCTCTCTCTCTTCTTCCTTGCTGTCTATCTCTCTCTCTCTCTCTCTCTCTCTCTCTCTCTCTTTCTCTCCTTCCCTCTCTCCTACGAATATATAATGTATACAAATATGTAGTGTGTTATAGAATTTGTGTGCTTAGACTGAAAAGCAAAGCATGGCTGCCTTGTATTTACTTCATTGAATGTGTCCATGTCAGCTACATTCATATGTGAGCTAGTCGTTAGGTTTTTTATTTTGGTGGGTGTTTACATCTCTTGCAACTGCATAAGGTCATTTGAATGCAGCTAGTTGTTAAAAAGCATAGTATCATCATCCTCAACGATTTTCCTACTCCGAATCTCTTTTCCTCCAGGTCTCTCCAGCCCTGTGGGTGACTGCGACCCAGGTTTCTACTGCCCGGGACAGGACTCTGTCCCTAACCCCGTCAGCACCCCTTGTCCCATTGGCCTGCACTGCCCCGCCGGAAGTGGTCAGCCTGTGCCATGCCCTGCTGGCTCCTACGCCAACTTCAGCCAAGCTGACTCCTGCCTCATCTGTCCAGAGGGATATTACTGTGTGCCTGAGGAGGTTGTCCAAGGTAGACTCTGATGCTGGCATTGAAAATTTGCCCTTTTATCTCTTTCAGTTCTTTAGTGCAGCCGGTTTTAGAATTATTTTTTCCTTGCTACAGAAAAGTTGCTTAAATGCAGATCTTGGTGAATTTATAACAAAACACAATTAGATTTTGTATCTTGTATTTTTCCTCTTGACTTGCACAAGTTGCTTAACACTTTAACCCCGTGCAGAGCGTGCAACGCTTATCCCCACAGACCAGGGTACAGTTAGGGTACATGCTATATAATACTGTCGCTAATTGACATCCCATGGGGAAATGGGACGGCTTCTTACTGTCCCTGATCGGCATCCCATCTGGGCATAGTGTTAAGCACATATGTTGCAGAATTGATATAATAGAACTTGAAATGTTATAAATTAAATTGTGCTCTTCTTGTGCTGGAAATGTAGCTTTATGTGTTGGTGCTAAAAGGTACTTTTATTTTATGTGAGCTAATAAATTAGTACAAATCCTGAACTCTGTTGATCATTTTTCAAATGCCTGTGAGAACTTTGGACCCACAATAAGCACAGCAAAGACCAAAGTTTTCTTCCAGCCTATCCCTGGTGAGACACAGACCCTCTCTCCTAAAATCAAAAATACATAGAACAACTCAGAACAATGTTGACAGCTCCAAATGTCTTGGCAGTACACTATCTTCAAATTCTATCTTCGATGCAGAATAGATTTACATATGAATAAAGTGAGTGCATCCCCTGGAAGACTCAAAGCTAGGGTTTGCTGTGCATTAGCACAGAGACAAAGCTGAAAGTATACAATGCTGTGTTCTTCTCAACTCTGTTGTAGGCCTGTGCTATCAATCAGGCACTCATCAAAACAACTACTAAATCAGAAAAACTAGCATTTTTCCACCAGTTTTGAAATTTTTTATCGAACTTTTGTTTTTTTGGCTCGTCCCTTTTATGTCCATATAAAAACAGATTTCCATGTGAATTTTGCTGAAAAAACATTGATCAAAGGCATGAAATGTCTTTTTCAATTTTCAAGGACTCTTTTAGCTATGGAGTTACTTACCTTTGGCGGTCATTTTCTCGCTTATTTCACCACTGAAACCAGGTGACCTCACCTCCTTCACCCAACAGACCACAAGTGCTCTGTTTGTGGAAAATTCTTGGAAAAAAGAATATGGCTTAAAGGTCACAAGGAAATCTATACAAAGGTTTAACCAATGAGCAATATGGCAGATAACCATCCAAAGGGAAGGCACTGCTATCCCTGGCAAGTTGTGACATTTGTGGTCTTGCAAGCTGCTTGCAATCATTCTGTTTGTTTACCTCTTTGATGTCTATAACTTCTCTTTCTCCTTGGATGGTAATGGTCAATATCAGTTCAAGATGGATGAACTATCTTTATTATTATGCCAAAAAGTACAGTGCAAATTTAGAACACAAATTAGCACTGGAACTGTGTAGGTTTGAATGACTTGTGCCATATAAATTTGTTTCCAATTCAGCCTCAGTGCTCAAATGGCATATGTGAGGCAGCGTGGTGGAATCAGGCTCTCGTCAATTTTGGGGCATGTAGAGTTATTGGTATCATCTTCAAGCTTGTTCACTTATCTTTATTTGGATGAAAAAAAATCAATTTATCTTGAATACAAGTCAAGATATTGGCGGATGAATGAGGTGGGGGTCACGTGTTTTCAGAGGTAAAATTAGTGAGGAAATGGCCGCCAAAAGATTAGTTATTTCGTTAGCTAAGAGTCTGTGGTAACTGAAAATTTACATTTTAGGTGCCTTTAATCAACATTTTTCAGAAAAATCCACGCAGAAATGAGTTTTTTAATGGGCTTGAAAGGTGTTGAGCAAAAAAAACAAAAATTTGATAAAAATGAAAAAACCTGCAGAAAAATGCAAGTTTCTCTTCACTTTGATTATTTGGACGAGAGTCTGATTCCACCACGCTGCCTCACTTATCATATCTTTCATACACTTGAGAAATTGTGAAACTTTTTTCTAAAGAATATATTGTGAATTTTCTCATGTGTTCAAATTTTCTGTTGTTTTTTTACATTTTGTCAGGTATCAAATTTTTTTTCACAAAGTCAAATGAATGTCCTTATAGGAAACTCCAGTTCTGGTCACCGTCTGTGTCCCGAGGGTTTCTTTTGTGGATCTGGCACAGGCCTCAACTGGACTGCATGTCCTGTTGGGACATTCAGCAACATTCTAGGCCTACAGGAAGAGTCAGAGTGCCAGCAGTGTCTGGGTGGTCAGTACTGTGACCGCACAAACCTCACTGCTCCAGCTGGAAACTGCGACCCAGGTGTGTATTTCCCTCTGGGATAATAAAGTATTATCTTGCGAGTATCTTATCTTATCTTATTTTTACATTTTTGTTAATAAACTAAAATGCTACTTCTATAAATATAATGTTAACACCTTTTTAAATTCTTTAGCTTTTGCCTTAATGGAGTCCTGCTGTAGGTAAAGGTAAGGAATAAATAATGTATCGTGTCTGCACCTGAAACCACAAACGTTGATTTCTCCTAGTTAGGTAATCTCTTGTAACCACAAAGCAATTTTTGATAGGGCATTCTGCTAAACCTTTCATGGGATGTTAAGTCCAGGATAAGTGTTAAGAAATTAATACAACGCCCAGCTGTTTAGGTAACAAGCCCATAATTTTTAAAATTTTGTTATTTGAGTTTTCTAGTCTGCGGTAATGGTTGTATGTACTCCAGAGATATATTTGTTGAAGTTCAAATAATACAAATTGTAAGAAAGCAAAAAAGTAACAAAGGGCCTAATGTTGGTAAAAGTGTAATCTTAATGAGAATGAAACAGTTTTTTCTCTCTCCTGGAAAATACAGCTTTCCAGGCAAAGTACATTTGAACTGATGACTGACAAATATGGTTTTGACATGCAAAGGTGGTAATCCACCACACAGTTTTTTGTTTTGTTAATCTGTACTCTTACACTGGATGTTTGTGTGAAAATGTTAGCCTTTCTGAAATATTCTCCCTCAGGCTACTATTGCACTCTGGGAGTTGATGTGGCGAGCCCTGCAGGAAACCACACAGGAGACGGTGGCATCTGCCCGCCGGGATACAAATGTCCTGGTGGGACGGTCATGCCTGAAGGGTGTGATGCTGGCACTTACCAAGTAGGTGTATTGTCTCATCTTTATTCTTTCTTGAGTGGCCGAGATGTGTGTTATTGAGATAAGATAAAGATAAGAAACATCTTTATTGTCCAGATCCTGGCACATTGGTTTGGTGTTTCACCACGTACAGACATACACACACGCACACACACACACACACACATGCACACACACGCACACACACACACACACATGCACACACACGCACACACACATGCACACGCACATGCAGGCTTACAGTCACATGCATACTATAAATGAATAGTAATAAAAGAATAATAATGTTAAGCTAGATACATACTCAGAATTCTGATTGTACAACAGTAACTTTATTCTTATGGGAAGTAGCCTTTTGATGGCATTTTCTATGTAATCAATTTTCCTTCTGTGTTTGACTGTCCATATTCTACACAAGTAATTGCAAATCTTGCTTTTTTTCATTTGAAACAGTGTTTTATTCTGTTTAGATAAGATCTCTGTGAAGTAATGTTTAAATCTATTTTTATATTTTGTTGTTAATCTTTGTCTATATTTTTTACAGACTTACCTTTTAAAAAGTGATGGTATCAGTAAATGTTAACATTTTCAACTTGGTGTACATGGCTAGGTATGTACAACACAAGTTGTGAATATATGACAGTCATAATTAATCACTCTAAAACATTTGGAAATGGTAACATTTGTAGACACACTAAATCCCATTATGAAGATTTTTAAAATGCGCATATGTTTTTCACAGGATCAAAGTGGTCAGGCTATGTGTGAGGTGTGTCCAGCTGGCTACTACTGTGTGGCCAATAGCACCACATACACAGACAAGATCTGTCCTAGTGGACACTACTGCCCAACTGGAACCCAGAGCGATATCGAGAACCCTTGTCCATCTGGAACCTTCAACAACAACACAGGTTAGTTAGAGCACAGTGGTGTGTTTGTTTATTTGTGGGGCATCGTGGTGAAATCAAGCGCTCATCGAAACAATTTAATCAAAGAACTGCATTTTTTGGGGTGAGGGAAATTTTTTTCTTATTTTCTTTTTTTAGCGCTTTTCAAAATGGCGCATGGTGGAGTTTAACATTAGACAGTTGATCTGTTTATCTGTGGCATTGGTGGCCTAGTGATTAAGCTCTCAGACTCGCAACTGTAAGGTCGTGGGTTCAAATCCCATTTGAGACCTGATGTTGTGTCCTTGAGAAAGGCACTTTACATGTATTTTCCTCACTTCACCTAGGTGGGAATGGGTACCCAGCTATAGACAGTGAAAGATCTTGTCAGTTTGTTAGTGTTTGAACTCTTAATCAGCTGCTTGCGCTGTATGCTTCCCGGGAAGCTGAGAATGTTTCTTAGTGTTCTATGGTCTGTTGGGGTAAAAATGATATAATGCAAAGCGCGTAGAGCTTGCTGTTGAGTGGGGTTACGCGTTAGGCAAAAGCTATTTAGTATTATTATTATTATTATTATCTAACACAGCACGCTTATAATGCACTTCCCTTCCCAGGTCAGCATAACAACAGCGGATGTGAACCCTGCACCCCTGGTCAGTACTGTGGCTCCACAGGGATGAGCTCACCAACAGGAGACTGTGACCCTGGATGGTACTGCACCTTGGGCTCCAGCTTGCCCACACCTGTTTGGCCAGAAGGTGGAAAGTGTCTTGCAGGTACGGATGGATTTTTCTATTCTATTTTTGCACCATCTTCTACTCTTTTTACGGGGGGGGGGGGGGATTTTAAAAATTTTTCTTTAAATTGTTGTTTTGCACCACCTTTTTGAGGGGTAGCTGTATCTTTTTTCTGTTTCAGTTCTTTCTGTTAGATTGCTTATGACACATTGGTAGAATAATTTTATGCTAACTTTTATATATATATATATATATATATATATATGTATATATCACAATGACTACATAAATTGCTGCTGTCGCTCTGTGAACAAGATCTAGATTAAAAAGTGTTGTGACATGATGGAATTGAGTGCTTATCAATTTTGGTGCATTTGGAGATATTGGTAAGAAAATTAACATTTTTTGTGCCTTTAATCAACATTTTCTGTAAAATTCACACAGATAACATATTTCACATTCATAGATTTTTTTCCTTCTCTGAAAATCAGATACTTAAATGCTCTGGGTTTGTGATTTTCTCATAGTGTTGGCGTTATTTCTTAGCTCCATCTCTGATTGTGAGAAATATTCTATATTTTATTGTTTCATTATTTGTGCAGGCACATTCTGGGTTTGTGATTTTCTCAAAGTTTTGTTCTTACCTCTTAGCTCCATCTCTGATTGTGAGAAATATTTTATATAAAATTTTATTGTTTCATTGTTTGTGCAGGCACATTCTGCCCACAAGGATCTGGGGCTCCCATTGGCTGCACGGTGGGTCAGTACTGTGACACTGACATGATGTCAGCACCAGCAGGAGACTGCCTGGCCGGCTACTACTGCGACGGCAACTCCACCACGGACAGACCCTCAGGCTCTGGTGGTGAGAATTGATGTTTTACTCTTTATCTCCAGCAAGCTGCTCCCAGCAGTTCGCGGTCGGAACCGCTGAGCTGGTAAAGCGACTCGGGCACTTTACTTTACAATAACTTCAACGTCAAATTAATTTTCAGCAGTTGCCAAAAACTGATCTCTTTCTCAGGGGGTTCATTCATTACATGAAGAACTATCGAAATAGGCAGCTGCAGAACAAAGAAAGTGTTGGATTTGAATCCACAGGGTAAAAGATCAAGGGGAAGATCGTGTGAAACCTGGAGAAGAAACACAGAAATTGATGTACAGAAATGTGGGAAGACATGGCATAACATCAAGAGGCTAGCCCAGGATAGAGAAAGATTGGAAATGTTTTGTCCATGGCCTATACCCTGGTGTAGGGTGAGACAGACAATGATGATGAAGATGACTATAGTTCTTTCAGTGATTTAGATTTACTTTTTAATTTCTCTGTTCAGGTGACAAGTGTCCCAGCGGTCACTACTGTATTGTTGGCTCTTCGTCCCCCGCACCTTGTGACCCCGGCTACTACCAGCCCAGCCAAGGGGCTCAGAATGTGACATGGTGTATTTTGTGTACTGCTGGAATGTTCTGTAACCAGAGTGGCCTGTCTGCACCGGATGGGGATTGTGATGAGGGTGAGGAACAGCAGAGATTAAACTCTATGTGTCACAATACGGTGAAATTAGGCGCTCGTCAATTTTGGGACATATAGAGTTATTGGTATCATCTCAAAACCTGTCCATTTGCCTTGCTTTGAATGAATAGAATTAAAGAATAAAATATCCATTTGTCTTGGACACAAGTCAAGATTTTGGTAATTGAAGGAGGTGGAGAGAGAAAATGGCCGCCAAAGTTGAGTTATTTCCTTAGCTTGAGAATCTCCAGAAACTGAAAATGTATATCTTTTATGCCTTTAATTAACTTTTTCATAAAAATCTGCACATACATGTGTTCTTTAATGGGCGTGAAAGATGTTGAGCCAAAAACAAAAATTCTATAAAACTTCCCAAACCCGCGGAAAAATGCCAGTTTTTTTACTTTCATTATTTTGATGAGCACCTGATTTCACCACACTGCCTAACATATAATCAGATTTTAAAATTGGATTTGCTAATTAAAATCAGTTATTCATGGTAATGTACATCTTTGTCTTTTTCACTCTTTTTTTATTATAACAAAACATATTTATTTCATAATATAATCTTGTGAAGGGTGAAGTCTATAAACTATACATGGGGCTCTCGTGGCCTAGAGGTTAAGGTGTTGGCCTCTCATTCAAAGGTCCCGGGTTCGAATCCGGGTAGCGACCGAAAAATTTTCTTCTCTAAAATTGTCCCCCTTTCACCTCCTTTCCTGCTCTCCAGCAATGATCTGTTGTCTGCTTTCATTTCCACTTTCTTCCCCCACCCCCTCACCTCCTTTGCCCCCTCCTCTGGGCTCCTGACTCTTTCTGCAGCCTTTCTACTGCTACTCCTTGGCTCCTCCTTACTGCTGTCTTTCTGCCACACCCCTGATCTTCTGGTAGGAAAGATTTACACCTAGCCTTCTTGGACAAGGGCGAAAAATCTCGGACGGCCCGTGTGCAAGTTGCGCACGTTAAAGATCCCTTGGTGGTCTAAAATCGATAAGAGTAGGCTTCGCCGCCACCCTGGCAAAATTCAAAATTTCCTATCAATTGAAAATATTAGGTGTGTCCCGCGTGCTCATATGACCTTATGCAGTTGCGAGCGCCGTAAAACACTAAAACAAAACAAAACTATATATTCACTATGAGTGTTACTTTTTTTCCCAAATGCTGTTGTTTACACTGCATAGAATCATCTTCATTTTCTGTTGCTATAAAATAACTTATGACCATTGATTTCTATTAGTCTCATGAGTTCATAAGTACTATTAATGTGTCATATTTGCGCACAATGCTTATTTAAAGATGTATAACTTTATTATTTTTCTTCAGGTTACTATTGTCCCGAGGGGCAGACAGTTCGCAACCCTAGTCCATACGAGTGTCAACCTGGATATTATTGCATCCAGGGCTCCAGCATTCAGACCTTGTGTGCCAGTGGTCAGTACCAAGACCTTGCCGGTCAAGGATCTTGTAAGAGTTGTCCAGCTGGCTTCTACTGTGATAACTCGTTCGGACCCATCACAACACCAGCATCATATGTCTGCCCTGAAGGTAATGCGATGTTGTGGTTGTCTTAGTGTATTTGTATGTGTATGCGTACGCGTATGTGTATGCATATGTGTATGCGTAGGTGTATGTGTATGAAAGTATGATGTAATTGCTTGTTTTGAAATACATTTACATGTCTATTTGAAATTTTGTTTGCGAGTTGCTGCATGGAGTTTAAAAAATGCTTCTCATAAATAAACGAAGTCTATTTTTTATTTTGATATCCACTACATTGTAAAATATCTGTTTGTTTTAAAATTTACAGTGAAACCCAAATTAGCCTGATAAAATCTCATATAATTGTTGATTTTAGAATTAGTGTTTTGTGATTTTACTCTGTTCTGTGTGCCTGATTATTTTTGTCTTGAAATTCTGTTTTCACACTTCCGATGATGAATATCATCGATATTGCAAGCCATCCACTTTGGCCTGTAAGGGTACTCTTTACACCGGAGACAAAAACTACTTTTTGTTGTGTTGTTCTCATCGGGAATAATGAAAAGCAAGACAATTGTAAGCCTTGACCATAGGATTAAACTGCATTTTGGTGATGTTGAAAGATGTATCTTTGATAAAGCTTTGGGAGATGGACAAAAAAAATTATAAAAATTTGGATTTGAGTGGATTGCTTGCAACAGCAGCGGTTCCTTTTATTTTTCTTATATAACGAAATCGACCTTTTTGAACTTTGGCCAACTTTGGCACTTTGGTAATGTTGTGTTATTTGTTGGACAGGTCACTATTGCCCCAGTGGGACTCGTCACGACAGTGAGTTCCCATGTCCTGCTGGAACCTTCAATAACATCACAGGACTGGAGTCCTCAGCTGACTGCTTCTCATGTTTAGGTTTGGATGAAGTTTGTCTCGTCTTAAGAATTTTTTTATGAAAGTTAATATAGATTGATTTTTCTAGTGTAAATCTCTTCTGTTCTGCATTGTATCTGTGTTTGGGTATATTAACCTTACTTCCTGGATGGTGGGGGTCATCTACTCCATACTAGAATACACCAGTGGGTGGTTGACGGGTGCTCTGGTGTGGTTTACTCTTTCTTTCCTTTCTAACATCTATCATCCTGATCTCTACTCCTCCTTTTTTGTGTTCGTTACTCTCTTATAACACCTCTAATCTTCGGCACTTATATGACCTTATTGTGTTGCAAGTGCCGTAAAACTCTTACTAAAACTAAAAAGAAGCACCAATAGATCTTGTGGAGAGTAGTGATTGTTTTCTCTGTTCAGATCCTAACTGATGTCTTCTGTGCTGCATTATGCTGTTTGCCATACCTCATCTACACATTAAAACACGATTTTATAACAAGTATGCCGGAGGGTTAAATAGAGGCAGAGAGAAATGAGCCAAAACCTCCTACATCATGCATTTAAAATGAAAGACCTCGCAGGGTTTTCCAGCTTCATGAAATAATGTATCAAAGCAGAGACAGTGGGAAGGTGGGGGACTGCTGTGGCGAGGAGTGAGCACCAACAGACAGACATGGCCACAGGAACTGGTGACACAGTAATTACTCAGCCTTTGAAACTGCCTCAAATTGTGTCAGATTAAAAGTTTGACTGTGGGTGGTTGGCGGATGCTTTGGTTTGGTTTGCTCCTTCTTTCTTATCAAACATCTATCGTCCTCATCTCTTCTCCGTCTTTTTGTGTATGTTAACTCTCTTGTAAAACATCTATTCTTCTGCACTTATATGACCTTATTGTGTTGCAAATGCCGTAAAACGCTTACTAAAACTAAACTAAAAGTTTGGCTGATTCATTAAAACAAAACAAAACTTGTCAACAGTTGTGTTGATGTTATCTAAAATGGCACATCTGATGCCAAATGACTGGGCCACTCATTGTCAGCTTGAAATAATTGTAACTTGCTTTATCTACAGGTGGGCTCTACTGTCCTGGTGGGACGACATATCCCAGTGTTCCTTGCAGCGCTGGCTACTTCTGCCGATCGGGAGCTATGACAGCAGCACCCTCTCAGGGTGTGGACGCAGCCATCTGTCCTATGGGCTACTACTGTCCCGAGATGACCACTGAGCCTGTAGCGTGTCCAGTGGGAACTTTCTCCAATCTGACCGGCCTGATGAACACAACAGACTGTACATCATGTACCAAAGGTAGGAGATCATGTAAAAGCATGCTCTGGGTTCTTTATAGAATGGAGTCTTCTGATCTTTTACTCTACAATATTAAAAACATTGAGAACAGTGGTGTGAATGGTTGCCCTATCTGACTTTAGAAAAGTCAAATAATATTAAAGCTGTAATGCCTGAGGTTATCCCTGTTTCCATCCTGAAAGGACAAAAGTTTTTAAAATTGCTTCAAGTCAGTTGTCAGCAGCTTTTCAGACTGGACCCAACTGATAGAAAAAGTTGGAGACGAATAATGAGGAAGGCAACAGCAAACAAAATCGTTCTTGATGATGACAACAACTGACCACTGAAGCTGTTTGTATTTTAAGTATTTTTTTGTCCGTCTGTGTGTGTTGCTTGAAATAAATTCTTCCTGATTTTATTTCCTTTTGAAACACTTTTCTATGCAAAATAGACTCTTAAATGAGTTTATGATAATGGGCATAGAATAAGTATAGATTTATGATAATATCCAGGGCTTTATTTTTCTTTGCACATGTAAATGTGCACGTGTGATATGCAAGTAGATGTGAGTGTATGTGTGTGTTTTTGCATGTGTGCGTTTGTGTGGCGTGCAAGTTTGTACACTTGTGTTTGTGGGATGGATATGTGCGTAGGTGAGTTAGTGTGTATGTGTGTGTGTGTGTATGTGTGTGTGTGTGTGCATGTGTGTGTGCACGCGTGTATGTTAATATTGTTCGTACATGCATTTATGTCAAGCGCCTAGAGCTGTCTTCACACGGGAGTGGGCGCTAAAGAATTAATTATCTACATTATTATTATTATTATTATTACTACTACTATTATTATTATTATTATTATTATTCTCCAGGCTATTACTGTGATGGTTTGGCTCTCACTGAACCAGCTGGTCTGTGCAGTCCAGGCTTCTATTGTGTTGAGGGCTCGTCCACTTCCTCCCCTGACATCTGCCCGGCTGGACGCTACTGCCCAGAGGGCACCCACACCCCACAGAGGTGTCCCTCGGGAACGTTCTCCAACGCCACCCGTCTGATAGCCGTGGAGAACTGCACCGACTGTACTGCAGGCTACTACTGTCAGAACACAGGACTCACTGAAGAGCAAGGGCTGTGTCTGCAAGGCTACTACTGCCCTACAGGTGAGAAGTGGTGTAATTCTCTAGTTTGTTTACTTCTTCTTTTTTTTCTTCTTCTCGATCGCATCACACTTGAAGTTCAGTGTCTATTATACATTGGGCCATCCTGTTCAGTTCATCTGTCGGCCTGTACAATTTCTCTTGTAGTGTCAGTGGGGTTGTCCTCGTTTCCTGTCTCAGGGCCCTGTGTGTCTTGCAGTGCTGAAGGACGTGTTCCACAGTTCGGTCCGCCTCTCCACACTGACGTTTTGGTGATTGTACTAGTTTACTTGTGTACTTAATCCCCCATGTCGTTATCCTTTTCTGCGGATTCCAGCTGGTTTTTCTTCTATGAGATGAGTAGCTTTAAATAAATATATCTGTCACTTACATGCACTAGGTTTTGGCTGCAAAATCTTTTCTTTTTTACGAAATGAAGTTGCTTTTTTCTCTTTGGTATTTATTAAGTGTGTAGTGTTTATGTTGTCTTATGCATAAGAGGTCTCAATACTTATTCGACTTTCCATTCGGAATTTACCCTGGGTCAAAGCTGCCGACGTCCAAAGTGATTGAGTTGGAGGGGATGGAGAGTTCATTAATTTTCAAAATTTCCAAAAAGTTTATAAAACTTGTCCTTTGAAACTTTCTTTTAATTAACAGCAAACAGATTTAAGATAAGTCATTTTCCATGACCCCCGCAGGCTCTACTGTGCAGACCCAGGTGATCTGCCCCATCGGTCTTCAGTGTCCAACTGGCTCTGATGAGCCGAGGTCATGTGCACCTGGCTACTTCACCAACAGAACGGGCATGTGGGATTGCGACATCTGTCCTGACAGGTGAGGTCTTGCTGCTTGTTGCTGTGTCATTCTCGCCTCAGGGTGTGGACCTCAATTCATCTTAGAATGCTTGGTTCTTGTGTGTGTGTACTGATATATAAACATGTGTATATCTATGTGAATGGGTGTGTAAGAGAAAGAAAAGAGGAATGGAGGGGCTTTTGTGGAGGGAGATTTAACCCTTCCAGTCCCATGCGCATATATTTTTAGCAGCATTTATACCTCCCACCATCCCAAGAGCGTATATTATTCTCAGTTTCGAGGGTTACCGAATTTGTGCATTTTTCAAACTTAGCGAACCTAATTAAACTTTAATTTTCAGAATGTTTGTTCATAAACATTGTTATATGTTATTGTCTAAATATCATTACAAAGATACTACATCACTTTTTAGAATGCATGCCTCTTTTTCTGAAATACTGTTTTATTTTGGCTGGGACTGGGCTGAGGGAGTGCACAAAAATGACTGGGGCTGGAGGGGTTAAGAAAGAATAGTCTCTATGGGTGTGTGCTTGCACTGAGCTTGCCTATGATTTATATGTGTGTGTGTGAGTGTCATTGTTTGCATGCAATGAGGAGTTGGGTATGGGCATACATTATGTGGACATACATGAAGAAGAGGAAGGAATACTGACTCTTTGTATCATACACTGATTGCTTGCTATGTATTTTTGCTATTTACTGTACTGTTTTCCAACAATGTGGATAATTTCTGAGTTATAGGGGAAAAGGGGGCAGAGCTTAGGAATGAATTTCACATGCAATAGTAAGTGCAGGAAATTGTGAAGTAGGTCTAATCATCAGCAGAAAATTTAGAGCTGTAAGTGCTTTACTTAAGATTTGTATTTATTTGTCCACCCTAGCTATTGCTAAATTTTGGATTCAATGATCTAACATTTTTTACAACCCAGTAAATTTTTTTTTCTTTTTGTCTTTTAGCTTTTACTGTGTACCAACGAATGTGACAGCAGGGAACCCCACCTCTGGCTATTTCGACTGTCCAGCTGGATACTATTGTCCCAATGGCACTGGGCTGGACTGGCAGGCATGTCCAAAAGGCACCTATAGCCAACAGACCAATCTGTACAAGGTAAGCGTTTACAGGAAAGTAGGAATCAGAGGTGCTGATGTTCGGGATAACTCCGGAAATCCTGATTATTGAAATTGTGATTGTGAATGGATGAAAATGTTTAACACTCCCATTGATAGGCCTACATGTTAGATAATTTACAAAACAGCCTATGAGGGATACAGTATCCCAGGAGAAAAATGAAGATTCTGATTATTTCTTGCAAAAATTGGGAGTGATTTATTTTAACTCTTTCACTACCTCGAGTTGTGTTTCATGGCTCGTGCTACCCCCAATGCTGGACCGTGAACCATGTTTCACGGCTCGCCACTTTTTGCTTCAAAACCACATCTACTTTTGTTAAAATCGAATCTGAAATCTCAGGCTGCAGATTGATCATTTTTAGTTACAAGTTGAAATAGGTAATTATTTCCCTTTATTTTCATATAATACATATGGCTAATATTGAAAATTAAACTTTAAAAATCTTTAATTTGTCCAACGGTAGGCAGAATCAGAAAGTAGGTCACAGATAGGGCCAGGTTCAGGGGAGGAAAAGCCCCCCCCCCAGTAATGAAAGAGTTAACTCTTTTCCTACCGGGCCAAAGTCCACCACTGGCCCAGGGCTTTTCCCTGACCTATTTTTACGCTCTTACCCCACCATAGGAAAATGTCAAAACATTCAACTAAACGCCCTCAAACCATATTATATGGCCCATCAAACTCTACGCTAAAAAATAAGCTATCAGATGGTGATACAATATTGAAGATTTATTCCAATTATATTAGTTTTGGGGGTTTCTAAAAGTGATTATGCAATATCGAAGGTGTCATATGAAATCAACAATTTACCAGTTTTGAAAGGTCATATCTAAACAATTACAACAACAGCATCATTCAAACTTTCCAGGTAGGTTGCCTCAAGTAATTCAAAAAAATGCTGAATGCTAAGTATGTTTACCTAATATAGAAGTGAAAATATGAGACATATACTAAAGTCAGGGTAGACCTTTTCTTCTCATTTTTACGTTTCGAAGGGGACGAAAAAAGCGTTGAAATGACAAAAATCGTGTCTCGGTGCTATATTTTCTTTTGTAACTGTTAACAGGAAGTCTATTCTATTATTTTGAAAAAGTGGATTGGCCAAGAATTTCATTACTGGATTGGAATAGATAGCTAGCCACCCAAGATGTATTTTGCGGCTTTCGGTCCAGCAAGGCCACGTCCGCGAGCAAGTGTTAAGCTACATGACTGCTATTATTTTTCACTGTTATCATACAGACTTGAAGACTTAAGTACATATTGTTATTGTATTGTGCAGGTGACCCAGTGCTCAGACTGTGACGGAGGTTCCTACTGCTCTGTAGAGGGAGCCACCAACACCACAGGTCTGTGTGCTGAGGGCTATTACTGCCAGTCAGGGGTGGACAGACCTAACCCAGACAATGCTGCCACCAACAGCTCTTACCCTGCGTCCTGTCCGCTCATCGGAGGCCACACAGGTGAGCTGTATGAATCTTTACAAGTTACAACAAGATAAAGAAAAATTAAATTGAATAATACGGAAAGCATGCAAAATTTCAACATCTACATTCCCCTACTTGGATGAATTGTACCTTACAGCCTCCACTAAAAAAATAAGTTCCATCATTTTGGACCATTAACATTCCTTGTTCCCTCGAATAAAAATATCAGTCAGAAGTAAAAGACCTAGGCTTCTGATCTGTAACAAAGAAAGATACAGAAGGTCATTTTTACCATGATCCATAAAAATTCTTCCATCATAACCATCTTGTTACAAGTATTCATATGACCGTAGAGCATGCATCAGAATAAAATTGAGTTACAATCAGAATACTGAGTATGTATCTAGCTTAATATTATTATTGTTTATATTAGGTCTACTGTTCATTTATATTATGCATGTGACTAAGCCTGCGTGTGTGTGTGCATGTTTGTGTGTTTGTGTATTTGTGTGCGTGTGTGTGTGTATGTGTGTGCGTGGTGAAACATCAAACCATTGCGCCAGGATCTGGACAATAAAGACATATCTTATCTTACACAGTGCTAATCGTTTTTACTTTGTTTCCATATTATGTGTTGGCCAGTATAAGTGTACATAGCTAGGTTGTTTTTTGGGGTTTTTTTAGGAAACCCTCTTTTATCTGCAAGTATGGATTATATCTTGCACACTGAGAGTATTTTTCAGAAGACATTGACAAAGAAGTTTTGGGATTTGGTTGCAGTAAAAGAGGAAGTGAGAGGTGATGGGTGAGGTAGGGGGGGGGGGGAGAATGGTCTTCCTCTCAGCTTCAATTTTATATTAGAACTGCCAAGATAAGAGGGTACTGCACTGGATTTCTCCTTTTTGTCAAGTAGTAATTGTAGCAATCTGTGCTTTAGAAAGCGACATTGGCTGGGACAACAGTGACAGTAGAAGCATCAGTACCGTTAGCAACAGATATGACGACTACAACTATGCTAATAGCAGGAGTGACAGATGACATATGCAGCAACAGTGACAGTCAAAAAAGTTAATTCTACAGCATTTTTAAATTCATTTATTTGTGTGGATCATGATAACATTTTGTGAAACCTTTGTTCCCTCAGTAATTTAGTGCTATGGATAACATTGTGCAAAAGAGGTTGATATTCAATTTATAATTATCTGCCATGGGTAAATGCCAAAACCCACAATGACGTTATGATATTTACAAAAAGTGAATAGTATGCAAGATGTTTCTCAGTCCTAAACAACCCGCAGGCAAGGAGCATAATATAATGTTTCTTCTTAACAGGTTTTGGTGACGTCTGTCCTCGAGGCTACCACTGTCCGGAGGGGAGTGAGCTTCCTCAGGGCTGTGCTCCTGGCACATACCAAGATGAGGAAGGCCAGGGCAGCTGCAAGCAGTGTCCGGCTGGTGAGTCTCAGACTGGATCAGTTTAACACTTACAGTACCAAAGGCTCATATAGTGGAAAACCCTAAAGTACCTCACCAGTTTAAAACATTGAAGCCGTGGTAGACTTTTTTTTAACTAAAAAAAAAACCCTTGGCAGCCCAAGAAACACGATTTAAAAATTCTTAAAGGTTCATCAACCATTCAGGTATCATATAGAGTGACTTCCTTTAGTACTCACTTCAGTACATCTGTTGTTTAATTATGTTTAGTCTGCCTGGTCGTATCGGCAAATAGAGTCACCAGCGGTAGTGAGTGCATACTACAGCAAGTTGCCAACGGTACTGTAAATGTTAAACAGAAAAAGAAGACAAGTTTAGCATATTGTTAGCCAGCTGTTTAGATGTACTAGGCCCAAAATTTTTAATTTAAAGCAAAAAATCACTCATTTTTAATCTGTGCTATCAGTTGCATGTGCTTGAGAAATATTGTGTTGAAATTCAAATTCTAAAAGTTGAAAAGCAAGAAAACTTACATAATGCAGATACATTTTTTTAAAGAATGAAACAGGTTTTTTTTTTCTCTGTCCTGAAAAATCTTGCTTTCTGGGATAGAACAGTTGAACCTTTTCTTATCTGATTTTAAGGGGGCTTGATACTCACAGGACAACATTTTTAACTATGGACAAACTGAAACAACTTTTGTCACAGGCAGTAAGTATTAGACGAAAGATTCATGTTCAACTGTTGACACACTCAATTACGTAAGCCGTTGCCACGGAAATGGAATTTCTTGAAAATTCAATATAATTTTTTGTTCTCTACCATTTCTACAGTTTTCACATTTTAAAAATTCTGTAACTTTCAAAATGGCACAAATAAATACGTGCTTTCAGTATAGATCATGAAGCGCATAGAGCTTGCTGTTGAGCGGGACTTGCACTATACAAGAGCTTTAGTTTTAGTTAGGTTTTACGACGCTCGCAACTGCATAAGGTCATATGAGCGCCAAGGGGTGGATGTCAAAAAGAAATGTCCAAACAAGGAATCAGGCTTACTCTGCTCACTCATTAGTCTCAACAGCAGAATGTCTGCTTCGACTATCAAGGCACCTCGGAAATAGCAGTTCACAAGAGAGTGGCAAACGTACAAAAGAAGTAGAGGGAAAATGACGATAGGATAAGGAAAGAAAAAGCAGCACCTTACCTATGTTGTTCAGGCACAGTACGAGCATGCCATTGATAAATCAGCCCATTTACAATTCTACTGTGCATAATAAGAACATTCCCTTTGGGAATGACCTGAAAGCACTTCAGTCTGTAGCGCTGCCCCGGGGGGGGGGGGGATACAAATGCTATATCTATTATCATTATCTATTATTAATATACACGTCTTCATGGCCTCTTCTTCCAGGTTATTACTGTCCAGCCAACTCGACAGACTACTCTGACAAACCTTGCCCTAGTGGTCACTACTGCCCAGCCGGCACTGAATACTCCAACCAGAACCCTTGTAGTACTGGAACTTTCAACCCAGCTGGCTCACAGACAAACGTGTCAGCGTGTCTTCTGTGCACGGCCGGGCAGTACTGTCAGAGCACAGGCCTATCCAGCCCCACAAATAACTGCAGTGCTGGATGGTGAGTATTGTTAATGTTGTTCGTGTTATGATTTTTTGTCGCTGTTATGAAATACTTGATATCAATTTTGTTCTTGTTGTAATTTGTATTGATGTAATTTGTGTTGTCATTATTGTTGATATTGTTGCTACTATTGTTGTTGATATCAATGGCTGGTTGCAAGACTGACTAATGGCATTACGCAATTTGTTGTTCGTGAGAGTTTTGCACCCAGCCATCAAAATACATGTGATTATACCTATTGTTTCAATTGTTGTTTCTGTTGTGTTATTGTTGATTTTGATGCTTTTGATTATTGTTTTTTCATGTTGTCAAATCGAAATAATGAAAACATGTTCTCCTCTTCTGTCACAGGTACTGCTTCGAGGGTTCCACCGATGCTATGCCAACTGACCCCACCATGGGTGGTAGATGTAGCCATGGCCAGTACTGTCCTCTGGGCAGTGTGAACTACACACTGTGTGATGGGGGCACGTACTGCTCATCATCCAGCCTTGCTGAGCCTTCTGGAAATTGCAGCCAAGGTGAGTTATCCTGGGAGAAAGATGGGTGGAGATTGTCCCTGAATGTGTATATATTTTGTGAACCATGTTGTAATGTTGTAGCTAATAATGCTTTTTGCCCTGCTGAAGGTGGAAAGTCACTCCACATGTGCTTTGGAGAAAAAAGCTCTCTTATGAATAAAGTTTTTCAGTTGCTTGTTAGCGGCAGCAGGTACGACTATAAAAGATGCCCCCTTACAAAGATAAGAATTATATTCTGGTGAACTCCTATAGTCTCTTTGTTGCTAATAGAAGACGGCTCGGGCAAACACATAGGTAGTGTTTTAGGTGATATCTTTCAGTTTTTGTTTGTTTAGTTTTGGGTTGGGCTGGGTACTTCGGGTTCATTTTTGGTGGGTAATGTGTTGACATAATCAAAGATTAGACAACATCCTTCACAAAGACATGGGTATCATTCAAGACAACTAACAATCATTATTTTGTTGCCACGGCTGTGATTCTTCAGGTTACTACTGTGTTCTGGGAGCCATCCTCCCTACTCCTGTGGTGACTGACAGCACTGGTGGTCAGTGTCCAAAAGGCTACTACTGTCCAGAAGGAAGCACCTACGGCCTGCCCTGCCCCATTGGGTACTACCTGGACACCGTCAGGAACTCGGCACCTTCTGCCTGCAAGCAGTGCACACCAGGTGATTGTCTGACCGTCCCCTGGCCTATGTGGCAGGACTGTTTGTGTCACGACTCAGTGGAATCAGGCACTCGTCAATTTTTGGGCATATGGAGTTATTGATATCATCTTACAGCTTGTTCATGTATCTTGCTTTCGGTAAAAGAATTGACCATCCATCTTCAACAGAAAACAAGACATTCCGAATTGAAGGGGATGAGAGTTTCTTAGTTTCAGAGGTAAAACTAATGATAAAGTGGCTGCCGAAGTTTGGTGACTTCCAAAGTTTGAGAGTCCTTGAAAATTGAAAAAATTACAATTGTTTTCCTTTAATCAATGTGTTTCCAGTAAAACTCTACACATAAATGTGTTTTTTAATGGATATTAAGGTGTTAAGCCAAAAAATAAAAATTGTAAAAAAATTTCCAGACTGGTAAAAAAGTGCTGTTTCTTCAATTTCATGATTTTGACGAGCACCTGATGTCACCATACTGCCTCACATATGCTTTTTCTTTGCTCTCTTTCAACCAGACCACTTTTTATACACCAACAGAGATAAACCTGAGACCTGAGAAAGACCTCAATCGACTATAGCACTGATGTTGTGACCAAGAGCAAGATTACTTAAAAAAACAATGAGTTATTGGTTGTTGAAAATATGATCATCTTGCTGAAGTATCTTCTAAAAGTCGATCCTAAAATTCATATTCCTTCATGCCTTTTGTATTTATATTTCAGTTTAAACAGAGTTCAGCCTTTTTAAACCTATCCACACACTTGAATTATTTCATTCTTTCATAACCTATTACATTTTGTTATATACTTCAGAACCAAACCTTAATTGTGTAATGCCCTCTGTAATCCCTTATCAAATTTCTATTCTTTTATGCTCTTTCTACTTTTTCACCTAGGCAAATACTGTGATGCAGAAGGCCTCGAGACCCCCAGTGGTGACTGTGATCCCGGCTACTACTGTCCAGCAATGTCCACCTCTGCCACTCCGGCCAACACAACTTGCCCAGAAGGTTACTTTTGTGTGGGCGCCCTTGAGGCACCTGAGCCTTGTCCTTCGGGATACTATCAGGTGTGCTCTCATTATTGTGTACTGTTATTGATGCTGTTATCTCCACATGTATGATAATAGGTCTAGACTTGATGAGCCTTGTCCTAAGGCCGGATGACAAAATTGGTTTTTATGAATTATCCTAAATGGGTAATGGGGAAAGATCAGGGAAACGTAGCGATTTTAAGAGCATCAGAGCAAAGGAATGAATGGAGAACCATGATTGCCGATGATGCTGCAGATCTGGCACTGGATGATGATGATGCCTAAAGATTCCCTGAACTAGGTGGCAAAAGTATCTTGATGTGGTAGCAAGTTTAGAGTTTGTGATGGGTTTTTAGGGGAGGTTTTTTTTTTGTTGTAAATTAAATAAAAAATCTGGGATATAGCTGATTGTTCTGTACATCTGCTAACTTGTTCCCACCTCATGTCGTTTATTTGTGTTTACCACAACAGCAAAGACAATCAAAGGGCATTGATAAGATGGAAAATGTCATACGTTATACGTACTGAATTCTCTTAGCCTAGGTACAAAAACAGTTTGCGTGTCAAAATCAGAGGCACTGTAAGTGAAATTTAAAATGAACCACCTCTAAGATTTAGTAAAGAAAAGAAGGAATAAGTTGTTACAGATGGTATAAAAAACAAAAAACAAACAATAAAAGACCTTCAGTAGTGACAGTCACAGCTTAGCTTTGATAATTATTTACCATTTCCACTCTTGTTCTATTCCAGCAACTTCCTGGCTCGTCCGCCTGTAATCTATGTCCAGCTGGCTTCTATTGCAATGCTACGTTTGGCCCTGTGGTCTCTTACGATCTCTATGTCTGTCCTGAAGGCTACTACTGCCCCAACGGTACTGAGCATGCAGAACAGTATCCCTGCCCTGTGACAACTTTCAATAACAGAACGGGTAAGTGAGTGATTTAATCTAAGAGACAACTATTGTCTTACTACAGAAGGACATGAATTTTGATAATCTTAACACACACTCTGAAAACTTACATTTTTTGTGCCTTTAACACTTTGCCCTCACAGGACGCTGATCGGCAACGGAGGGAAGCCATACCTTTTCCCCGTGGGACACCGATTGGCGCCGGTGTGATAATGCGTGTACTGCACCTGTATCCTGGTCCGTGGGGATAAGTGTTTCGCCCTCTGCATGCTGCGTTGGTGGAAAGTGATAATCAACATTTTTCAGTAAAATCTACCCAAAAATGTATTCTTAATTGGACAACAAGTATGGTGTTAAGTAAAAAAACAAAAACGTGATAAAAATTGCCAAACTGGCAGAAAAATACCAGTTTCTTCGATTTCATCATTTTCATGAGCGCCTGATTTTACCATGCTGCCTCACATTTATCAATCCTCATTTTCCCCAGGTCTGGCGACATCTCTTGAGTGCACGGACTGTGTTGGGGGAATGGCTTGTGATCAAGCTGGCCTGACATACCCACTGAGGCCATGTGCTGCTGGCTACTTTTGCCGCAGTGCAGCCGGAACCACTACGCCAAATCAAGGTCTGAGCTTCAGCAAAAAAATCTCTGCTCTCCCATGTCCATTTCTATCTCCTTTTTATGTCAGTTAACACTTTTCATCTTCAGCTTTGTGGTCTTTTAACTGTGCTCACTTTGTTAATTTTAGGTCATGTTTTTTTTTCTGGATAGTGAATATTATATTTTTAGAAGTAAATGTTTTAAATTTGCAGTTGTAGCATCTGACATAATATTATTTAGACCAGGTTGATATTTCCTCCAACTGAAAACAGGGTTTGAATGCAACAATTGAGTCTCTTACCAGAGGTTTACAATTCCCTCAGAACTTTGTTTCTGACTTTCTAACTTCAAGTGACAACTTCAGCTAGACAAATATTGTCCTCCCACGAGACGGGCTTGAACAGATTTTTAGTTTAGTACATACACTGGTAATCAAAAAACAATATTATGTGAATCATTAGATTGTGTAGATACCCATAGAGTTATCATTCCTTTTCTTTCTTTTCAGGCGTTAATGCGGATGAGTGCCCAGCTGGCTCCTATTGCCCTGAGGGTTCCGCCGAGCCCATCCCGTGTCCTCAGGGGACTTATAGCCCGACGTTTGGACTCACACAGGAGGGAGAGTGTCTTAACTGCACTGCTGGGTTCTATTGCAATGAGACAGGTAATTCTATTGGTAGCTTGTTAACACCTTCAGGACCACCGACATAGCCTTCTTATAAGCGAACTGCGCACAACCGAATGGGACCAACGACATGTATTTACGTGATTGTAATACCACTCATTCAAGCCAGTCCAGGTTTATTCAAAGTTATCCATGTTTTCCGACTGCTTTTTCAAGCACAGAAGAGTTCTTTCCCTTTCAAATCCACCGAAGTTGAAGCCAGTTTGAGTTGATTAGAAGTGAAAAAATGTCTTCAAAACGAGATTTTACAAAGGATGTGGGCGGGGCTCCGGTCCTCTGGATAGGATCAGCTGGTGTGGGGCCGGTCTCGAGGTGTTAAAGATGCTTCCCAAAGGACAGAATGATATCCCCCCCATGTCATCCGCAGATGAGTTTACTGATACATATTTTTTTCCTTCAGGTACTCTTTTAATTTCTTTTTTTTTTTGCTCTGCATATCTGATGGGTGAAAAATTTTCCTCAATATTATTCGTGTCCATTTGCTTTTTCTTTTTATCCATAGGTTTGACAGCCGTAGTTGGAGCATGTGACCCCGGCTTCTACTGTCCCTCAGGGTCCATTCAGTCGACCGAAGTGGTGTGCCCTGATGGCTCCTACTGTGAGCTGCAGTCTGCCACGCCCACAGGCTGCCCGAACGGAACATTCTCCAACCAGACGGGGCTGTCCACCGCTGCTCAGTGTACGTCATGCATGCCTGGCTACTACTGCAATGGCCTGGGTCTTATCGAGGTCAGCGGGCCGTGCAGAGAAGGTAGGCCTTCTGGAAAACGTATTGTGTTCGTGTTGTCTCATTTTGGCTGTGGAAAACATGAGGGCACCATAACAGAATATGTTCTGTTTTCTGTTTTAGGTTGAAAATTAAATGTTTTCTTTTTGTTCCCGTCCTGGAACAACAATCTGTTTACTTGTGGGGGCTTTTATGGGGGGGGCTTTTTTTTTTTCATCACAGAACAGTGATGTTCACTGTACTTATTTCATGCTGCTAGAATGATATCAAATTACTGTAGAATTATAGACTGGTTGTAAATTTGTTTTATTAAGATAGAGAATAGAACCATTACTGCTCCTTGACTCTGTTGGCATAATTTTATGGCTAGCAACACTCCATCTCTACTGTTTTAGTGGTTTAATTTTCAGTGGAAAGAAATAAGAATGGATTTTAAACAGTTTGTAGTTTAGTTTTTAAATCTGTGAATGTTTTAAGTTTGTTAGTTATACAGAGTTGGATTAAACTATATTATGTTAAAGCAGTAACTGATTGCTCAGATATTAACATCCCTTATCCATGAATGTGTGTAAACTGTTGTCAATCGAATACTTTTTTCCCCTGAGATCTATTCTGTGAATTGTGCCCTCACTATTTTGTGGCAGATAAGCTCATCATCATCATTATTCCTTTTCTCACCATGGTTCAGGATATAGGCCACGAACATCATCATCATCATTATTCCTTTTCTCACCATGGTTCAGGATATAGGCCACGAACAAACACTTTCCACTTTTCCCTATCCTTGGTGTTATTCCACGTCTTCCCTTTTTTCTGTACATCAATATCTGTGATTCTTCTCTAGGTTCCACATGGTGGTCTTTCCTTTGATCTTTTATCTTGCGGGTTCCAATCCAACACTTTCCTTGTTATGCGGCTGCTTGACTTCGTGAGAGTATGTCCAATCCATTGCCACCACCTTCTTCCCACCTCATCTCTGACTGGGATTGACACAGAAGCTGATGAGAGCATAATTTTTAAAAAAAATTTAAGTAGGCCTACATCTTATTCGGTATTTCCGCATCTTGTATGATTTTTCTTATGCCAGCATGGTCTCCAAACCTTTTCTCCCCTTAGGTTACTACTGTCCCAGTGGGTCCAGTGTGGACACACAGGTCATTTGTCCATCAGCCAAACACTGCCCACAAGGCAGCTCAGAGCCGCAAGATTGTCCAGCAGGTTTTTTTGCGGATTCCGACGGACAAGCTTCCTGTGATATCTGCCCTGAAGGTTTGTCCATTGTCATACCCTTCCCTAGTTTTTGTTTTCCTTACGTGAGACAGCGTGGTGAAATCATGTGCCCATCAAAATAATATAATCTAGGCAATCAACATTTTTCTGGCCCTTCGAACATTTTTTTCGAATTTAATTTTTTTCGCTCATACCTTCTATGTCCTTTTTGGAACACCTTTTTTTTTTAAGATTATACTTTAAAGAGTTGATGAAAGACTCAAAAAAAGTAAATTTGCTATTTCCTGCTAATTTTACCTCTGACACCAGGCGATCCCCACCTCCTTTAATTGACTTCTGTTCAAGATAGATGGGTATTTTTATTGGCCAAATGCAAGACAAATAAACAAGCTTTAAGATGATACAAATAACTTCATATGCCCAAAAATTGACGAGCACCTGATTCTATCGTGTTGTGACACATATTAGTAACTCATGATCCAGTGGTCAGTGAAGGCAAGTTCACAAAGAATGGAAAGCAATGCACTACTGATATGTGAGTACTGTTAAAATTGTCGTAGATGGCCAGCTATTGGTGGAGGTAAAAAATACTTGTCTTAGACAAGTCGTCGCCTCAGAACTATTTTGTCCAAAGTGTACTTAGGTAAAGGGGCACTTAGGACAAAATAGTTCTGAGGTGAAGAAGTGGTCATCATGGACAGAAAAATTAAAATGTAAAACAAAGAAGGGGGTGGGGGGGGGGGGGGGGGGGGAGTACTTGTTTGGATAGGTGATTTGAGCAGATTTGACAATATATTTTAACTTTTTATTTAATTTGTGACTTTTACACTGATTTCACAACTGGGTTTGGTCTGTTGACTTATGTTCTAAAGTTTTCATTCTTTGGAAATGAAAGGCTAGCAATGAAAGGTTTTGATTTTTGAAAATGTTGATACTAAAATTAAAAACATCTTACTAGTTGTTATAATAGCGATAAAGTTTGGGAACTTTGTTTTTCATTAACCCTTCCAGCCCCATGCACATATATTTTCAGCAGCACTTGTACCTCCCACTGTCCCAAAAGCATATATTCTCAGTTTCGGGAGGCGCATTTTTGAAAATTATCAAACCTAATTAAACTTTAGTTTTCATAATATTTGTTCATTTACCTTAAAATATTGTTATATGTTATTATCTAAACATCATTACAAAGATACTACATCACTTTTTAGAATGCAGGTCTCTTTTTCTGAAATACTGCTGTATTGGCCGGAACTGGGGTTAGGAATGCACAAAAAATGCTGGGGCTTTAAGAGTTCTGGTTTTTGTAAATTTGGTTAATTTTTTTTAACTTCAGGCTATTACTGCATTCCAAGTCTGACCATAGCTGGAGATTCGTCCTCTGCTAAACATGCCTGTCCTGAAGGATTTTTCTGTCCCAACGGGACGGGTCATGACTGGCAGTCTTGTCCACACGGTACTTTCAGCGCAACCACTGGACTTGTGTCTGCGTATGAGTGCTCACCTTGCCTGGGTGGCCAGTACTGTCAAGGTAAGATTTCAGTTGTAGACATTGGTCAAAGTAAGATGTGTTGGTGGTCGGCGGGTGATCTGGTGTGGTTTGCTTCTTCTTTCCTGTAAAAAACTATCGTCATTCTCTCTCCTCCTCCTTTTTTGTGTTTGTTACTCCCTTGTAACACTTTTAATCTTTGGCTCTTATATAACCTTATTGTGTTGCAAGTGCCGTAAAACTCTTACTAAAACTAAAGTAAGATATAAGTTATTCACAATGGTCAAAGTAAGGCTCTAGTTCTATACATTGATCAAGGTATAGATTATGGACGTTTACTACTTCTAACAAGGCACACTGTTGCAGGTGCAAGCGTGTGTAGATCAATGTGTCACATCTGATTCATAGTGTGTTTGGTCACTTTTAAACGCAAGGGGGCTATCCCGCAAAATGTTGTTTTGAGAAAATCGAAGGTAAAGTTTTTGCCCCTTGTTCAGTTCCTTTAAAAAACAAAGCGCGTTTTCTCTATAAACAATCAAATATACACACCAATGAAGCCAAAATTCTCCTATAGATAGGGCAATGCCCACTTTTGGTGTAGGTCAAGATTTCTGGACACAACAGAAATCAGGGTTAGCCCGCTTGTCCTTAAAAGTGACCGTATAGACTCAAGTGCCAGCACAGCTGAATAACTAGTGGTGAAATCAGGCTCTCGTCAATTTTGGGGCATATGGAGTTACTTGTATCATCTTAAAGCTTGTCCATTTGCCTTGCTTTGGACGAAAACAATATCTATTTATCTTGGATACAAGTCAAGATATTGGTAATTGAAGGAGGAGGGGTGGGCTTGTTTCAGAGGTAAAATAAACGAGAAAATGGCCGCCAAAGCTGAGTCATTTCCTAAGCTTGAGAGCCCATGGAAACTGAAAATGTACATATCTTATACCTTAAATCAACTGTTTTCAGGACAATCCATACAGAAATGTGTTCTTTAAAGGGCATGAAAGGTGTTGAGCCAAAAAACAAAAATTCTATAAAAATTCCCAAACCTGTGGAAAAAAGCTAGTTTCTTCACTTTGCCTAGTTTGACGAGCGCCTGATTTCACCACGCTGCCTCACTTTATTATTTTATTAACATTTCATTTTTTTTATTTTTTTTGGTGTATTACGGGGTTAAATGTTTTTCTCTGACTTTTATTGTTTGCATTAGTAAGACCCACCCTAGAGTCACACTTGCATTTCTCATTTGTTTTCTACATCTCTGTGCACCTCTTCAAATTAAAGTTGATGTGATAGTGTATGTGTGGCAATATGCTGAAATCAGGCGCTCACTCATAATAATGGAATCAAGCAAAGAAACCAACATTTTTCCACCCGTTTTGGCAATTTTTATAAGTTTTGGTTTTCTAGCTCAACACCCCATATGCCCATTTAAAAACACGTCATTATGTGGATTCTACTGAAAAACATTGATCGGAAACACACAAAAAAAGTAAATTTCAATTACCAAGAAAACTCAAGCTTTGGAAATTGCCAAACTTTGGCAGTTATTGTCCCACTTATTTTACGTCTGACACCAGGCGACCTCCTCCTCCTTCAATCTTAAAGGTACATCAATAAATAGCATAACAACTACATGCAAGAAAAGAGCAAAGGTACAAGAAAATTAAGGGGAAAAAATCAAACCAGCAGGTGATAAGAGTGTCCTGATCAGAAATGAAGTATCATCTGTACATTTTTCCACCAACAACTTTTGTTATTTCTGGTAGGTGTGAATCTGACGTCACCCACTGGCCCATGTGACGCTGGCTTCTACTGCGTCTCTGGCGTAGACAAAGCCGACCCAGTCATGCTCAACGATACCCAGTGTCCAGACTCTACCGTCCACCCTATCATTGGTCACATCTGTCCCCTCGGACACTACTGCCCAGATGGCACAGTTTACCCCATCGGCTGCCCGGCTGGCTCCTATCAAAATATGACCCAACAGGACAGCTGTCTGGGCTGCCCATCGGGCTACTACTGTCCAGCAAACACCACAGAGCCCTCTGTGAACCAGTGTCCTACAGGGTACTACTGTGAGGTAAAAACAGTACATTGTCCTGACTGAAAGTATGAACTTCCCAATAGGGCTCAGAACTTCTGGGAGTATAACTTATTTCATTTTTTTTCTTAATCAGCTACCTCTCAATAGGGCTCAGAACTTGTGGAAGTCAAGCTTATTTACTTACTTTTTTTATCAGCTGTATGTTTACTTTTGTGTGTGAAACTTTTAAACTGTTAACAGCGTCTGAAGTTTCATTTTGATTCATTTGGTAAAATGTGAATTTAACACAGTAGAATGCCATTTTATTATTTTTGTGTGTAACTTGAAATCAAGTGAAGATCATTGAGTCACCAAATTATCTTCTCTTTTCTAATAATCTCTTTGACTCCCTCTGAGAATATTATTATTTACTAGCCTCTTCTAGAAGGATTAAGTGTTATTTCATCTTCCATGTTGTGTCTTACTTATTGCTATGAGATACTTGTCACAATGATAAGCAGGCTACACTTCGTCCTTTTGAAGGTGGACTTACTATTCACAGGTACTGTGAGCAATTTTTTTGGTGTGTTTATTGGACAGTTTAACCCTAACAGATTGGCTTTGTATTTGCAGTTAGGTGATTTTTAGTCACATGCTAGAGGTGCGACTTAGATTCCCTCACGAAGAGAATTATTATTAAGTGGCTCTGTCTATCTGCTGGAACATTGCATCCCTCTTATCCAAAGTTGGCCCTGACTGGCAGGGTTGGAGCATACCACCTCCAAAATGATCTAAATAGTGTTGACAGGGGTGAATAACTTGTACAATTAAAAACCTTTACCGTGTTGTATTCTTTCGTCAAATTTCACCACTATGATGAAGGGCTCATTTATCTTCTGTGTTCATGCTCCTCTCACCAGGATAACACAACCCACATGTATGAGTTCCCCTGTCCTGCGGGAACCTTCAACTCACTGACCCAACAGAAGGCTTTGAGTAACTGTGTCGCCTGCACACCTGGCATGTACTGCCAGGGCAGTGGTAACTCAGTCCCAACTGGCAACTGCTCCGCGGGATGGTACTGTGTGAATGGCTCCTCTCAGGCACAGGTTAGTCTGACTTTGACAGGATGTTCCTGAAAAGTGTCTTTTAACATTTTAACACTTTGCAGTCACACAGCCAGCAGTACAAAATACCCCACCTGGTCACCCAGCCAGGAGAATGACTGCAACAGACTTCTCGGGCCTGGCGCCAAGTGACCGGAACGGACAATTTTCACCGGCGTGTTATTGTGTCAAGTGACTGCAAAGTGTTAAAGCTAGGGAATAGAATTTTGATGGGAATTTGCAATGACTTTTAAAGATTTTGAAATAATATGTTAAACAATGTGTCTAAATATAGCAGGGATACTTAATGGGTTCTTTTATTGTAAGAGAATGATCTGTACTCTTCTTACATCCATCTCTACCATGTTAAGTGAGCTCCTAGCATAGCAGATATATACCCTCTCACTCGTTGGGTTTATTTTTCATAATAATAGCTTGTCCGTCTCTGTCGGATGATGACCAATGCATCAGCAGAAGAGTCTATTTCTTTAGCAAAATAGAAGAATTAAAGGTTAAGATTACTTGTGTCTTTTGCTGTGGCCAATGAGAACAATTTTGTCAGAAAAGTTTGCCACACTTTGGCTTTCAAATGTTCCACTTCCACTCTTGGACATGCGCAGCTTGCAGGCTTTTCTCTTAGTTTCAGCATCTCTTATTCGTGAAACCTCATATAATTTGTAACTGCTGCTCTTCAACTTAGTCTGTCATGAGCTAGGCTCTCCCATCTCAGAGGGTCTGTGTTGAAGTCCTTCAGAGACATTTTCAGTCATTGGTTATAAGGATGATCTATTTCCCCAGCCAACGTCTAACGGTGGAGAGTGTCAGCCTGGCTATTTCTGCCCAGAGGGTTCAGCGGCCATGGAGGAGTGCACACCAGGCAGTTACTGTCAGACGGCAGGACTGGACACTCCGACCAACCTGTGCAATGCTGGCTACTACTGCCCGTTAGGGTCAAGTTCACCCACCCAGGTGTGTATGGTTTCATGCTGGCTTTGCAGACTTCATATGTCTACATGGATGGGAGTTCTCTCTCTCTCTCTCTCTCTCTCTCTCTCTCTCTCTCTCTCTCTCTCTCTTCTGGCACCATGGCATCATATAAGCAGTCAGTGATGCTGACAGCATGCAAGAACTCAACACTCGCTCAGGTGTCCTTGAAGAGTGCTGAACGTGGGTCACTGAAATGTCCCAGCAGATGTGTATGGATTGGGATTGAAACCAAATACAGCTCAATCTGAACTAGCAACCACCTGTCCAGGATAACCACTTATACTTTCCACTTTCCTCCTTGTACTAGTCTATTTTTTTTCTAATTTATAATGACACTGTACAAGAAGACTGCCTGTTTAAGATTACCACTTTTCTCATTGATATGGGCGATTATCTTGTACAAGTTTGACTTTTATCCTGATCTTCATTATGTTAGCTAGTCGCTACCTCAGAATTAAAAAGTTCTATCGGATGTTTTTGGGTGTTTTGAGTTACTAAGACCTTGAGGCAAGAAATCAAATGTTGTACCTGCTTTATCAAAATTGTAAGATTATTTAGAGTCATTATCAAGATAAGGTGAAATTCAAAATTTTGTATATCAAATTTCTCAAAACTAGGTACTATGCAGATAGAACTTTGTAATTCTGAGGTAGCGTAATGACACACAACGCCCACCCCTTTCCCAGAGTTCTATTTATTTTCACTATTATATCATTGTACCTCTCTCTCTCTTTCTTGCACCTTGTAGGTGGTCTGCCCTGTTGGCCACTACTGCATACAGGGCAGCGATGTACCAGAGCCTTGCCGTAATGGGACGTACGCCCCAACTACTAACCTGGCCTCAGAGGGAGAATGTACGCCGTGCGACGGAGGCTTCTACTGCAATGGCACAGGGCTAAATGCTGTCTCTGGACCATGTGACCAAGGTGAGATTTTTGCTCTGTGCAAAATCTAACCCACTCTGGCCCAACTTGTGCCATTTTTATGTGAGTCTTGCTGACAAAAGTGAGTTACTTCACACAATCCGTCAATGAAGGTAACGGCTTAAAATCATCACAGGGGACAAGTTTGTAGACTTTCAACTGCTGTTATTTTCTTCAAGTTTAATATTTCTTTTATCAGTTCTTGTTGTAAATTGTACAAACTCAATATTTGCATATGATGCATGTACAATGTCCACAGTACTAAAAACACAAGAAGTAACACATTTTTGTCTGCATGAATTACATATCAGTTTGTAGGGAATCTCATCTTGCATTTTTTATTGTTTTTGTTTATTTAACACCTTGCTACCTGGACTAAGTAACTGTTTACATACACTGGTTTGGTGTTTCACCATGTACGTGTATGGGTTTACATGGTGAAACACCAAACCAATGTGCCAGGATCTGGACATTAAAGATGTATTTTATCTTTTCTTATGAATAAGAGTCTCTTTAGCAAAGAGTTAAGGAACTAAGATGTTGTGTTTCATCTTTTCTTTTCCTCTGGATCATAGGCTATTACTGTCCAGCTGGCCAATCAGTTCCCAACCCGTACGACTACCTGTGTCCTGCTGGTCACTACTGTCTGGCCAACAGCGCCACGCCCACTCGCTGTGCCTCTGGGGAGTACCAGAATGAACTGGGTCAGTGGACGTGCAAGGATTGCCCTCAAGGTGAGCTGACAGTCGTTTGTAAATATCATTATCATTTAGTGTCAGATCTGCGATAGACATCGACAATCACGGTTCTCCATTCATTTCTTTGCTCGGATGCTCTTAAAATAGCTACGTTTCCCTGATCGTTTCCCGTTTCCGTGTGTCAATATATTAAATTTTATTAATCTTTTAACCTCTGTTCTTCATCAATATATTGCTTTTCACTAAATGAGTAGACTATATAATTATACTGGCTTTCGTGGTGTAATGTCATAAGATAAAAGATTGATTACCTTTTGGGAAGAAGTTTTTTTGATTATCTCAATTTTCCTGTAGGCCTATGATGTGTCCCACAAAAGTAGAACTAACTCTCTCTTTACTGGAGTCAAAGTACTAGCCTCTCAAAGTAAGTGATTTGTATAAAAAGGGTGTGATACATTTAACTCTTTTTTTTCGAGGGGGGTAAACTCAAAATGGCGGGACCTTTTTTTGTATAAAATTTTTTAAGGAAAAATACGTCACTAAATTGGTCATCAAATCGAAATAAGCGGACCTATTTTGAAAGTTCTTCATCTAAGGAATAAAATCCCAATAACAGAGACCCGTTTTCTGCAATTTCAGAAAAGTAATTTGACATCAAATTTGTCGTAAAGGAATGTGCCTAAGCTGCTGTCAGCAGCTCACTGGCATAGCAGTTCTGACCGTGAGCCACTGGGAGCGGCTTGCCGGAGGTAAAGAACTTAACGAATAAATGAGTATGTGTGAGGAACTGTACCCTTATGCTTCTGTGTCTATTCTCCAGGCTATTACTGTGACAACAGCTTGACTGCAGTGGGCAACCTGTCAGACTACGCCTGCCCTGGAGGCTACTACTGTCCTCCTAAGACTGAGTACTACAACCAGTACGCTTGTCCTTCCGGCACCTTCAACAACATGACTCATCGCATTGATGTGTCGGACTGTCAAATGTGTTTGCCAGGATTTTACTGCCAGAGCACTGGGCTGTCTGAACCAGAAGGCCCATGCTACCCTGGGTGAGCTTCTTATTTGTCAACAGCTTCATTCAAGAAAACTTGTATTGTTATTGTAATCTTTGTTTTGAAACATATCACCCTTTTTAATTGGATGGTACAAACTTTACCTCCCAGTCATACTTCTTTGCCTTGTTCATATCCTAACTCTAGTAACAGCAATGAAATAACATGTGAACCTTTCCTTCAAATGAAGGGACTTTGCAAGATATACTTAATGTAGTCGTCTGTAAACGTTTATTTTTGGCTTAGGCCCACAAGTTTTTTTAGATGGGCTGTTGATATATTTGTTGGATGTACATTATTTGATGCGCTAGGTTTAGTAGGTCAGAAAGTCATGCTGAGAAGTATAGTGTACATTTATCAAACTTAGATCAGCTTGGTTGTACTTTAACTTTAACACTTACATGATACAGCCCCCTGAGCTATTGGTTTTTAATAAATAGTATGTAGGCTCCTCGTGAATTTCTGCCTTGATCATGGTACAATGTTAAAGCTACTACCACTCCTTTGGTGAGAAAGAATAAAGGTTCAAGTGTTACAGGAGTCCTGCAGTATAATTATCATTATAATGAATGAGGTGTAAATGGGTCTTCTCCTTTTTACTTGGAATAAAATAGCCAGCCAGTAAACAATTTTGTTTGCAGTTACGTGAGCCTCTGGTGGTTGAGGATACCGAACCATAAAAATGATGTCCCTTTAACTTAGGCCATGTCTTTTACACTATTTTCTTACAGTTACTACTGCATTGGCAACAACACCAGCCCTATCCCAAGTGAGACCATCTGCCCAGTGGGCAACTACTGCCCGGAGGGAAGCTACCAGCCCACGCCCTGTCCTCAAGGCACCCTGGCCTCAAGTACCGGCAATGACAACGCTACTGACTGTGAGGCCTGTAACCCAGGACGCTACTGCACACCTAACAGCTCCATGAATGGTAAGAGAGTTTTTTCTTAACTCTTTAAACCCTGAGTTTTTTCTACCGTTACCTGAAGTTTTTTCTACAGTCACCAAAACCTTGTGCACTATGTGATACTATGTCTCATTATAACCCCAAAAGCTTGCCTTCAAGTTCTAAATGGCGGAAACGAAGGCATAGGGCACAAGTCAAATACTTAAATTTGCCGTGAAAGTGGCCCTTAGCAAGATTTCTTGCCACTTTGTTAGCTACGTTCAGAAGTTTTCAAATTATCTGGATTTTATTTCCTGTAATATGGTCTCTGATTTATTTGTTGGTTTTTACATTTTTTGGTTTGTTTTTTTAAGTCTTTTTTTCTTTGCTCTTCTGTGATGCCAATAATAATTCAGTTGTATTGTATTCACATTCATTCTCTATTCTTTTTTCTTGTGCTCATTTTGTTTCTTTTTTTAAACTATGAGAGCATTTAAAAGTCATGTTTGTGCTGAAGTACTGTAAATGAATTTAGTCACCAAAGGAGAAATGACTGACAAGAGTTTGTTCCTTCCTTCTCTAGGCGTCAGTCTGCCTTGTGACGCCGGCTACATCTGTCTGACTGGGTCCAGCCTGGCCAACCCAACGGACAACGTGATGGGATACATCTGTCCCGCTGGTCACTACTGTCTGACCGGTGCTGTGGTGGAGACGCCATGTGACAAGGGGACATACGGACCATCCACAGGGCTTGGTAAGGACATTAGATGTTTAAGAAACTTTTCTTTTGTAAGACATTTTTTGCCTTTTCTTTGTTGAATTCCTGAACATTTTTTGTGCTTTCTTTTCTCCATTTTCCTATCCAACTGCAGCTTCTCCATTTTCCTTTTCCAACTGCAATAAGTCTCTCTGGAGGAGTCAATGTCATGCACAATCAGGCTTCTCAGTTAAATTAATGTTGATTTTAATTTCTTTTTTGATTTCTTTCTGCCATTTTAGAGGACGAATATTTATATAACAAATACCACCTTGTAAATCTGTATACATCATTAAAAATAATTTCTTGGTGGCAAATATTGTTGACTTGTTACAGGAGTGGGAAAATGGGTACTCGCATCCTTGGCATTATTGGAGAAAGGGATAATAGGACAAACTAAGTTCTGTATTGTTCATTTTTAAGCAAAAGAAGTGAAGATTTGCTTCATTATACTTTAAGTCATACTCATAATGAGTTGGTGTTTATTTTATTGTGCTTTTCAGTATCAAAAAGTGAAAAAAAAATACAATGATCAAGTCTGATCTCAAAACGGGCGTGAGAAAAGGTTACACAACTGCACAATATGTGAGGCAGCGTGGTGAAATCAGTCACTCGTCACAATTAACGAAATCGGAGAAACAGACAGTTTTCAGTCACTTTGGAAATTTTTATCGAATTTTTATTTTTTGGCTTAACCTCTTTTATGTCCATATAAAAACAAATTTTCATGTACATTTTATTTTAAAACTTTTATTACAGGCACAAAATATGTCATTTTTTAGTTTTCAAAGACTCTTTAGCTATTGGAGTTACCACATTTTGGCAGTAATTTTGTCGCTAATTTCACCACTAAAACCAGGCGACCTCACTTTCTTAACACTGCGGTCACTTGGTGCAATAATGCACCGCTGAAAATTATCTGTTTCGGTCACCTGGTACAGTTCTGCGCCAGGCCCGAGAAGTTTGTTGCAGCCACTCTCCTCCCTTGGTGACCAGATGGGGTATTTTGTACTGCTGGCTGTGTGACTACAAAGTGTTAAATTGCAAATATCTTGAGTTATATTTCAAGATTAATGGATATTATTTATTTCGTTAGAAGCAAGGCAAATAAATCAGCTACCAGATGATACCAATATCTCCACATGCCCAAAAATTGACGAGCGCCTTATTCAGCAGCGTCGAGACACATATGTTTAAAGATGTATAACATTTTGTTTTTCGTTATAAAATGATTTTAAATATTCTTTTTCCAGCTGGCTGTCTGTTATGCCCAGAGGGCCAGACATGTCCATCCCAGGGAATGAACGAATCGTTACCCTGCCCAGCCGGCTACTACTGTGAGAGTGGCACTGACAATGATGGCACACCTTGTCCTATAGGTAAGTTGAAGAGAAATTGGATGAAGTGAGTTACGTTCTTCTTTTTTTTTTTCATCGTATCAATCTGTACAATTGAATTTTTTAAAATGTTTGATAAACAATGTGTAGTCCTACCCCCCCCCCCCCCCTCCCCCCCAAATACCCTTCATTTCTCTTTTTATATTTCTCTTTCACCCACCCCTCTCCCTCTTTCTGTTTGTCCCCCCCCCCTCCCTCTCCCTTTCCCTCTCCCTCTCCCTCTCCCTCTCTCTCTCTCTCTCTTTCTCTCTCTCTCTCTCTCTCTCTCTCTCTCTCTCTCTGTCTGTCTCTCTCTCTCTCTCTCTCTCTCTCTTTCTCTCTCTCTCTCTCTCTCTCTTTCTCTTTCTTTGTCTCTTTCTTGCTCTCTCTTTCTTCATCTCTTTCTCTCCATCTTTTGCTATTGTTGTCTAGGACATTGGGAATTATAATGCAGCCTGTTTTTTCCATTGAATAATTCTTAGGTTTATGTGTTCTATTGTTGAAATCTGTTTTAGTGGCTATATGCAGATTTCACCTTGTTACGTTATCATTGTGTTCCACAGTGGGAATTTGAAGAAAGCGACTATAGTTTATGAACTTTTAATTTTTCCACCCTGTAGCATTCACTTGTTTTGATCTTATTGAAGATTGTTAAATGTGTGGTCCTGCTTCTAATGTGGATGTGGGTGGTTGGCAGGTGCTCTGGTGTGGTTTGCTTCTTCTTTCCTATCAGACATCTATCGCCTTTTTATCTCCCCTCCTTCTTTTTTGTGTTTGTTACTCTCTTGTAACACCTCTAATCTTCGGCACTTATATGACCTTATTGTGTTGCAAGTGCCTTAAAACTCTTACTAAAACTTTAAAAACCTAATGTGGATAATAGTCTTTCAGTCTGAAAAAGATGTCGCCCTCTCACAAAACAATACACTATTTTGTTTACCTCCTCAGGTTCTTACAACCCCCACACTGGCCTCAGTTACTCTTGGCAGTGTCTGTCATGCCCGCCTGGCGAGTTCTGTAATGTGACGGGTCTCTCTTCACCGGGTGGATTCTGCCAGGCTGGCTTCCTGTGTGTGGCCAACGCCACATCAGCTGCTCCCGATGATGGCCTCAATGGTCCTTGCCCTGCTGGTTACTACTGTGAAGAAGGTGAGTGATGGAAAAAGAGATTTGAATAATTGTGAGGCACCGTGGTGAAATCAGGTGCTCGTCAGAATAATGAAATCTGAGAAATTTGAATTTGTTTTATTAGTTTGTAAATTTTTTTGATATTTTTTGGGGGGTTCAACACCTTATATGTCCATCCAAAACACTTTTATCTTTGGGTTTTATATGGCGCTCATATGACCTTATGCAATTGTATAAGCCTCTACTAAATAATTTTAAAAATATTGGATTTTATGGAAAAACATTGTTTAAAGGCACAAAAAAATGTAAACTTAGTTTCCAAGGACTCTTAAGCTATGGAAGTCACCAAACTTAGGCGGCCACTTATCTCGCTAATCTTACCTCTGATACCAGGCGACCCCACTTCCTTCAATAGCAAATATCTCGACTTCTATTCAAAATAAATGGATATTTTTTCATAGAAAACAAGGCAAATGAATAACGTTTAAGATAATATCAGTAGCTCCATATGCCCCAAAATTTACGAGTTTCTGATTCCACTGCGTCATGACACAATTTTATGAGAAGATAATTTGATGACTTTTGTGGATTTGTGTGCCAGATTGTGTTGCTATTTGTGTCCCGACACGGTGGAATCAGGCGCTCATCAATTTTTAAGCATATAGAGTTATTGGTAGAATCTTAAAAGCTTGTTCACTTGTCCTGCCTTTGGCGAAAAAAATTACTCATTTATCTTGAAAAGAAGTCGAGATATTTGCAATTGGAGGAGGTGGGGGGCGCCTGGTATGAGAGGTAAAATTAGCAAGAAAATGGCTTCCGAAGTTTGGTCATTCCCAAATCTTGAGTATTCTTAGAAACTAGATATTTGCGGTTTTTTGTGCCTTGAATGTAATTTTTTAAAAATATCCACACTAAATGCTTTTTTAAAAGGACATAAAAGGTGTTTAGCTTAAGAAAGAAAATTCGGGAAAAAAAAAAAGCCTAGCACCCAGAGCAATGACGTGTTTCTTTGATTTCATTGTTTTGACGAGCACCTGATTTCACCGCGCAGCCTCTCATATTGTTACTTCACTTAGTTATTCTGTTTTTACACATGCCTTATATTATAATGTACAATGATTTCTCTTTCTGTTGCTTTGTCAGTCAACACTCTAGATATGAGTGAAATTTTTATTGTATTCTCTTTCTCATATTTATGATATTTATGATTAAACCAAATTTCTGCAACCAAGCCTCTTCTGGCAAAAATAATACTTTACTTGATTAGGGGGAAGGCCTAACAAATAGATCCACTGAGATTGTCAGGAGAGCAGCCACTGTGTTGGTGGAATAACACAAATGAACATCTACACTTAGATGTGTGGTATTATAAAAAAGCATTATAGGTCCCTTTTTTGTTTATTCTGCCACCTTGTTTTTAAAAATTCAGTTTCATGCTGATCCAAATTTGCAGCTCCTCGTAAAAAAAATTTTTGAGTCTAGGAAGATGTTTGACGCATATCCCTCCACCCACCCCCGCCCCCTCCCATAACTTATTGTCTTACAGTTTTTCTTGTTCTCCAAAGAACACAAGCTGTTGTCTGCTGTGTGCATCTGTTATTCGTACAAAACCAATAAACGATGAATGAATTATCAGCTAACCATGCTTGAAATTTGAAAAACCTTAACTGCTGTCCCCCCCATCAGGTACTCTGTCAGCAACACCATGCCCAAGAGGAACTATGCGCAATGCCACTGGTGCTGGTGCAGAGGCAGACTGTTGGCCCTGCGACCCGGGCCACTACTGTGACAATGTGGCTCTTCTGGAGCCGGCTGGTGTGTGCCAGGAGAGATACTATTGCCCAGACGCAGCCAAGATTGAGACATCTGCCCCGTCGACCTATCCATGCCCTGCAGGATTCTACTGTCCCCAGATGACAGGAGTCCCAATCGGATGTCCCCCTGGTATGTTACATTGGATTTTGTTTCCATTAAGCCTTTTGGCCAGTCATGGTTCAGGACTGATTGTGCGGACAGGAAGTGTAGATATATTTTAGCCACAGATAAGTGTTTATGTATGCTAAGGCCCAGAGGCATTCTTATCAAACAATTAATGTAATGTCATAATTTCTATAAACATATTCTTTTGTTATAGAAATTAGAAAAATTACTCTCTAGGGTACATTTGAGTTAAAATAGTAGGCCCTATTTACCATGCATCTTGGTGCATGTTTGCATTCTAAATAGCCAGTTGTGCGAGTGTGTTTGCTCTGTACGAGTGTGTTTGCTCTTGAATTTCTGAGTGTTTTACTGATAATTGCCTGAGTGATTGTTACTTTTCTGTTGGAGTTTCCACTCATAAATCAGTAAAAATCGCTGTATTGCATCTTGTTTTATAGTAGGCTATCCACTTGTTCTCCGAACAATTCTGACAATTTCTTCTATGGCTCTCATCTATAAAGAATCATTTGAATAAAGATAAAATGATGTAAACTCATAACTCCTCCTCTCCTCAGGTACCTATCAACCCAATGTGGGTGAGCTAGACTGCTTGGAGTGTCCCACGGGCTTCTACTGCGTCCAGAACACCAGCATGCCTGAACTGTGTCCACCTTACTCCTACTGCCCTAATGGCACCTCAGACCCCATCCTGTGCCCCAACGGCACCTACACTGATGCTCTCACCACAGGCTTGGAGGACGCTGCTGATTGCTTCAGCTGTATCGCAGGTACTGTTATTTAATAGTAGATAACAATAGATAAAAGTTTGTATAGCGCAAATCCCTGCTGAACAGCAAGCTTTCTGCGCTTCACCATCTATACTATTACCCCAGCAGACCTGAGAGCATTCGGAAACAAACTCAACTTCCTAGGAAGCGTACAGTGCAAGCAGCCTTTTATGGGCACTAAAACACAAAGATACTGACAATATCTTTCGCCGTCTATGGCCCAGTACACACTCCCAACTAGGTAAAATGAGGAAAATTTGTGTAAATTGCCTTTTCCAAGGACACAATGTTGGGCCCGTGGCTCGAAGCCCCAAATCCGCAACCTCACGATTATGAGTCTGGTAGCCTAACCAGTAGGCCACCGACGCCACAATGAGTGGATATAAAGTGATACTGTCCTGGAAATAAAGATCTTGTTCTCTGTTCAAACTAGTTGCTGAGGAGAGAGCTATAGATTTGTTTTTGATCTGTGATTGGCAGTCTGTTTATTTAACACTTTTGTGAACACAATTTAGATCATTTCCCTGTCAACCAGAGCCAACCCAGATTGAGCAGTATTCATCCCAATAGAAAGTCGTCTTTATTATTGTTGTAAGATGGGGTTATTAAGGAAAGTATTTTCCTCCTCATGAGATTCGGACTTGTATTCTGTGTGTGCAAGGCAAAGGGCCAACATGTATGATTTGCAGATACAAGAAATTGTCACAATAAAAAAATCTGCAATCGAGATCTAGAATCTAGATCAAGAATCTAGATCTAGATCTAGAATCTATCTAGATCTAGATCGATCAACAAACCTGTCTTCATAAATGATAAATTCACCTTACATAAACAGTGTTTGGCTCTGGGTCTAGATTCTCCCACCATACTAATTAACTTAACTGACTTAACTAGATCTAGATATAATGTATCAGTAGAATCTAGATATGTCCGATGATGGCTTGTTGACCTAGATCCAAAGGTCAAAGGTTGTTCCTTTGCAGTCCCCCAGTGCCAAAGCAGTGCTACGGGACTGCACAGTCCGCGAGTGGATAGCGCTACGGGACTGTACAGTCCCCGAGTAGGTAGCGCTAGGTACAGTCCCCTAACAACTTCCATCAGTTAAAATAAGTTGTTTATTCTCTTTTCATCTTCAATTATGTTTTCAGTGATAAACTTTGTAATGATTACTTACATCGATTTGTATGAACTTTTTGAAGATTGTTCTCTGAACCTGTCATTTTTACAATAAACCAAGTAAAAACTTTACCCTGAAATTATTAATTCTGCAAAAATAAAAAAGGTGGTTCTAATCCTTGTACCCAGGCAAATACTGTGTCGGGGGCCAGATCGCTGGAGACTGCGCAGCGGGCTACCTCTGCAAGTACGGCAATGATGTACCCAACCCAGGCAACAGTACTGGGGATAATGGCTTGTGTCCATACGGCTACTACTGCCCAGCAGGTGAGAAAGGGTGAAGGAAGGGGGGGGACAGGCTGCATTTTTTGCTGACTTGCCTGATCAGGCCTGTGGTTCTCAGGAGGTACATTTGGTAAGAATTTTACATTGCTTACAACTACATATGGTCATATCAGTGCGACATACCGCAGGACATAAATAAGCAAGTCTTTGTGATAATCATCATCATCTTCCGGTGCCTTGCCGACAACAATTAAAAATGTGGTTTCCTTTCATACCATTCATGCTCGAAAAGGGGTCAAAATCTAAAAATTGTTGCGAATGAAGAATATTGAAGCAAAGGTGGCCATGAGGTAATGGTTCTATAAATAATCTCACAGCTACGCACCAGCAAGGTCCAAATTCCTTTATCTCGTCACCCGAGCTCATAAACAAACCACACACACTTCCAAAATAAATCAAAATAAAATATTTACAGTCCATTATAGGTGTTTATTTTGATCTTAAAAGAAGCAGAATATATCAAACTTTCAATAGATAAAAGAAAACAAAAATTTCATGGAAATTCACTTTTTTGCTTTTCGAGCCTCATAGCTGATAATAGCACACTGCATCTTATGACTGATATTGACCGGGGGAGACACATTTGTGATAATACTATTCCTATAGAACATGTCTTAAACCCTTTTTTTGTTTTTCACAAATAATTTTACCCTTCCAGCCCCAGCCATTTTTGTACACTCCCTAACCCCAGTCCCTGCCAATACAGCAGTATTTCAGAAAAAGGCATGCATTCCAAAAAGTGATGCAGCATCTTTGTAATGAGGTTCAGATAATAACATATAACAATGTTTAAAGGTGAATGAACAAATATTATAAAAATTAAAGTTTAATTGGGTTTGGTAATTTCGAAAAATGCACAAATTTGATACCCCCCACTCCCGAAACTGAAAATATATGCTCTTGGGACGGTGGGAGGTAGAAGCACTGCTGAAAGTATTGCCCATGAGGTGTCTTTTTTTTAAAGTGTAATTCTTCCTCCTACTGATTTTAGAAGTGCATTATGCTCTTTTGTTTGTACTATATGTAATGACTGTTGCATTATATCTATGTCTTTCAGGCATAACAACCCCACAGGTGTGCCCAGCGTTGTCATTCATCGACAAGGTTGGAGCTGGAGACATTAGTGAGTGCCAGCCATGTCCTGGAGGTCGCATCTGCCCTCAAAACTCGACCATCTCTATTCCTTGTTATCCAGGATACTACTGCGAAGTGTCGCAGCCCACGCAGCCCTGTCCAATCAAGTGAGTGTTTCAGCGTAAAATTGTTTGCCCATTTTGGTTAATGATTGTTGAAATTTAAAAAACAAAACAATAAAACATTTTTGAGGGAAGCTATTTTTGTTACTATATGCAATGACAGCAAAGTGTCAGTTTCTGAAACTCTTTCTCTATTCTGTTTTACACTTTTCACAAAACACCAAAAAAAAAAAAAAGTTTGAAAGAAGTTACATTTGCATAGAGAGAGAAATAAACACTGTATCAATTGCTCATCATCTACCTCTCTGTCTGCTTTTGTACAGAATATACAATGAGCTGGAAGCTATTTTCGTACTGAAAGAGATGACAACAAATTGTCTCTTTCTGAACACCATTGTCTCTTCTTTTTTTCACTGTTAAAAAAGCACCCAAAGAATCAATTTATTGAAGAAGTTTCTTTTACACAGAGAGAGAAATAAACTATCAATTAATCATCGTCTCTCTCCTCTGTCTCTCTACTTGCTTTGTACAGAACATACAATGAGCTGGAGGGAGCCGATGATGAGAGTTGGTGTCTGCCGTGCCCCGCTGGCTACATCTGTGACCAGGAGGGCACCTCAAACTACACCATGCAGCCTTGCCCACCGGGCTCGTATTGCATCAACGCCACAGACGTCTCCACACCTTGTCCCATGGGAACTTACCGGTCAGTGGTCTCCTGAGTGACTTAACCCTTTACCTGCATGGGGGGTAAACCCACTATGCCGGGCCCCTTCTTTGGTACTTATCAAAAAATGACAAAAACATCACTAAGTTGGTCATTAAATCAAAACAAGTGAACTTATTTTGGAGAGTTCTTCATCTAATTAATGAAATCCCAATAAAAGAGACTTGTTTTTGGCAATTGCTGAAAAGTAATTTGATGTCAGTTGTCGTAAAAGAATGTGCCCGAGCCAGTTCACCAGCACAGTGGTTCCAACTACATGCAGGTGGGAGCAGCCTGTCGGAGATAAAGAGTCAAAATGTCTCAGTTTCCTTAAAGGGGTCCGTGCAGTTTTCCTCCTCTCTGACTTTTAAACATGATTTCATGCAGTGAATGCAATTTATGCAGATTACAATAAAAGTACATTTAGATTTTAGAACCTTTATAAATAAAAGATTATTAGTTGCAAGTAGAGATGGTAGTTGTCTTCCTCCCAGAGAATTGGTAGCTGAAACTACATGCTATAGAATCATGTCTGGGAATTGAACATACAGAATATCTATAGGCTACAGTTGAGAAAATATCTAAGATAGCCACCTGTTGTTGAGTAGAAAAGCGATTGTCTTAGACAGGTGAACATCTTACACAGTGTCACTGTAATGTTAAGGAACTGCAAGGGGGGAAGTGGCTGCTTGTTCAGGTTGTTGTTTTATACAGGTAACCATTGGAGCAGGTTCAACTATATTATATGTGAGGCAGCGTGGTGAAATCAGGTGCTCGTCAAAATAATAAGTCAGGAAACTGGCATTTTTCTGCAGGTTTGGGAGCTTTATCGAATTTTTGTTTTTTTAAATGCCTTTTAAAGAACACAATTCTGTGTAGATTACACTGAAAAACGTTGATTATAGGCATAAAAGATTTAATATTTAGTTTCCACAGACTCTCAGGCTGTGGAAATAACTCAGCTTTGGTGGCCATTTTCCCGCTAATTTTACCTCTGTAACCAGCTGACCCCGAACTTCTTCAATCACCAATATCTTGACTTGTATCCAAGATAATATGGATATTTTTTAAATCAAAAGTAAGGCAAATGGACAAGCTTTAAGATGATTTCAATAACTCCATATGCCCCAAAATTGATGAGCACCTGATTCCACCGCGTCGTGACACATATCTTTTCGGTTACAAGAACAACACTTTACTGCTAGACAAGAATGCTGCCCTTCACTGTTTTTTTAAACTTTCTTTGTAGCAAGGATAAAGACGTAGAGTCGTTATGTTTTTGGCTTGGCTCATACTAGGGGTCAATGAAACTGTACCAGTAATAAGAGCATCACAATCTATGAAACTGTACCTGTAATAAGAGTATGACTTTCTATGAAACTGTACCTGTAATAAGAGTATGACTTTCTATGAAACTGTACCTGTAATAAGAGTATGACTTTCTATGAAACTGTACCTGTAATAAGAGCATCACAATCTATGAAACTGTTCCTGTAATAAGAGTATGACTTTCTATGAAACTGTACCTGTAATAAGAGTATGACTTTCTATGAAACTGTACCTGTAATAAGAGTATGACTTTCTATGAAACTGTACCTGTAATAAGAGCATCACAATGTATTTTGTCATCTCACAGAGGAGAGGTGGGTGCTGCCTCTCTGTCAGACTGTGACCTTTGCCCTGCCGGCTTCTACTGTCCTAACATCAACATGACGTACCCGGGCATCCAGTGCGACCAGGGCATGGCATGTCCAGCTGGCTCACAGAACCAGACAATTTGCAGTGCAGGTAACATCTTAGACACTGCCCCATCATTTCAGTGATGGTGTTCGTTTGCAATGTTGGTACTCCATTAGGGGCTGTTTCGTCAGTGCATTCTAGAAAATGTTGGTTGCTTAGAGTTAATGAAAAGAATTAATAATGTGCAGGTAACAGGTAAATACATTTAAAGTGTTGAAACTTTTTTATAATGGGGGTTGGGGTGGAAGAGGGGGGAGGGGGACAAAATGAGGGATAAGGGAATAGAATTTACAACTTTTGACTCTTCTCCAGTGTGTTTCCTATCAATACGTTTACAAATTGGATTAGAGAATATGGGCACTTCCTACTCACCCTGTGCATGTATTGAGGTACTTTAGCCTCATTAAAACTGCTTTTGACATAATTGAGTGCTGAAAATGTACCCCACTTTTGCTATTTTGGTGAAGTCTCTAAGATCATTAGAGGGCACTCTTGTGAGGTCAGCTCTTGCTTCATCTCAGTGTGACTAGTATTTCCTACGGAATGTTACAAATTATGGTGGGTGACCTTAAGTAAACTGCAATTCAGCAATAATAACACTCTTAATGTCTTGTGTTCTCCCTTCCTCCCCTGACTACTATTGTTGTTTCCTGTGGAATGTTACAGTTATGGTGGGGACCTTAATTAACCCTATTCGTATGGTCTGGGGTCATTTTGTACCCCTGGGGTTGTATTCTTGATATTTTAGAATACTTCTAGTGCAAAGATCTCTTTAAAACTTTCAGCGTTTCTCAAAAATCATTTTGACGGACTGCAATGCAAAGCGTACGGATTGGATTAACGAGTAAATTTCCTCTTTGGAAAACGGTGACACAGAATTCCCTTCGTTGTATGGATACAATAGTAAAACACGACATACGGATAGGGTTTACTGTTAAGTAGCAATAACACTCTCAATTTCTGGTGTTCTCCCTTCCTCCCCAGGCTACTACTGTAACATGTCCATGGGTCAGACCCCATGCCCGCCTGGCTACTACTGCCCCGAAGCCTCCAGCTTCCCCATTCTGTGTCCAGTGGGTCACTACTGTGGAGCTGTGGATGACTGCAACTGTAACTCCACTGATGCAGGTATACCCATCGACCTCCTTAGATCGTCTTCACACTTGTTTTGGCCCGATAGAATAGGCTAACATTAACAATCTCACCTTAGCAGAGACTTTGCCCACCATTTCGGAACTTCACGGTGACATTCAAGATTTTGATTCTCCTTCTTAGGTGCCATGCTCATAATTTGTTGGTACACTTTGAGTTTCCTTCTTATAGGTGCCATCCTCATAATTTGTTGGTACACCCTGTCTCTCTATCACAAGTGCCATGCTCATAATTTGTTGGTACACTTTGATCCTCAATCATAGGTGCCATGCTCATAAAATTTGTTGGTACACTTTGATTCTCCTTCTAAGATGCCCTGCTCATAATTTGTTGGTACACTCAAGTGTCATTCTCATAATTTGTTCTTACACTCTCTCTCTCCATGACATATGCCATGCTCACTGTCTATCACAGGTGCCATAGAGCCCAGGCAATGTCCTCTCGGCTACAAAGAGTACGATGGGTCTCTGCGCAGAACGTTTGAGGAGACATGTGAACCTTGCTCACCAGGCTACTACGGTGCTCACCCTAACAGGACAGAGTGCACGCCGTGTCGAGCTGGAGTGGTGTGCAAGATCGGAGCAACCACAGACACACCAGTGTCCAACAGCAGCTCTGTGGCTGCCTTCCTCGGTTTTGAGACGACCAACTCCTATCTCTGTCCTCCAGGTAAAGCAGTGTTCTAAGTTTGGTCTTTGCTATGGGTTATCGGTCTAAATAGCCATAAGGATTACAAATGACCGAGGGGCTGAGATGCAAAACCCGCTCCATCCATTTTAGAAATTTTGACAACATCAACTTTTTTTATGCTGCTGTACACACAAATATGCGTAGAAACGAGACTTTTTAATGGCTTTTATGAAGTATGTGTTGGGTTTTTGCTGGAAACATTTAATACATCTGATAGCTGGTAACAATATGCATTTATAAGCAAAAAAATCTCAATTTTTTTTTCAAAGTGTCGCTTCGCAGGTTTTGCATCTCAACCCCTCAAATGTACATGGCTTTTCTCTGTTTTCAAAAGCTTGTTATGGGCCTTTGGTTTGGCTTAATATAAGATATATAAGATACACGTAAAAAGTTACATCATTATATTTTTTTAATTGGCGCATTTTGCATTTATAGGTGGTTTTTATAAAAGCCATTACTGTTTTGGAATATAAGTTTATTCTTTGTGAAGTTCAAGTCAGACAAGTTCTAGTACAAATTTGATGCGAGATATTTAGAAAACCCTGTACTTTGACTCAACACTCAGCTCAGCTAACTCTTTGATTTGTGCACCTCCCCTCCCAGGCTACTACTGCCCTGAGGCTAGCTTCGAGCCAACGCCGTGTCCAGCAGGCACGTACCGTGAGCTGGAGGAAGGCATGAGTGCCAGCAACTGCACTCCATGCCCAGTCAACACACATAACCCGCACGTTGCTCAGGTGGGATGCTTCATGTGTGGAGGGGAAGCCTCACAGCCTTCCACTGGCTCCATCACTTGCATCTGTAATGGTGCTGGAAGGGACTACCAGGTAAGGGTACTGATTTGTTGAAAGTAATGAAAATTCTTGTTTGTATTTTTGCTCAAGTATTGCTGGTGGGTGTTTTTTCCCCAGTGTCATTGCTTTTGGGCTCGGAAGAATTCAGTCTAGCTTGTTCCCAAGAATAAGTGTGTGTGAGTACGTGTTCATGTATACATATGGCTTGTTCAGCGCTGAACAATAGTAATGCAGAAAAGAATAGGATGAAGCATATTATTATGAGAGGCCGCGTGGTTAAATCCAGCGCTCGATAAAAGAATGAAATAAAAGAAAGCAGTATTTTTCCGCTCTTTTCCCAATTTATATTGAATTTTTTTTTTTTGACTCAAAATATTTTATGTACATTTAAAAACATATTTCTGTGTGGATGTTACTGAAAAACGTAGTAGAAAGGCACAAAAATGTAATTTTGCTAGTTTCCAAGGACTCTCAAGCTTTGGAAGTCACCTAACTTTTGGGTCATTTTCACACTAATTTTACCTATGAAAACAAGCAACCCCATCTCCTTCAATCGCAAATATCTCGTCTTCTATTACCTCTTGTCCTGCATCTGTGCTGAGATGTGAATCTTATCAGCAACCGAATATGTCGGACGTGCTGGGCTGGCCGCCGGGGTCACTCAGTGTGTACTGTTGGTGTACAGCGCGCACGCCGGGAAACGTGTGTTTTCGCCGTGAATACCGTGGGAGTGTTAATCGATGATGAAAATAATGCTCTATCTTTCATAGCTTTCTATGTATAAAGTGTTACAAACACATGAATAACCCCCTCTCACAAGCTGATAAGACATTACGAGTAGTTACGCCCATTCGAATAACCTTTCTAAGCGCTCTTGTTGTTATGAATGACCTGAGGTTCAAAAGGAGATAATATAGGTCAATTTCCGAATGTTTTGCACTCAAATTGTTCTTTGTACCTGCATAATGGTATTCAAAACTATGAAACAAGCTTATTTTTTATCAGGTAGTAGAAGAAGGGGAGATAAGGACGATAGATGTTTGATAGGGAAAAAGAAGCAAACCACTCCAGAGCACCCACCAACCACCCCCACGTATAAGTTAATTAGTGTTTTAGTAGTTTATCATCTACTTGCAGTGTATGCTTCCCGGAAAGCTGAGAATGTTTTTGAGTGTTCTGTATTCTGCTGGGGTAGTAATATAGTGTAAAGCGCATAGAGCTTGCTGTTGAGTGGGGGTTTTGCGCTATACAAATGCTATTTATTATTAATAATATTATTATTATTGTTATTATTATTATCATTATTTATTATATTCCAGTTCAGTGACAGAACCTGCCCGTGCAAAGCTGGCTACATTCAAGTAGACTCCAGTGAGAGCGACGACTGCTCCAAGCAAGTGTTCCCACGCTGTGGAGAGGGTACCTGGCGCACACAGGACGGTCGCTGCTTCGATGACGCCCAGTGGGAGACACATTGCAGAGAGGTTTGTTTGTTTTAGTAAGGTTTTACGGTGCTCACAACTGCATTAGGTCATATGCGTGCCAAAGGGTGGAAGTCAAAAGAGAAGTCCAAACGGGGAATCAGTCTTACTCAGCTCACCTCTCTAGCCTCAACAGCACAAAGTCTGCTTAGACTATCAAGGCACCTCAGATGGATTTTTTTTTCAATTAATATTTTGAAGAGAGAGAAGGGCAATAATTAGTTTTATTATATCTCACCAGTACAAACTGTATCTCATACTCACCATGTGATGGAATTGTATTGGGTTTTGTAATTGTGCGTGTGTGTATGTGTGTGTGTTTATGTGTGTGTGCCAGTACATGTGTGTGTTGAGCGTGATTATATGCTTAATTTGGCAATATGCATGTGCCCATTAGCATGAGCACATTGTATGCCTGTATGTCAGAATATTGAGCTAGTTCCTGCTTAGGGTCCCATGTAAACTGGTAAAGAGCCCTCAGTTGGGCAAAGAGTACTAGGAAACGTGTTTTTTAAATTATTCTTATTGCTCTCACAATTTTCAGTATAATCTGCCTTGTTATTTTTGTCATAATTGTTACTATTTATCAGTATTATAATTGTCATTATTATTATTGTTGTCGTCAGTGTTAATTAATGTTGTTGTTATATTTTTATTGTTGTTATTATTATTATTATTGTCGTCATCATTATTATTATTATTATTGCTTATATTTTTGAAAATGCCTTTTCAATTTACTAAAACTCACGCTGCTCTTTTTTGTTACTGCCTTCCATGTTTCAGGAGGTGTGTGAGGAGTATGTTGGCTATGACCGAGACCTGGGCCTGTGCCAGTGTAAGACAGATGACCTGGAAACGATCTGTGACCTGGAGTGCCGCACAGTGCAGAAATGGATGTTGACCTTGACCTGTGCAGCACAGCCCTTGGTGCCATACATCACTGTCAGGGATTCTAGCAATACCTCAGTGGTGAGTGCATCATGTTTAGAAAGAGTGGTTTGTGTACAAGACCTATAAACGTCCTTATCATTTGCGGTTAAGTGACTTAGGACAGACTTATGTGATCGAGAAAGTGGCGAAAGTGCTTCTGCTCTCAAGCTTTGAAAACTTGCTTTTCCTGAACATGACTCTGCCTCTTTAATTTCTCTTTTGTAATAGAAAATTAAATAGTAAAGAATGTGCGAAACTCTCTCTCTCTTTCTTTTTTCTTATTCCTCCTGCCCTTTCCACTTATCTTCTTCCCTTTGTATGCTTCTGAAATTATCAGAGGAAATAGGTGGGTTCCAATGCAGAAATTCTTAATATAAAACTAGACAAACACACTTCATAGCTGCTCTGTGGAATCTTTCACCAGCTTTTTGATATACTAATGTACAGTATGCTAACACTTACACAAGCATGTTAACAAAAGGTTACCCAACCAGCATCTCTCTCTCTCTCTCTCTCTCTCTCTCTCTCTCTCTCTCTCTCTCTCTCTCTCTTACTTTCTCTCTCTCTCTCTCCCTGTCTCTCCCTCTCTCTCTCTCTTTCTCTCTCTCTCTCTCTCCCTGTCTCTCTCTCTCTCTCTCTCTCTTACTTTCTCTCTCTCTCTCTCTCTCTCCCTTTCTCTCCCTCTCTGTCTGTCTCTGTCTCTGTCTCTCTCTCTCTCCCTTTCTCTCTCTCTCTCTCTCTCTCTTTCTCTCTCTCTTTCTCTCTGTCTCTCTTTCTCTCTATCTTACACACACGCATACACGTACACACAAACACACACATACGCATTTGCAACCAGACCTAGTATTTATTGTTCATGTTTGTTTGTTTTTTAAAATAAATACTGTATTACTGTTTTCTGTGGACAGGCTACTAAACAAACACACGCACATTTGCCACCAGACCTAGTATTTGTTTTTCATGTTTATAAACAATACTGTTTTCTATGGACAGGTTACCATTCCTGCGGCCAACCTGCTGTCTGTGATTAATGCGAGGAACGCCATCTCAGAGGACCAGTGTGCTTCCCGCGACGACTCGGTGACCTACCTGCGTCTTGTGGAGATGAGTGCTAGTGGTTTCCTGGGTGTCTACAATCCTGACACAACACAGGTGAGAGAAATGATTAAGATGTGGATTTTTTGGTGGGGTTTTTTTGTAGTTTGTTTTTAGGGGGGTTGTTTTTATTTTATTTTTTTACTATTCTGTCAACGTTGGCACAAGGTGTGTTATTGTAACTCTTTTGTGACAACTTCGACATCAAATTACTTTTTTGATCAATGGATCTTTCATTAGATGAAGAACTATCAAAATAGGTTGACTTGTTTTGATTTGATGACCCATTTAGTGATTTTTTTGTCGTTTTTAGGTTTAGTACCAAAGAAGGGGCCCAGCATAGTGAGTTTACCCCCCATGGAGATAAAGAGTTAAGTCAGTTACTAAAAGGATTGATCAGATAAGATACATGTACGAGTACAATGTGACAGAACTCACCTGTTGAACATTATACTAACACATCGCAAATAATTTTTGAAAGAGTTTACTACTACTACGTGCCTGCCATGAGAACCTAGTATCCTTGGTGGTTGTATATGACAAATCAAATCTCACTCACCGCACGCAGCAATCTAAACAAGACAAGGTGGTGTCTACAACCATAGCATATTAAAGGTGAGAGAGAAGTGATCATGATGGCATCCCCCTTTCTTTTAAACTACTAGGTCCACACTGCCATAAGCTGACAAAATGCCTTTTTTCATTTTAGTGCCTAAATTTTTTATGTACTAAATCGAAAGCCTGATCAGTTACCCTACTCATGTGAAAGAATCAAATTGAAACTGTGACTATTTTTAAAAATTAAATTAGAATTCGAATTTCAAAATGACTCTATTTTAAAAATGTTATGCTGACAAAAAATACTTTTTCTGGAAACTGCTCAGAAGAAAAAAAGGTTTTGTGTCAGTACAGTTAAACTTGCTCTAATGTCACCTGTCCAAGACAACCACCTGTACAAACGACCTTTTTCCACATTCCCCCATGGATTTTTTATATTGTAATGACACTGTCCAAGATGTCCACCTGTCTAAGATGAGCACTTCTGTCCACGACAACGGATGGCCATCTATGTCAATTTTCGCTGTATACACTAACTTTGTTGGCCCTGAGTATCCATATCCATGACACAACACAGGTAAGAAGCAGTTCGTGTCGACAACTCTGACATAATGTAGGTGAGAGAGACAATTACGGTAAGGGTCTTTGAAACATTTTTAAAAAGAATTTAACTTTACCCATGACTACATCATCTCTGCTACAGCACTGAATGCATTCAAGTTTGTTATCAATTAACCGAAGAGTGGGTTATTATTTTCCCCCCCTTTTTTTATTCTCCCTCCCTCCTCCAAGCCCCACCCCCCCCCCCCCCCCCCCAACACTCACACTCATGTGCTCTCACCTTATTCCTCTTCCAGGTGGTTTCTATGCTAGAATCAAATACCAAAGGCAACTACACCGGCAACATCACCACGGACAGTTACATCATTAACAGCTACACCTACAGCCGTCGTAGACTGCTGGCCACGTCCAACGTGACAGGCTCCCTCTTCTCTGGCATCCAGAACCCAACCACGTGCCTGGAGTATGGCGAGATCATGCTGTTTAGCGTCAGCAACACCCACTACCCCATCTACGACGTGTGAGTTCTCATAACACCTTTTAAAAAAAATTTTACTCCCTTGAAACTGTTTCGATCATGTTGAAGATGGGCTTCTTTGGCCTTACCCGCCAAGGCCTATAGAAGCTATGTGAAATAATATTAAGCTGCAGAAACTCCGAAGTACTCTGTGACATATCTTGCCTGCTTGGGAATTTAACTTGTTTCCTTGGCATGCAGGGTAAAGATTGTCACCATTAAACTGTTGACTATTGATTCCACAGACTGAATGGGCCTTTTTTTTCTTATGCTAAGGTATTGTACAGGTGGTTATGCCCTTTTTAACACTGTAAGGCTATTTTAGAATTCAAAACTCTAGTTCAGGGGTCAGCAAACTGTTTATCAAAGTGGACCAGATGACTGAAGGAATGGCAAACGTGGCTTTGAAGAGTACAATTGTGGATTCCCTGTGTGTGGGAAACTGAGGACAAACTAGAAAATGTGTGACATGAAAGATTTATTATCACAGTATAACTGAGAGCTTATGTAATACATTAGATATAAGTGGCGAAGTCTATTAAAGCATGTTTAATTTTAAAATGAAGCTTCCTTGCAAGATTAGTCAGATAGTATTAGAATTTCTAATGCTTACTGTTAAGGATAAATATGTAACTCAGAAAATGGAAGGAGCTCAATATTTCACTTTATTATTCTCTTTTTTTCAGGAATAATCTCTACAACACCAACTCCAACTTTGACTATGGAGGTTTCCGAGCTCTGATCGAAGCTCAAGCCCAGACGGCGACGTCTACAACGCTGTTTGCTTACAAGTTCACAGATCCTGGCGTCTATTCCTTCTACCTCAGCACTGACATCAACAAGAAGATGGTAAGAGAGTATGGCTAAAGTAGATCTATTTGTTCTTTAAGGCCTGTTGACTTTCAGTCATTGTTTGTTCTATAATCAAAAAAAGAACGCAAGTTGTTTGGATTCTACTACTCTCTAAGTCAATATTTGTTGTGAGTGTTTTGGGTGTGAATTATATTGTTTTGTGACACAAGTTGCTGGCTAAGTCAGTACCACTGTAAGCACTTGGTCAAAGTGAAAGCTCAATTCACAAAATCTTTACAAGTCAAATGAATGTCTCCACAACTAAGATTGCAAGGACAAAATCAAACTTGAGATTCATTGTAGCTAACCACCAAAAATGAAGTGGGAAAGCCAATATCATTATTGGGCTTAGCAATTGCAGATATTGGCAATTTTTTTTTCCAAGAGAAAATTCACATTTTTAATGTGCACAGTTTAAAGTCACCTCAGTAGACAAAGTGATTTCATGTTATATTCATCATTGAGCAAGTCACTTTGGCCAATGGTTTAAAAAATACACCAAAACAGCAATAAAATACAGCTTTCTGATTACCTGAATTTGTCAGTTCGGCATTTTCTTTGTACATGCTACTGGTTGTTTTTTTTTGCTTTAGTAGGTATTTTACGGCACTTGCAACACAATAAGGTCATATAAATGCCGAAGATTAGAGGTGTTGCAAGAGGAAAAAACACAAAAAAGAAGAAGGGAAGATAAGGACGATAGATGTTTGATAGGGAAAAAAAGGAGCAAAATCACACCAGAGCACACGCCAACCACCCACACATGCTACTGTAAGAAAACTAAAGCAGATAAGTTAAATAAAATTGTCTCTTTTTTTTTTGTTTACTTCTGTGTTCAGTACATCAGTGTGATGCAACAGAATGTGCAGTGTACCACGTCGGGCCCCTTCTACCCGACCACCCCAACCAATGTGGTGCAGAACGGCATCTCCGTGGACGACGGCATCCTCAAGGAGCCCGACTGGCTCATCATCTTCATCCTGCTGGCTGCAGCACTCATGGCCACGATGATCATGTTGGTCATTTTGGTCAGTGGATTTTGTTACTTTTAGTTTTTGTTAGTTTTTACGGCGCTCGCAACTGCATAAGGTCATAATATGAGTGCCAAGGGGTGGATATCAGCGGAGAAGTCCTTATAGGGAATCGGGCTTACTCTGCTCACCTCTCTAACCTCAAAAGCACAAAGTCTGCTGCGATTATTAAGGCACACCGGAAATAGCGAGTCACAAGAGTGACAAACATACAAAAGAAGTAGAGGAAAAAATGACGATAGTAAGGATGAGGAAAGAAAAAGCAGCAGTTCCCCCTTTGTTGTTTGGGCACAGTTATGAGCTTAACATTGATGAATCAGCCCATTTACAATTCTTCTGTGCATAAGAACATGTTAATGTCCCCCCTTTGGGAATGGCTTAAAGACACTCCAGTCAGTAGCACCGCCCCACGTTTTTTTTTTTGTACTTTGGTTTTTTATTTGTGAGGTGTGCTGACGAAATGAGTTATTTCTCGCAATCCACAAATTAATGGAGATATGTCAGCCACTGGCATCACCTTGTCTGTCGTCCCTCTATGCTTCTTAATTGTAATATTGTTGCACCTTGTGACTGGCTCAAATATGTACAATTTTCGGTTTGGCTAGAGTTTTTCAGCACTCGCAACACAAATAGGTCATAGAAAAGCTGAAGATGAGAGGTATTACAAGAGAGTAACGTACATAGAAAAGAAGGAGGAGAGATAAGGACAATAGATGTTTAATAGAAAAGAAGGAGCAAACCACAACAGAGCACCCATCAACCGCCCTCATATAATATGTACAGTGGTGAAGACACATTAGCTTTGTAAGAAATGGGGTACTAATCCACAGAAAGATATTTTGGTATGTCTTAGACTTTTGTTACCATCCACTTGATATGGGCATCTTGTTCAAAAAGCTTGCAAGTTGTTATATATATATTAGTCTTTAGCTTGGTTTTCCATTGGGGTGACCCTTGGACATTATCCAATATTCAGTGTGATCGAAAAAAAAATTCTTTTTCATGAAACCCTATACTTTGCTCTCAACAGATCTTATTCCGTAAATATGGCTGGACCAAGACCTCGTACATGTATCCTTTCTACCGCATTATGGCGAGACATTTCAACTTTGATGACTACGCCAGCAAGGGATCAACTGTCTACCCAGTGCGCAAGTACCACAGGAACATGCTTGCTCTGAGCATTGCGGAGCCAAGTTCTGACCTCGCTGAGCAGGCAGCAATTCTGGATGGTGAGAAGCTTGTTACGTATTTCATGATGACATGTAATAAAATAATCATAAATAGCTTTTGTATAGTGCATATCCCTGCTCGACAGCAAGCTTTATGCACTTTTCACTCTTTTTTATGTAATGTTAGAAGCTACAAGGAATAACGAAAGTGGTTGAAATGTCAAGGAGAGCTAGCTGTGCGACAAGAGAAATGAATAAATCGGTTTATTTTGTTTCGTTTGCCTTTGAACACTGACAATAATGACAAATACGGATAAAAGTATTAATATCCTTATCGCTATTATATCATCATGAGATTTAGAAATTATAGTTTCGACATTTTGATTAAGTATTGTTATCATCATCATCATCATCATCATCATCATCATCATCATCATCATCGTAGAGTGAAGAAGGAGATTCTTTAGTTATTTTTTGGCAAGTTTTAAAAATAAATAATAACATTTTTTGTTGCAAAAACGGCTCATCATTTCCCCTTCAAAGACTTTTTCAGAACCGACTGAGAATAAGACAAAGGATTCAGATTAGGGGAAGGGCCTCCTCATCATCATTGCATCATTGTAGCAAAGAATTTTTTTTTAATTGATAGATACATTATAGTTTTTAAAGTATTTACAAAAAGGCGTGATAATTATCATTATCATTGAGGATGTCATAATTTTTCACTGATTCAGCCCGCAGTAAATTTTGACTCTGGAGGCAAATAATTTGTGACAGCTTCGTGACCTCGCGGGTAGTTTCTCTAAAAAATTGATTAAGAACTATCTTAATTTGATGAAACCCTATGTGTGGCACATACAGAAATGTTCAGAATACAAAATACTATTCAATGAAACTAGAAAAAAGGGTTGAAATGTGAGCAGTCGGGGGAAAAAAACGAGGAGAAAGTGATACAAAGGAAAGGGAGCAATAGATAATAGCCGGTCTGAGTGGCTCTGCGTCAAAACACAGGAGACAGTCAGCCACTGTGAGCAGTGCTGCAGGCTGAATCAGTTAATATAGTTACTATTGCTATTATGAAGTTGTTGCCCTTGTTACTTGCAGCTGGAGCCGTTGATGTGAAGAACGACGACTTCTGGGATTACGACCGCCAGGTTGACCTTGAGGGTTTCAGCTCAGGCCAAGTCTACGACACGCTCTCCAAGCAGTCACGGGGGGTTACCCAGACTATTGGCAAGCACAAAGACGATGTGAAGCAAATGTACCAGAGGATTGCCAACCAGACAGAATCTCTCAAAGGTAAGCACATTTGTTTTTTTATTCTTCATTTGTAAATTTGTTTTCTATGGACGCCTGTTAAGGTAATGATGTTCCTTTTTATACTTCTAGATTTGTTCTTTTGACAAGTATGTTGATTTTCATTTCCAATTGTTTTTGTGTTAAAAAAAACAACAGTTAAAAGTAAAAAATGCTTGTCATTATTTCAAGCTTTCTCTTATCTGAAAATATCTTTAAGGTAAATGTGTACCTTTTTACTTCTTTACTCTATAACTCTGCTTTCAGTGGAAATCTCTTGAAGTTAATCATGGTTATATTTTAATTCTGCCTTTTTTCCTGTGAAACCTTTCTGGGGTGAGTATACAGATATGTTGAAATAATTTTAGTCTTTCAGTTTTTTACAGGTTAAGCAGATTTTGAATGGGATGCTAAGTGAAAAATGGCATCATTTTGTTATAGGCAACGATTATTGTGTATGTGTGTGTGTGTATTTGTGTGTGATTTTGTGTGCGCGTGTGTATGTGTGTACATGATGAAACACCAAATCAATGTGCCAGGATCTGGACAATAAAGATGTATCTTATCTTATCTCATCTTAGATCAACAGAACATTGTGTTCAATTCCACTTCACTTTTCGCTGCCCTCTTTGTATCATTTCAGGACTTTGGGCCGCCAAAATGAACCTTAAAGGAACATCTGCTCTGGCCACCGATGAGGATCTGGCCTGCTACGAGAGGAAGTTGGAGTCGCTGGAGATTGAGCTGGAGCGCAGGAAAGACCTGGGCCGACAGTTTGAGACGGTTCTCTCTCGCCAGGAAGAACTCTTGGCTGACGACGACAAGGCTCGGGAAGATCATCAGGTTAGCTTTTTTTATTTTTGGCTTCTCTGGATGCTTCTCAGTGGTTATGCTACCGGATTCGTAATCGTGAGGTTGCGGGTTCTGGGGTTCCAGTCTCGGGCCCGACATAGTGTCTGTGGGAAAGGCACTTTAGGCCTACATAACTCACTTCACCCAGGTGGGAATGGGTACCCAGCCGTAGACAGCAAAAGGTCTTGTCAGTATGTTAGTGTTTTGGCACCTATAAATGGCTGCTTACACTGTATGCTTCCCATTAAAGGTAAATGAACAAATATTCTGAAAATTAAAGTACCCCCTGATACTGAGAATATACACTTTTAGGACAGTGGAAGATACAAGCGCTACAGAAAATATACGCGTGATCATTATTGTTGTGCAGTAGAATACTATTCATTTTTCTTGTCCTGGTGTTCTCTTCACCGAACAGGTAGCTTACCAGTCAGCCTTGAGGGAAGCTATTCGTCTGCTGACTCAGCATGCTGACAAGATACAGAAGGGCGAGGCCACTTCCTCTAGTGGAGAGTTCCACCAGGCAATGCACGATGCCTTCGACCACCGCATCGCCGTGCTCCTGGAGAAGATGACGGATGCTTCCAAGTCTGAGTGCAAGAGATCAGGAGCCTGGGGGGTCCTGGGAGAGGGTGAGTCATTATTTGTCTCCATCTCTGTATGAATGTCTCTTTCTTGCTTTCTCTCTCTCTCTCTCTCTCTCTCTCTCTCTCTCTCCATATTTTTGTGATGAAAGCTCATTTAGTATATATAAATAAACTGTCAACACACCATTAACTTATATTGGTAGCCCCCCCACCCCCCACCTCCCATTGTGAGGTGCCACAGCTATGCCAAAAGACAAATTGATCTCTTTGTAGCAAGGAGAAATCTAACTCCCAATTTCAAAGAAGCCCTTATAAAACATGCCTCCTTCTGAAAGAAATGAAATGTAAGATTTTTTCTTTAGACTTGATTTCAGCTGTGTATTAAACTCATTTTTACTTCCTTCAGGCATTGGTGGTCAGCTGATGAGCAGTTCTCATGCCCCAATGACTCGAGATGACCTCTTCAACAATAACAACACGATCAAGGCAACTAACCTCATCGTAATGGACGACAAGACTGGTCTGGTCAAGCCTAAATCTGGTGCGGAGATGGTCCTGGCTGACGGAACGAGCATGGCTGTGCCCAAGGACAGTTTTGTTCACCCGCAGACTGGCAGAGTGCTGCCCATCCAAGGAAATGTGGCCTTTGACCCTGTAACCTCCAGGCTTGTCTTTGTGGTAGATTCAGCGACAGGTCAGAGCTCACAGTGTTTTATTTCTTTTTCTCCCCCTCCCCCCCCCCCTTACTTTTATTCCTGTTTGTTGCTCCATTATAATAAAATAGTCCTCTTTTCTGTTTTCTATTGTTTTTTAGGTTGTTTAATTTGCTATCTTCTCTACTTTTTGACAGTTATCTTCTTCTTCTCGATCGCATCACACTTGAAGTCTGGTATCTGTCATAAATTGGGCTGTCCTGCTCAGTTCATCTGTCGGCCCATATAGCTTCTCTTACAGCATCAGTGGGGTTGGCCATGTTTCCTGTCTCAGGGCCCTGTGTGTCTTGCAGTTGGACAGTTATTTTTTCTTTCGTTTTCCTTTGTGGGATATTTATATGGCTTCCCTTTTGAAACACAATTGATTGATATTCATTTTTGTTTTTCTGCTCCTTTTTATTTCCACTGTTGTCTCCTTTTGTCACTCTTGACTTTTAACTGTAAAACTCTAATTCTCTTTAATTTGGTTAATTAAGATTTTACTGTTAGCATCTTCAAAATACGGCTTTCTATACATGCACTTAAATAGCTCGATTATCTAATCTTGCATTCTTGTTTAATGTTTTTTTGAAAAACGAAACTAATGGTGAGATAAAGGATTATTTTTAATTCACATGTCAATGAAATACAATGTCTTTTTGTAAGGTGTAGCTTGCTACTCAGGAACTGCTTTGTTCAAGAAGATCCCCTTATGTTTGCTTTATACGACTTGTATGATGTACTGACAAAATGAGTTACTTCTCACAATCTACAAATGGAGATATTGGCAAAAAATCGACACTAGGGTCAAATTTATAGATTTTCTGTTGATGCTAAATATAACAGGCCCTTTATTATTTCATACTTATAAATTGTAAAAACTTCATCTATAAGTGTGATGTATCTGTTTCCATAGGGCTTGAATCTGAGAAGTTACTCATTTTGTCTGCGCGCTTCACATATGTTTTTCCTTTGAAAGCGTGAACAGATGGGAAACGAGGTCAGATCTGTATGATAAAGGGTTTTTTTAGAACAACTAAGCAAAGGAATGAATGGGGAACCATAGTCGACGATGTTTGTCACTGATCTGGCATTTGATGATGATGATAATGTTTTTCCAGGGGAGGCAACCAGATCTGAAGAGCCATACATCCCATTCGTACCCTATCCAACCAACCCTCACACTGGACAACGCGTGGACACTCAACTCAAGCCCATGACCAGCAAGTCTGACTTCCGCTACGGCCTGCCCATGTCTGACCCAGCACTAGGTCTCCACGTCCCCATCCTGGCAATGACTACTGGTTCGGTCATCCCGGTAGGAGGAGTGCACACTGACCCGATCACCGGTCTGCCTGTGCCTATTGAGGTCAGTAGCTAGCCTTGACCTTGTCTGATTATATCCCCAAACGCATGTGCACCTGTGCGTTTTCTCACATTTTTAAATCCTTCCAGCCCCAACCATTTTTAATAATAATAGATAATAGATAGCATTTGTATAGCACATATCCCCGTTCAACAGCAGGCTCTATGCGCTTTACACTATATTATTACCCCAGCAGACCATAGAACACTCCGAAACATTCTCAGCTTCCCGGGAAGCATACAGTGCAAGCAGCTGATTAAGCGCTCAAACATTAACAAACTGACAAGATCTTTCCCTGTCTATAGCTGGGTACCCATTCCCACCTGGGTGAAGTGAGGAAAATTCGTGTAAAGTGCCTTTCCCAAGGACACAACGTCGGGCCCTTGACGGGATTCGAACCCACGACCTTACGGTTGCGAGTCAGAGAGCCTAACCACAAGGCCACCGACACCACTAAACCCCAATTTTAACCCCAGTCCCAGCCGATATAGCGGTATTTTAGAAAAAGAGGCAGGCAATCTAAAAAGTGATGTAGTATATTTGTACTGAGGTTAAGATAATAACATATATAGCAATGTTTAAAGGTAAATGAACAAGGATGAAAACTAAAGTTTAATTAGGATCACTAATTTTGAAAACTGTGCAAATTCGGTACCCCCTGAGACTGAGAATATACGCTCTTGGGACGGTGGGAGATACAAGCGCTGCTGAAAATATACGCGCATGGGGCTGGAAGAGTTATAATCCACCTGGACTCTCACAAGTCTGCAACACTAGGGGGCAAAAACAATTCTGGACTAATTTGTGCTTTGCGTACTACTACATAAGCAAAGAAAGTAGTCAGACCTATTTTCAGCTTTTTATGGTTTTATTGTGTAAACGTACTATAAAGATCAATTTTATTGTCATTTTTTTTACCGTCAAATTTTGTTTTCGCGTCCCATTAGAAGTTTTATTCAAATAGAAACCAGATGATTTAAGTGGATATTTTTTAGTGCCTTCTAGTCTCTCAGTCTTGCAGAATGTTGGTTCTTTTGATTTAATATGATAGATCCTGCCCTTAACACGAGAAGATATTGCGAATCCCTGTGCTGTATTTTCTGTCTTTTCTCACCTCTAGCTTGGATCCATGATGGCTGATCCTAACAGTGGACAAGCAGTGCCAATCTTGGCTGTCACTATTGACCCTCACACAGGTATGTCAAGCCGAAACATAAGTTGTTTTTTTCTGACCTTAATTGCCTTACAGGAATATATGAAAAGAACAAAAAGTGCTGTGTTGATTAAGTAAAATGTGATAAAGTTTAAATTGTTGGAACTCAGGATGGTATTGTACATAAGAGTGGTTAGTTCAAAGCAGTTTTAAAGCATCTAAAAGAGCATTAAGCTATGAAAATGTTCAGATTCTTGCGACGATATGTAGGCTCTCTCATATTGTGTATTTGTTTGGGGGGTGGGGGTGGGAGGGGGGGGGGGGGGAAGGGAGTGTGCAGCTACTAGTAGGGCGTGAAAGCTGCTGGAGAGGATGAGAACATCAGTGAAAGGTAGCGATCAGTAAGGTCTTGCTGTATCAAGCATTCTACAGTGGGGCAAAAAATAGATAAAGTAAATGCAGCTGGTTTGATGAAATGATTGTTATGATACTAAAGGTACATAAATGACATGCAGCCTTTCGTTTCCCGTGATGAGAGACTTGTGATCTTTCTTGCCCAGGCATGGTCATTCCTATCGGTGGCACCAAGGACGGTCAGCACACGCACATTCCCATCGTCCCCGGCGACGAGTATGTGGACCCGGCGAGCAAGAGGCTGGTGCCTATCCACAGTGGTCATCTTGACCAGTCTTCCACAGTGGTGCCATGTTCCGGAAGCTTCCAGGCTCTTCTGGACTCCACCATGCTGGCGTGTGAGGTGCGCGTCCAGGAGGCTGTGAGGGAGTACAAGGAGGCCCTCTATGCTGCTGGTCAGTCATCGTCATCATCATCATCATCATCATCATCTTCATCAATGCCTTTCACACCAGGCAGGGTATAGGCCACATACAAGCTGCTTCCATTTATCTCTGTCCTAGGCCATCCTTCCTAGTCCGTTCCAAGTGAGCTTCATGTCTCTTATGTCCCTTTCCACACATCTCTTCCATGTTTCCCATGGCCTACCCCTACCTCGTGCTCCCTGTGGGTTCCACTGCAGAGACTTGTCAGTTATGCTCTTTTGTTTTGTTTTGTTGGGGTTTTGTTTTTGTTTATTTTAGGGGTGGTAAAGTAAGTTTAAAACCCTACAAGTCAGTATCTTTTGCGTTTTGGCTAAGCTGTGGAATTTACACTCAGAAGACTCGAGGGCGAGTATTTTAACTGATTCAGCCCGCAGCGCCACTCACAGCAGCTAACTGTCTCCTGTGTTTTGACGCAGAATGACTCAGAGCGACCCTTATCTATTGCTCTCTTTTCTTCGCATCAATTTCCTCTCGTTTTTTTCCCCAACTGCTTACATTTCAACCCTTTTTTTCTGGTTTCGTTAAATAGCATTTTGTACTCTGAACATTTCTGTATGTCACATCTAGAGTTTTATCAAATTAAGATATTTCTTTATTAATTTTTGTGAGACCACCCGTGAGGTCACGAAGCATCACAAATTATTTGTGTCCAGAGTTAAGATTAACTGCAGGCTGAGTCAGTTAATCAAGGGTGTCTTTGTTTAGCCTAACAATCTGGGTTGAAACAGCCAACCTCTTGAATTATCTAAATTGAGGTAATCCGGATGTAAAAACAACAGTAATTATTTTTGTATAAGCCTGACGTTCTTTTGGACTGGGTCCAGAAAGAGGTTGTATATATATATATATATATGTGTGTGTGTGTGTGTGTGTGTGTTTATGTGTGTGTGTGCAGGGGGGGGGGGGGTTGCTATATTGTTACAAGAACATCATCTGCATTGATATCTTTCAGTCTCTGTCTTTAACTTATCTATCTCCTAAATGTGAATCAACGTGGTGGAATCAGGCTCTGGTCAATATTTGGGCATGTAGAGTTATTGATTTCATCTTAAAGCTTCTTCTCCTGTCTTTATTTGGATGAAAAAAATATCCATTTATCTTAAATATAAGTTGAGATATATGTGAATGAAGGAGGTGGGGGTCACCTGGTTTCAGAGGTAAAATTAGTGAGAAAATGGCCGCTGAAGATAAGTCATTTCCTTAGCTCAAGAGTCCGAGGTAACTGAAAATATACATTTTTTGTGCCTTTAATCAACATTTTAAAGTAAACTCCACACAAAAATGTGTTGTTTAATGGGCATGAAAGGTGTTTAGCTAAAAAACAAAAAATTGATAAAATTCACAAACCTACAGAAAAGTGCCAGTTTCTTCACTTCGATTATTTTGACGAGAGCCTGATTCCACCACGCTGCCTCACAAATGCTTATCACTCTTTTTCTCTTGTTTTTATAAAGTATGAGATATAAAAAGTTAACAGCTGTCTTTGAAAACCTCCAAACATACAAGACAGTAACAGCCTTGTTTTTTTTTGTTTTGTGTCCTTGACAGTTTTAGAGATGGCTTCAGTCAGTTTGATGAAAAGTCATGATGGTCTTTGCACTATCAGTCCTTTCGCATGTATTATTCTAAAGAAGAGGTTTTGTTTGTTTTGCCTGTACTTGGAGGAAAAAAAGAGTTCTTCTGAAATGTAAAAAAAAACACCAGAAAGTAAATGATGGAACGATATTCATTCGTCCAGGAAATATATTTATGTTTCTTTTGTATTGAAATTGTGGAAGATGTACAAAAATACTTATCTAACTGGTTTTTTTCCAAGGTTTGCAAGGTGGCACTATCAATGTCCGCCATGAGGAGGCTGCTATGATTGCCGCTGTCAAAGAGTTGGCCAAAACTATGGATAGAATGAAAGCGCTCCGACTGCGGTCCCTGCATGACATTGAGCGCAGGAAACAACGGGCCTCTATTTTGGCATCGACTGGCGGATCTCCAGGTAAGTTTTTGCTTTAAAAGTCAAAAGGTATGATCTTTGTAAAATGTCTTTTCTGACGTACCATAGTATACCATACCATCCACCGTACCTTACTATATTATACTATGCAATACCATACCATTTTATTCCCTTTCATTCCGTACCTTACCATGCCATACCATATTGTACCATACCTTGCTATACCATACCGTGCTGTACCAAACCATACTATACCACACTGTACCATACCATACCATACCATACCACACCATATCGTACCTTACCATAATTTACTATACCGTACCATACCATACCATACTTTCATTGTCTATCCAGGCATGTACGAGTTCTCCAAGACCGGCCAACTTCTACCGATCCTGGTGGGAACAACCATGGAAGACCCGTCTGGCACCGGTATGGAAGTGCCTGTACTGGGAGCCGAGCGTGATGTGCTGACTGGCAGAGTGGTGCCTCTTGCTGGCAGCATGGAAGATCCCGAAGGTGGAGGTAAGGCACTTGAGTACACTGAGAGAGTGCATTTCTTGTGTTGTTCTCAAATTTTGTATTTGTGAGGCATGCAAAAAAAATGAGTTACTTCTTGCAATCCAAGAATGGAAATATTGGCAGAAAATCAACACTGAGGTCTGATTTATAGACTTTTAATTGATGTTATTTTTTAAAGTCTACCATGTCTTTTACTATTCGATACTTACTAATTGTACAAACTCCACTTGGTTAATATATCAATTTCCATAAGGCTAAAATCTGAGAAGTAACTCATTTTGTCAGCACACCTCACATTTGTTTGTAGTGTGGAAGATCCTGAGAATGTGAATATACCAAGGGTGTGCATTTATGGGATTTGTTTTGGCTTACGTGTGTTTGCTTTGGAGACGGTGAGACTTCAAAAGATGATAGTTTTCTTTGTTCATGTCTATCTGTAGAGGTATTGCACGTTTATATGTTTCGTTGTGCTCTCTTTTGTGTGTGCATGTTTGCATGTTTGTTTAGGTATGATGCTAGGTATCATTATTATTATATTTTTGTTTTACTAATTTTTTCACTCTGAGATCCATAAAGCTTGTCAATTTGTTTGTCATAACTTCTGTCATTTCATCTCTCCTAGGCCTTGTTCCCATCACCATCGGGCACAGAGCCGTAGACCCTGTGACAGGAGAGCTGAGCCCGGTCATCGGAATCCGCCGAAGCCCAGAGACCAAGATGGCTGTCCCAGTTACCCTGTCATCTGGTGCCCACCGTAAGCCCCGGCCTCCGCCTGGCGCTGTGGCTATGCTGGAAGAGGAACTGATGGCCCGTCGCAGCTACTGGAGGAGACAGCGAGGGAAGGAGGAGGAGGTCAGCCTTAAGCAACATCTGTTGGCTGTGGACCTCATGTTTTATCTGGACTCAGTCAATAGCAGGTCAGTTTTAAGTACTAAGCGGGTGGTTGGCAGGTGCTCTGGTGTGGTTTGCTCCTTCTTTCCTATCAATCATTCATTCTCCTAACATCTCCTTTTTTGTGTTTGTTACTCTCTTGTAACACCTCTTATCTTCTGCTTTTATATGACCTAATGTGTTGCAAGTGCCGTAATACTCTTACAAAAAGTAAACTAAAGTTAATAAGTAATACATTAAATGTATAGGGCTTGCTGTTGAGCAGGGATATGCACTATACAAAAGCTCTTTTTTTTCTGTAAAAAATTGATGGGTTTTTTAGACTGTTAGATAAATGCTATTTCTCTTTAGTGATATATATCTATAAATATTAGTAGAAGGGGCCTTATGTCACAACAGGTGATAGTGTTTGCGCAGTACTGGTCTACATATGTCTGGTGTTGATTGTGCTTGTGGCATATTTGCCCATAAGTAGCTGAAATGTTGAAGAGATAAGTGACAAAATGGCAATGAGAGGAAAATAAAATGTCTATTCAGCACCTGGGAAATGAATTCTGAAGCGTCTATTAGTTAAAGCTTTCTGTGTTAAAGCTCTGACTGAATTTTCTAGTGTAAACCTCTTGTTGGAAAGAAAACATTCGCTTTTGTGTACAAATTGGCCAGGGGATTATGTTGTCAGGTATTAAGTTAGAAATAGTCTAAAGCCCAACGTCTCCATCTTGTTTGTTTTTTTCTGTCGTTTTTTCTTTTTCTATCATCAGGAAAAACAATTCTTATTTGCTTTACAAGTAGAACTTCTTTTGGTCTTCTAGCAAATTCATTTTTTTAAACTTTTGTACTTATACTTGTCCCACCTTGACATTTCGTTACCTCCGAATTACAAAGTTCTATCTGCTCATTACTTAGCTTTCAAAAATTTAACACTTGACAATTTTTAGATTCACAACATGTCAAGCTTTTCGAATGCAAGTCGTTGAATATCTTAACAACTCAGAAAAATCTTAGGATTTTGATAGAAGAGATAGAGCTATTGATTTCTGAACACATGGTCTTAGTAACTCAAAACAGCCCAAAATGTCAGAACTTTTTAATTCTAAGGTAGCGATTAATTTAAAGTGAAATGTACTGGAGTTTGCTTGCACCAAATAAGGTTAACAACCTGAAAACAGCGGTAAACCAAATCTTATGTGAACCACAGGTCAGTGCAACAGTCCCTGGATCAGATTGACGTACAGGTGAACCAACTTAACGAGTCGGCCAAACTGGAAGGTCAGCGACGCGGAGCGTCCGTTCAGGAAATATCTGCCATCATCCCTCCAGACGTTGTAGCTATCCTCACAGACGGCGACAAGCCGGAGGCAGAGCGGGAGGAAGCACATGTGTGTACGCATGTCAGGTTCGCTGAGGTTGTGAGGAAGTTTTTCGGCAAGCTACAGCAGGAGGAGAATAGATACAAGGAGAGGATGAGTGAGCTGGAGGGAGCAATGAATCCTGATGCTGAGAACACTGCTCTGCAGAGATACAGACAGGTCAGTTCTTGGGGGTTTTTTAAATCTTATTTTGCTTATTTTTGCGTTCATGTCTGTGGGGTGGGGGGGGGGGGGTGTATGGAAGGTGGAGAGGTGGGGGGGATGGCTCTTGATGCTTTATTTGTATTACTTTGTATTGCTTACTTTGATATATATATATATGTGTGTTTGTCTGAATGAATATTTACCCTTCTTGAGTGGATGTGTGTGTGTGTGTGTGTGTTTGTGCAAATGTTTCTGTTCTTTGACCTGGCAGTGTATGTGTTTGTCTAATTGTGCATGTGTGTCTGTGTTAGTATGGACGCTGCCCAGTCTGTTTGCCTGTCTTTGTCCACTCAAGCATGTTCATCCTGATATCTTTCTATCTGTATATCTGTATCTTTTTGTGTTTCAACGAGTGTATGTCTTTCAACGAAGCATACAATCTATTAATGTTCAAAGCATTTTTCATTTACATGAATAGATGTTATCCATCTCAATTTCATATTGTCTCTTTTTGTCTTTTCGTTCTAGTCTAAGTTACATCCCTGATTAGGGGCATTGGTAGCCTTGTGGTTGGGCTAGTGGACTCATATTCGTGACATTGCAGGTTCGCTAGTTCGAGCCTCAGTTTGGTCCAACATTGTGTCCCTGAGAAAGGCTCTTAACACAAATTTCCCACTGGGCTCGGTTCTTTCAGAGATGGAAGTTCAACTCTTAAATAACCTAACAGTGTTGAAAGGAGAGTTAAACCTATACCATTTCACCATTTTATTTCACACTCCTCATAAGATCATTCAGGAACACAAAACACATTGAAGCTGCCTGACCAGGTCAACCTGGGCTAAGCAGGATTCAGAATCCTAACGAAAAGATGAAGATACTTCATAAGGAAGATTCATTTTCTCCAAGCAATTATGGAAGTCACATTTTCTGCATGAAAATACTTTTCCTTTTTAAACTTAAGTTAACCTTGTTTTGTCCCTTCTCTCAGGCAAAGCAAAGGCTTCAGGGAGAACTGAGAGAGCAGCTGCGGTCAAGGATTGAGTCGTTGGACGAGCACCACGCCAGCCTGGAATGTGCTCGAGAGTACTCCGAGTTGTCGGCTAACGAGGCCAAGGTCGTTCTCACCAGGAGCGCTCTGCTGGCCGGAGACTATGATGCCCAAGTGAGCTGCTCCTTTTTTTTATACAGAGTGTCTTGGTCATTCAGTTTGTTTATATCGCTATTTATGATGCTGCTATAGTTTTGAAAAATGGAAGGAAATATTTTTTTTTACTTTCTTAATCAGAAAACAGTTTACAATGTCATCCAAGATTGAAAATTTTTATCACCATGTTTCCTCTTCTTAGCGGGACGAGCGACCCTCAAGGTCCATTTTCTATGTTTGTTGCCCAAGATCAAATCTAAATACTCATATAAGTTAGGCATAGAAAAATTTCTTGAGAGGTAGTTTTCTTCTTGCATAGCTACAACGGTTTCTATGGAAATGGCCGCCGTCTTTAAAATAAACAGTATTTCAAATTCTTAAGGCTTTTTTATTTACTCACCAAATATAGCCAAATTTGAAGCCTTGCTATTTCTAGAGAAAGAGCTGGTTGACCTTAAAAAATCTGCCAACATCTCAATTTGTATAGTTTGACCTAAAATCTGCCAAATCGAGGGTTGCTCCTCCTGTTAAAGAAATTTGAATTAAAAATGGTTCTGACATTATGTGGTGAAAGTTCTCAGTGAAATTCTGTGCCTGATCTCTTCTGTTGTATGTCCCACCCCTCCCACACCTTCTAACCACCCCTCCCACTCCCTCCAACCCGTGCAGCTGTGTGGCGTGTACAGTGATGCGGCAGATGCTATGGGCCAGGACTCAGAGCTGGTCCCTCTGCTTAAACAGCTGATTGCTCTCCTGGAAGCCGGAGGTCCCTTCTACCTGTCCTCCGAGCTGCTCAACTTCATCAACACAAACTACATGGGAGGAAAGGGATCAGAGATCACCAACGTTAATGTTTCAGGTGAACCTTTGCACACATTAAAAGATGAAACTTTTTTTTAAAAATCTGAATTATATATAAAAAGTGAATATTTGTCAAAAAGTATTTTTTACCGCTAGTGAAGTAATGATTGAAGACTGCTTTACCCTTTGAGCTCTCACTGCAAAACTGCCTGTATGCCTTGCCACCCATACAACAGTGAGCGAGACTCTGTCCCCAAACCGGCTTTCCAGAGACAAAACTAGTGTGGGAAACCATTTTTACTACACAGGTCATTACTGATTGTTTTGAAGATCTCTCTGAAGTAAATGCTAGTAATGATGTGGACAACCAAGAGTGGGATATGTAATGTGATTCTGACAATCACATAATTGTTAGTAATATATCGCCCAGGAGTTCTGGCAGAGGGGCACAGTAGCATCAGGAGGTCAGGGCTCCAAGGGTAAAGGTATGTTGTATATTTTGATAATTGGTAATACATTTCAGAAGGATCTTTAATAATTTAATGTTCCCTTTTTGAATTTAATATAAATCTATAAGTATACCTATTGCCATTTATGTATTTATATGCTGTAGAACAATGGGATATGGTAAAATTATTATACTTAAAGGTTTTTTTTATATTGTAAAGAAGAAAAAAACGACACTTCCCCCTTTTTTTTGGTTTTTACTTGCTTTGGCAAACTGAAATATTTAAGTGAAGGAAATATCAAAGCTTCCATACACCTTGGTTAAAACTCACTTTATCTGTTCTGTATAGGAGGTGGTGTGAGTGGCAGACAGACACATACCTTGAAGGATGTGGATAAGGACAGAGACAGTAAGAAAGTAGAAGTGTCCAATGTGCAGAGTGGCTCTCCTCGTACAACGGACTCTGGCAACTGGGCTGGAGGGGCCATTGCGACCGCCACTGGCACTTCAGGTGTTGTTGTCATCGGAGATATGTCCAAGACCAAGACTTCTGGCACACTAACGGATGAAGAGTACAGAGATAAAAAGAAGTACCTTTTTGAGAAGCAAGCTTATGAGGCAGCTAAACTGGAAAATGATATGCACTCTCAGGAAGTGCAGACTTTTAACGAAGCTGTTGAAGAATTTGAGAATAAGAAAAACAACGTGTGCAACGAGATGACAGATGATTTCAGTGAGAAATTGCGACAAGCCAAGACAGAGGAGGAGAGAGAGAAGATCATGGTGGACTACGCAGCCAACATGAGCCGTCTGAATGATGCTCTGGAGAAACAGAAGCAGTCACATCTGGCTCAGCTGAGAGAGAAGCTGCTGGACCGACGCCGCAAGAAGAGAAAGGATCTGCACAACACTCACATCGCTGAAGCTCAAGGTGAGCAGTAAATGAATTATGACTGGAGATGCTTATGACATGAACAAATATGAGGCATCGTGGTGAAATCAGGCGCTTGTCAACATAATCGAAGTGAAGAACTGGCATTTTTCCGCCAGTTCGACAACTTTTATCCAATTTTTGTTTTATGGCTCAACATCTTTTATGTCCTTTTAAGAACACATTTGTGTGTGGGTTTTACTGAAAAACGTTGATTTATGGCACAAAAAATGTAAATTTTCAGTTTTCACGGACTCTCAAGCTGAGGAAATAGCTCATCTTTGGCAGCCATTTTTTCGGTAATTTTACCTCCGAGACCAGGCGACCCCCACCTCCTTCAATCAAAAATGTGTCAACCTGTATTCAAGATAAATAGATTTTTTTTTCATTGAAAGCAAGACAAAAGAAAAGCTTTCATTAAGATAATACCTATAACTCCACATGGCCAAAAACTGACAAGTGCCTGATTCCACCACGTGGTAACACAAATTGTTTGAAACAGTTGCTTTTTTCATTTTTGCCACATCCTGTATAAATTGTTTTCTTATTGAATTTTTCTTATGGGCTTGTGCAATATAGGTTAAATATTTAGTCGCAGATATTTACAAACCACTAGAAAAGACTTAATGGATGGTTTTAGAGAGTATAAAGTGTTGGTGTTTTGGTAGTCCAGACATTGATGGCTTTGGGATGGCAGTTGTGCTAATGTCATGATGAACACAGTATTTTTGCGTCTCATGAAACATTGAAGAGTGTCACATAAGTAATTTCTGAAATTATTTCACTATACAGCCCTCAACTATTGGAAATGTGCTTTAGTTATAGATTTTTTGGTATTTGATAAAATTGCATTATCCCAAGGTAATTTTTAAACTTTCCGAAAAGCTAAGAAGACTATATTGTGTACCTGGCCACGAATACTTTAAGAATTAGTTTATATTTCAAATCTGCAAAGATTGTTGTTTTAGCTGGTAATTTCCACGGGTGTAAAAATGTCAGTTTTAGACAGTAGATTGCAATCTTGGTTATATCTATGTCCTATACTGTCAGCACATAATGATACCCTTCCTCTCCCTACTTCTGCTGCTTTGTTTTTCCTCATCCTTACTGTTGTCATTTTCCTTTACTTCTTTTGCATGTTTGTCACTCTCTTGTGAACTGCTATTTCTTGGGTGCCTTGATAGTCGAAGCAGACTTTGTGTTGCTGAGGCTAGAGAGGTGAGCAGAGTAAGCCTGATTCCCTGTTTGGACGTTTCTGTTGGCATCCACCCCTTGACGCTCATATGACATTATGCAGTTAAGCGCCGTAAAACCTTACTAAAACAATCAATCACCCACTTTAACCTCCCAAAGATGTGCACAGTTCTTTTGACTATTGCATATTCTGTCGTGTACAGCCCATGGTGTCCCGGCGGACGAGGTGCCAGACATCCAGATGCTGTCCCATGACGACATGGACCACCAGCTCAAACTTCTGCAACAGGAGCAGGAGAAGCTCAATGCTGAGGTCAGGGCTCATCAATATGTTCTTTGCTTGATAACGATTTTTGTGACACAGGACTTTTTGTTGTCTTGGAAGGGATTTATAATGTAGCTGACAGCATTTACCAAATGCGGTTGTCAGAAACTTGCGTTTGTAGGATCAGTATCATGTCCTTAAGTCAGTAGCTGTTCTCCATTACAAGGCTGTGTCTAAAATAAGAAGAAGAAAAAGAAAAAGAAGAAGAAGAAGAAGAAGAATTTCATTTATATAATGTATATCTAAGTTCTATGCGTTTTACAACAGACCCTCTGAGAACACTCAGAAACATTCTTGGCTTCCACGGAAGCGTACAGTGCAAGCTGCGGATTTCACACACTTAAACACTAACAAACTGACAAGATTGTTCACTGTCTATAACCGGATACCCATTTTCTCCTGGGTGAAGTGAGGAAAATTTGTGCAAAGTTCCTTTCCCAAGGACACAATGTGGCACACCTACGAGATTCAAACTCCCAACCTTATGGCTGCTAGTCCGAGAGCCTAACCACTAGGCCACCGATGCCACACTAAACAGCATTGTTTAAAGTTTGGGATATTATCAGTGATGGGGTCCAAAGTTTTGGTGGATGTAAGTAGATGGGGAAGTGTCCTCTGTTAACCCTTCCAGCCTTAGCCATTTTTGTGCACTCCCTAACCCCCATCCCAGCCTATACAGCAATATTTCAGAAAAAGAGGTGTGCATCCTAAAAAGTGATGCAGTATATTTATAATGAGGTTTAGATGATAACATATAACAATGTATAAAGGTAAATGAAAAAATGTTTTGAAAATTAAAGTTTAATTAATTTCGCTAATTTAGAAAAATGCACAACTTCTGAACCCCCGAAACTGTGAATATTCGCTCTTGGGACAGTGGGAGGTACAAGCGCTGCTGAAAATATACACGCATGGAGCTGAAAGGGTTAAGAAGCTCTGCTCAAAAAGTGCAGAAACATTCAGAGATGAAAATTTCAAGAACTTGGTAAAGGAAAAGCTTGGAGTTGGGGAGGGGTTAAAGAGATGATATATGTGAAATGTTTTGGGGGGTTTTGTCTTGTTCATTCTTTGTCCTCATATTGTCCCTTTTTTCTTTTTCTTTACATCCTGGTCAACTCTAGACAAAACTAGCAGCAAGTGACAACCTGGAGGCAGAGCTTGATCTTGACAACAAGAAACACCTCAACGATCTAATCAAGTCCCTGGGTCTCAGCAAGAGTCAAGAGGAAGAGTTCCGGAAGGCTCTAGAAAGTCAGGGCACCTCTCGAGACTCTGCCCTGTCCTCTGTACTGGCAAAGCTGAGGGAGAGACAGGGTAGACAAACGGAGAGAGAGATGAGTGAGGACGAGTTGGCTTTGTTGTCTGAGCAAGAAAGGGAGGAGGCCAGGGAGAAAATGCTTGCTATGACAGAGGCTGACAGGCTCTCAGAGGATATGGCTCTGCTGAAGGCAATGCAGCGGAATGAGAGGGTATGTGTTGGGAACAGGTTGGATAAAACTGATATCAATTGCCCATTTTATTCATCATATGTTTTATTGTAACTCTGATGAGTTCTTGATGGCTGGGGGGGGGAGGAGGGGGGGTTTCGAGTACTAAGGGATAACATGAATATCTCCATGTAATATCAAACTTTGACAGTCTTTCTTGTCCTGAGGATGTAGAGGTTTTCCTGCATGAAAATTACTCTTGTCTGGGTTTTGCTCAGAGTTCTTGCAATATAGAGCCCTTACTCATTAATGTCTTACTTAGTAGAGGGTTTTACGGCGCTCGCAACTGCATAAGGTCTAATGAGCGCCATACTCATTAATGTGAAAATGAAAAGCCTTTTTCCTTTTATCTTATCATCCTGGAAGATAAGATGAGATTTAAGTTCAAAGATTTGTGTTTTTTCCCCTCCACTTGTGAGGCAGCGTGGTGAAATCAGGTGCTAGTCAAAATAATAGAAGTAAAGAAACTTACACTTTTCCGCTGGTTTGACAATTTTTATCGAAATTATGCTTTTTAGTTCAACACCTTCTATGTCCATTTAAGAACCCATTTCAGTCTGAATTATATTGAAAAACGTTGATTAAAGGCATAAAAAATATAAATTGTCAGTTTCCATGGAATCTGAGGCTTTGTAAGTAACCTAAATTTGGCGCCCATTTTCTTACCCATTTTACCTCTGAAACCAGGCGATCCCACCTCATTCAATCACAAATATCTTGACGTGTACTCAAGATAAATGGGTAATTTTTTCATTGAAAGCAAGGCAAATGAATAAGCTTTAAGGTGATACCAATATCTCCACATGTCCAAAATTTGACAAGCACCCGATTCCACCACGTCGTGACACAAATTAGATGAGTATTGTTTTTCACGCAAGGATTTTGTGTATGTTCTCACTGAACTTCCAGGAGCAAAGACGGCAGGCAGAAGAAGCCGCTCTTCGAGAACTCCTCAAGAACGTCAATGCTGAGGAGAAAGAACGAATTCTGTCCCAGTTCAGTCAACAAGAGAACCTGATGCAGGCTCGCCTGGAAGATGAGAAAGAGGCCACCAGGGACAAGGTCAAGGCTAAAATTGCTGCTCGGAAGCGCATGCGAGAACAGCTGGGCAAAGACGAAGCAGTCGGCAAAGAACTTGATCGCATGACCAAGACTCACGTGAGTTGTTGCCTGACATTGAAGTGGTCCTATGAAAGTTTTTGTGAAAAAGTAATTCTCTTTACTAAAACAGAAAAACTTGGTCTTACAGCCACTTGTAGTCACTGTTACAAAGCATGATTCTCTCTTGCTTAACTTGCGGTCATTGTTACAAAGCTTAACTCATTCAATGCTGAGTGCTCTAGCAGTGACTCCCCTCATATACTGGGCAGTTTTTTATGGCAACATGAAATTAGGTCTACCCAGGAAAATAAATCCAAACTAGCGGGCTCTATGGCTGTTTGAGCAGAAAAAATTGTTACCTTGACCTTTCCCATAAATGCATCATAATTAGTTCTACTAACTTGGTATGGATTAGATAGAGTAATTCTATAAAGATAGTGAGGCAGAATGCGAGAATACTCATCGCTTGTATGTGGGTGGGGCGCAGGTTTCGCAAGCATTCTCGTCCGTATCATTGAATGAGTTAATACTCCCTCTCTCGCTGTCTGCTCCCATCAGGCGGCCCGTGATGATGCGGAGGCAGCTGAGCTGATGACCAACATCAGTGAGCAGCTCCACGGGGAAAAACAGGAGAAGCAGCATCGCGCTCTGGTGGAGGAACAGATGAAGAAACAGGAGGCCTTGGACCGGGAGTACGCTCAGCGTGAGCGCGAGGCTGTCCGTGAATTGGAGGCGGAGCTCAGTGGACAGAAGGACCAGGTGGACAGCGAGATCAATCAGCAGCTCAAACTGGTGAGGGAAAGTGATAATTATCATCATCATAATTGTCATCACTAGCATCGTCATTGGCAATATGTAGCTCTAACTGGTGAGGGAAAATAATCATCGTTTAAAGACAATGTTTTAAAATTTCCCTCTGGGATAATAAAGTATTATCTTATCTTATCATATTGTCTTCACTAGCATCGTCATTGGCAATAAGTAACTCTAACTGGTGAGGGAAAATAATCATCATCATTATCATCATTTTAAAATGTACCTCTGAGATAATAAAGTATTATCTTATCTTATCTTATTCTCTTCATTTGCATCGTCATTGGCAATAAGTAGCTCAAGCTGGTGAGGGAAAAAAATAATCATAGTCATCATTTCATCACTAGAATTGTCATTGGCAATAAGTAGCTCAAATAGAGAGTTGAGAAATTTAAATGCAAAAATGCAAATAAAAGTAGTCATCATCATCGTCATCATCTCCCAATCTTTAGGCCTTCTTTGCAAGTTATCCTTATTCAATTTTTCACTCAATGAAATTTCTCAAAGACATTTTTGAGTGTACTACATCTCTGTCTATTTGTCTTTATATAATATTGTCTGTTTTAGCTGCATCTAATGTACTTTGAAGTGGTTTGGGGTATTTGAACTTTTAACTGCAGTTGCTCCAGAGTCCTGCTGGAGTATTTTTCTTTTCTTTGTAGTCTTGATTATGTTATTGGTTTCTGAGCACCTTCTTTTGGTTTGTTTCTTCTCTATTTATTTTTCAGTATTACTATTGTCGCTTTAGGAAAAAGACAAAGACAAGACTATTGTCGTAATCTGTATTGGACAAAACGTCATAGCTGTTGTAATGACTTTAAGCACATAGAGCCTGCTGTGGAGTGGGAATATGTGGTATACTAATGCTATTTATTATTATTTATTATTATTACTTGCTTGGAACTATGACTTAGAAACAAACCTTTAACAAAAGTAGGCTGCACCATAGTATATTCCAAGTCACTAAAAGCACACTGTTAACTTTTTCTAATGGAGTGACAAAAGAGTACATCTTTAATTCTTATTTTATGTTGTTGTATTTTTCTTTTTTGACTTATACTGATGGGCTTTCTTGTATTACGGTGCACAGGTGCTGGACAACCATCAGGCCAAGTTTGACCGCGAGGTTCTCCTGCACGGCAACAAACTGTCCCAGGAGGAGTACAAGAAGCTGATGGAGAAACACCAGCGAGAGCAGGAGGCCATCGGCCGGAACATGCAGGCCGAGCGGGAGAAGCAGAAGAAGGCTCTGGATGAGAAGGTCAGAGAATTTGACTTACTCTGGCTTAACACTGACAGTACCGTCAGCGGCTTTAATCGCCAAGCCGTAATGTCGCTCACTACCAGTGGTCACTTTAGTCACATTCGCAACCAGGCACACTAAAAGAATTAAACAACAAATGTACGCACTGCACTGCAGTAAATACCAAAGGAAGTCACTCTATATGATAGTTGAATGGTTCATGAACCTCTATGAATTTTTAAATTGTGTTCCTTGGGCTGCCAAGGTTTTTTTTTATTTTAAAAAAATCTAAGACGGCGTAGCATTCTAAACTGATGCGGTACTCAAGGGTTTTTCACTATATGAGCCTTCAGTACTATAAGTGATGTTGTCCAGTATGGATGATTGACAGGTTCTCTCTTGTCATGCTGAGCCTTTTCAAGTGTTGGGCTTCTTACGTTTGGAGTCTTGCTGTTGTCTGTGACTTCTGTCTTCACATTAGCTTGTAATACTTAGAAGAGCAGAGAGAGAGAGAGAAAGAATGAGACAGGCAGATAAAGTAAGAGACAGTGGACGGACACTGAGAGTGAGAGAGTTGAGGAAGAAAGGTGTGCATGTACTATTTTGTGCAGTGTGTTTCATGTACGCAGGATCCATGTATTCAGAAATGTATACATACTTTCATCTTTTCTCTAGCCTATCCATCCTTTTATCATTTGGCCATTATCATGTTGAATTGATGTCAACTTCAGCTTAACATTATGACTTTTTTGGTACTTTTCTCATTCTCAGTCAACTGTCTCTGGTGGGCCTCATGACGTGGTCTTCTGGGTTTTTTCCTGTTTTTCATTATTTTAATTTGTTAAAAGTACTTTGTTCTTGGTGGCTTGCGATCATTATTATGTGGAGCCATTGACCGCAAATCTGTTGTTCAATCCTACTGGGGGTGGTTGTTGGTGTGGTTTACCCCTTCTTTCCTATCAAACATCTATCGTTATTATCTCCCTCCTTCCTTTTTTTTTGTATGTTACTCCCAAGTAACACGTCTAAACTTTAGCACTTACATGTGAAGTGTGCTGACAAAATAAGGTACTTGGAAATCGCTTCATCATGCTTACAGGTAAAGTTTTCCAATTTATAAGTATGAAATAATAAAAGGCATGTTATATTTAAAGAATATGGCATCAATAGAAAATCTACAAATTTAACCCTAGTGTTGATTTTTGGCCAATATCTCCATTTGTGGACTGCGAGAAGTAACTCATTTTGTCAGCACGTCTCACATGTAATGTATTTGTGTTGGAAGTGCCATAAAACTCCTTACTAAAGCTAAAATCCAAACCTCCAGGTGGCGGAGCGTAAAGCCAAGAGGACCCAACAACTACGTGAGGCACATGAGCTGGAGATGGCGGAGGAGTTGATCAAACAACAGCAGGAGAGGGACGGACTCAACGACAAACTGGCCCGGGAGGTGGAGGCTGCCGCCCTCAAGGACTCTCTTAAGGTTGGTCGGTTCATCTTGTAAAGACTGAAGGAAACGCTTTACCATTACTTGTGAAGTCAGTGGCCTAGTGGTAAGGCTACCGGCCTGGTAATCGTGAGGTTGCGGGTCCGGGGGTTCGAGCCCAGGGCCAACATTGTGTCCTTGGGAAAGGCACTTTACACAAATTTTCCTCACTTCACCCAGGTGGGAATGGGTACCCGGCCATAGACAGCGAAAGATCTTGTCAGTATGTTAGTGTTTTAGCCCCTATAAATGGCTGCTTGCACTGAGTGCTTCCCAGGAAGTTGAGATTGTTTCAGAATGCTCTCAGGTCTTCTGGGGTAATAGTATAGATTGTGAAAGGCATACAGCTTTGTGTTTAACGGGGATTTGCACTATACAAAAGCTATTTACGATTATTACTTCTACTTTCCCGATCCAGCGGCCATCCAAGTTCTAGCCCTGCAGCTTAAGAGAGAAGACAAAAATGTGTGTTGACGTCGTAATTTGATGCGACTGGCATAGATGTTGCAATGATGTAAAACAGACTGCGCCAACTTTTGTGGAAACGTTAAAATTTCATTTTATATCAATTGCGATTTAAGATAATTAATGAAGACAAAATGCTCACGTAATGTCAATGTTCTAGTTTCTGTAGTACCAGTTATTGTGCCCTCTGAAATCACTTTGTATCAAGACATTTGTGAGTATATGCTCTCTATATGGTACATTATATACTCTGGAAAAGGTTTCACCTAACATTTGTAGCTACTTGCATAACATAAATGTTTAGCTGCTTAAAGTTGAAGACTACTATCCAGCAACTTTTGAAAGTGCACTTTTGTTTCATGACGTTTAAAGCTATCAATGTCTGTCTCTCTGTTCCCAGGGCAAGGACGGCAAACAGGCTGAGAACATGATCTACTCCGTCCTGAGGCAGCGGCACACCAAAGAGGCCATCCATCTGGAGGAGCAGCTCGCCAAGGAGAGAGAGGCCGCGCTACGCAGGGCCAAGGCGGACGTTGAGAAGCAGGTAAAGAAAAAGTGCAGAAAATTAAACCTTTAGTTTATCTTGATAATTGTGTCACGACGCGGTGGAATAAAGCGCTCATCAATTTTAGGGCATATTGAGTTTATGGTACCATCTTAAAGCCTGTCCATTTGCCTATGAATACAAAACAAAGTATTGACGGTTTGAGGAGGTTGGGGTCACCTGGTTTCAGAGGTAAAATTAGTGAGAAAGTGGCCACCAAAGTTGAGTTATTTCCTTAGTTTGAGAGTCCGTGGAAACTAAAAGTTTACATCTTTTATGCTTTTAATCAATGTTTTTCAGTAAAATCCACACAGAAATGTGTTCTTTAAAGGGCATGAAACGTGTTGAGCCAAAAAATAAAAATTCTATCAAAATTCCCAGACCTGCGGAAAAATTCTTGTTCCTTGACTTTCATTATATTGACGAGCACCTGATTTCACCACGCTGCCTCACAATTCTAACCAATATGTACTGATAACACAACTTCACAGGCCAGATCATTTCTTCATGTTAAGGAGATTTCATGTCAAGGGAGGCTGTAATGCATGGAATGAAGAGGGGAGAAACACATATTAGGATTTGGTATCCTTTTGTGGGTATGAGAATTTGGTGTTTAAAGGCTTCCATGTGTAACAAAATCTGCAGTAGTACAAAAATAATTCTCAGCTTAAGATAGATTTAATTTTGTAAATCAGCAGAACAGTAGAATGTGCACAAATCTGGTTGTCTTTGGGGTTGTTTTTTTAGTTGTTAGTTTTTAAAACTAATTTTTTTTTTATGCTTTGCTTCTCAAAGGATGCTATTCATTTTGTCTCCTTCCTACTTCTTAAACAAAGTTGTATTCAGAAAAACTTGGGACAGGTAACACAGTTAGTAGTACTGTCCAAGCTTTATACATGGTTCAAAGACTGAACAGAAAGTGTTTTGAAAAGTATCTTTCAATTTCAAAGCAAGATAACATTTTCATTTGTTTGTCATGTCTTTCCCTCTCTCAGAGACAAGAAGAACGAGAGAGACTGATGTTCAACTTCCAGCAAGAAATGCTGGACCTTATGGGCAATGCTGGCTCTTTGCCTCATGATGAACTGGAACTGAAGAAAGAGCAGCTCAAGATGCAACAACAGGTGAGGATTTGAGCATCTCTCTCTCTCTCTCTCTCTCTCTCTCTCTCTCTCTCTCTCTCTCTCTCTCTCTCTCTCTCTCTCTCTCTCTCCTCTTTCTTTCAACCTCTCTTTCTCTGTCATTCTTTCTATCCTCTCTCTTTCACTGTGTCCTTCTCTCTCTCTCTCTCTCTCTCTCTCTCTCTCTCTCTCTCTCTCTCTCTCTCTCTCTCTCTCTCTCTCTCTCTCTCTCTCTCTCTCTCTCTTCGCTGTTTCTGTTTCGTTGGCTCCCTCTCTCTGTTTCTCTCACCATCTTTCTCTCTCCACTTTCAACCTATCTCTTGCTCTCTCTCATATCTCTGTGTCTTCCTCTGTCTGTCTGTCTGTCTGTCTGTCTGTCTGTCTCTCTCTCTCTCTCTCTCTCTCTCTCTCTCTCTCTCTCTCTCTCTCTCTCTCTCAGTGGGAAGTATTAAAAAAAAAAACTCGTTTTTTCCCACTTTCCACAGAAACAACTGAAGGATTTTGATGAGCTGTCACAGAAAATGACAGAGAAGGCTGAACGGGACCTGCTTCCTGAACTTGAGATCTCTGAGACAAATTCAAGGCTAGAGCTCAAAGAAAAGCAACTTCAGGTAAAGTAAATGCAAGGTGGTTACTTTCAAGATGAAAAGGACTCTGTAATTTTTTACTGTTTTTTGTACTCCATTGCACTTAAGGTAATCTTGGGAAAATAGTATGGAACTTTTTATGTAGTATGACAAAATTATGAGAGATACTTTTATTGTAGTCTTTCCTTCTGATGCAAACATTATTTACAGTATGAAATTCCAGGAAGAATACTTTCTTTACTCTATTTTCTCCCATAGGACCACCATAATGTGAGTATATGTCTTTAAAAGGCTTAACTGTTTTCTGTAGGGAATATAATCAGAATGTGTTTATTAACACTTTGCAGTCACACAGCTAGCAGTACAAAATACCCCATCTGGTCATCCAGCCAGGAGAACGTCTGCAACCGACTTCTTCGGCCTGGTGGCGCAGAAATGCGCCAAGTGACTGGAACGGATAATTTTCACCGGCGCATTATTGCGCCAAGTGACCGAAAAGTGTTAGATAGACTTTTTTTCTGTTCAGGACTCTTCTCTTGCATTATTGACACTTACCCACTGCGCTTTGTATAAAAACCTCCAAGTTGACCTGCTTTAGTGAGTTAAGTATCAACCACCTGTACTCAGAGCCGCAAGCATTTATTCCTGCCTGTCTGATAATCGGAAAAATTTGAAACGTGTTGGCTATCAGGCTGAGACTTTAACTCCTGCAAGCTGCTCCCAGCGGCTCTTGGTTGGAACCATTGTGCTGTTAAGCCGCTGGCAGCAGTTCGGACATATTCCTTTGCAACAACTTCACCATCAAATTAGATATCATATATTGGGATTTCCTTTACTAGTTGAAAAAGTATCAAAACAGGTTCACTTGTTTTGATTTAATGACCAATTTAGCTTTCGTGATTTTTAGATTTAATATTAAAAAAAGGGCCCCAGCATAATGGATCTACCACCCTCGAAGATAAAGAGTAAAAACGCCTTTCCATGGTGCAGTTTTTTAGACTGTGAATAGTCCACACTCTATGTCATGTATTGACCATCTTTGCTCAATCTTTTCCAGGAACTTGCTGAAGCCATGAAAAAGTTCTCACCAGTGGATGAGCTGAAGAAGAAATATGCTGAGGATGCCAAGAAAGTGAAAGATGAGCTGGAGAAGTTTAAAAAAGATATCATGAACAAGATGCAGAAAGAGTTGGAGAGACGGAAGGAGGAACAGAAAAAGAGGGAGGAAGAGAGGAAGCAGAAGATGCTGCATCAACTCAAGTACATTTTTTTTTAATATGTCATTTTGAGGTTATGGGAGGGGGCGCTATAATTTAGAAGGGGTATTTTGCAGATATTTGAGAAGGGGTATGAGGTAGATTTTGATAAGAGGGTTTGTTTTTACAAAGGAATACTATTTATTTTTAAGTGGATAGGGCAGGGGAGATTTTCATTATTCTTTTGTGCTCATTTTTAACTGAAGTCCAAGGTGACAGTCTTTTTCCATCAACCAAAAGATTGCTTTCCAGAGTCTTGAGCATCTGCACAAAGTGTCTGTACCAAGTTGCAGCAAAATATACCCATAGATTAAGAAAATTCGAATGATAATAAGAGGGAAAACAGAAAATTCCATCACATAGGTTATAAAAGCGTTACTGATATTACCATTTTATAGTTTAATTATCTGCAGTTAGTTTCAAGCATTTGGTTTTGTTTCGAATAAAAAGTTCTTAAGTCAGTTCTAAGCATTTGCTTTGTGTTTCAAATCTTAATCTTGTTTAGAACAAAAGCTGTAAACTTTTATACTATGCTGAGTGCCATATTTTGCTTTAAGTAAAAAAAATAGTGACATTAGATTGAAGATAGATTAGTCTTGATATAGGTGCCTGCTATTTCCAATGTGTTCTCCCGTGCTATTGCTGTTATATTTGTTCACCATGTCTGTTCCTTAGACAACTGGAGAAAGACTTGGAGGAAGATCACAAGAGGGAGGTTGAGAGACAGAAGGAAAGAGCAGCAGAGAAGGATAGAGTGAGGAGGCAGCAAACCGAGGAGAGGAAAAGGAGACAGAGGGAGGAGATAGAAAAGGCAAATGTGAACGAGGATGAGAAACGGAAGTTACTGAAGGAGCATGATGCTAATATGCGAAAGCTTGAGGTAAGTGAAAACTGGTTAGCTCTTTGAGCTTGTTAGACAAGAGGTGCGATTGTTACAGATGTGGATTTAGTACAAAGGAAGGAATGGAGGGTGGGGGGTTGTAGGTGTAGGCATTTAAATTAAATGAACAATACATGTTTTTTAAGACAAAGTGTACTGTGTGTGTAATGTTGGGTGTGGTGCATGAGAAATTTTTTCACTGTCATTTGACTTTAGAACTGCACGTCTCTAATGAAGGCGTTGATGTGGGTTTTTTTTGTCAAGCTTAACCCCTTGAACCCTGGCCACCAGTACACCTGTGATAAATACAATTGCCCAAATTTCTTACCACCAGTAGACCTCATCTCAATGTTTGATATTTAAAGTCTGTGTGTATCAGCCAATCAGAACAGCTGTACTACATTTACTTTGGCTAGGGTCTTGCAAAGAAGTTTTCGCCAATCTAGAAGTTGCAGTCATGCAGTTCGGTGAAAAATAAAATTACTTCTATAAATGTAGGCATTAATCTCTCAGGGGGTCAGGCACTGGGGCTCCTATTACCCTCAGGAGGTGTGGGCTCAAAGGTTTAAACTGAGCGGGTGGTTGGAGGGTGCTCTGGTGTGGTTTGCTCCTTCTTTCCATCAAACATCTATCGTCCTTATCTCTCCTCCTTTTTTGTGTATGTTACTCTCTTGTAACACATCTATTCTGCGGCACTTATAGGACCTTAGTGTGTTGCAAGTGCCGTAAAACTCTTACTTAAACTAAAAGGTTGAACTGACATATTGTAGCTCTAGAATAAAATTGACGTTGTGTTGTTATTAACATTCTGTTGTGTCCCAAGTTATCTGAACTGGAAGAAGAAGATATTTTATTTTTATTTTGTCTCAAACTGGGAATTCCTTTTATCCCCCCCCCCCCCCCCCCCCCCACCACTAGGGCAGTGCTACTGACTGAATTTGTCTTTAGGCCATTCTCAAAGGGGGGATATTAGCATGTTCTTATGCACAGTAGAATTTTTAATGGGCTGATTTATCAATGTCATGCTCATACTGTGCTTGAACAACATACGGGGCACTACTGCTTTTTCTCTTATGAACTGCTATTTCTGGCATGCTTTGATAGTTGAAGCAGACTTTGTGCTGTTAAGACTAGAGTGGTGAGCAGAGTAAGCCTGATTTGGGCAGTTTGGACTTCTCTGTTGACATTCACCTTGTGGCGCTCATATGACTTTATGCTGTTGTGAGCGCCGCAAAACTTTACTAAAACAAACAACTCTTATTTTTCCTATTTTTGTACAGGAAAATATGAAACAGGAGCAGGCAAGAACTGAAGCCTCACTGGCTGCAAAATTAGAAGCTCGCAAGCAACGGCGTCGTGGTGCGGCCATAGCTGGGGTGGAGAAAACGTCACAGCTTGACCTGGATGAAGAGAGGAGAAGAGAACTGGACATGGCTTCAAGCCAGGCGCTGCTCTTTGGCAAACTGAACACTAATGGCAAGCAAGGTGAGTCAGTGGGGAGGACAAAGAGAAGTTTGATTTGTCTCAATGGAAAATGGTTATAAATCTTTGGTTTTTTAAGATTTCATTCCATTGATCTCCATTGGAAAATTTGGGTTCCAGTGATATACATACATACGCACATAGATAAATACCAAGATACATACATACTTAAACACACAATGATACTGACAAATAATACACAATATCACATTAGTGTCGACAGTTTTATAAACATGCCATTGCTGGTTGCCACTGTGCTGCACCCATTTTAATAACTATGATATCGGCTAGACCATGACCACATCATGAGCCTTTCTCCCTAATTTGATATTCCCAGCATCTGCTCCTGATATCAAGGCAAGTGATCCAAGTGGGTTCGAACCTTCAGGCAATGCAGAACAAGACTGGGTGAATCTACTCATGATGTCCCCACTGTTCAAACAGATCAATGACCTTGACAATCTGCTCTCCAAGGCCACCACGACAACAGATGGTGCTGGTTTAGGAGACTTGGTTCATGGTGAGTTCATCTCTTTATCCCCAGACTGTTACATTTTGACAGGCTCTGCAGTAGTCTGGCTGCTTTATGTACTCTACATAGTGTCTAAGGAAGTTTCTGAAGATCAGATGGACAGACAGGATCACCAACGAGGAAGTATTAAGGAGAACGAGACAAGAGCCCAGTCAGAGATGAGGTAGGAAGAAGGTGGTGGCGATGGATTGGACATACTCTCAGGAAGTCAACCAGCTGCATAATGAGGAAAGTGTTGGATCTGAACCCACAGGGTAAAAGATTGAGGGGAAGACCATGTGGAACCTGGAGAAGAGTCACAGAAATTGATGTACAGAAAAGTGGGAAGATGTAGAATAACATCAAGCGGGTAGACCAGGAAAGGGAAAGGTTGAAAGAGTTTTTTCGTGGCCTATATTCTGATCTTGGGTGAGAAAGGCAGTGATAATGTACTGTCAAAAGTGTTAAAGAAGGTCACCCTTTTTCGAGGAGAGCATTGGTCATCTTACACAGTGTTATTATTACTTTAGAAATACACAAGGAAGAAAAATGAATGCTCAAATCTCTATGAATATAACATAACACTCATAACGATAACAGATAGTAATAGCGATAATAGATAATAATAAACTGAATTTGTATAGTGCAATTTCCAGCTCAACAGCAAGCTCTTTAAAATCTGTATTATTACCCAAGCAGGCCTGACAACATTCTGACTGAAACAACCTCAACTTCCTAGAAGGCATAAGGTGCAATCTGCCTTTTCACAGATAAGCTAAAACACTAAGGTACTGACAAGATCTTTTGCTGTCTGTGGTGAGGTACCCATTCACATCTAAGCGAAGTGAGGAAAATTAGTTTAAAATAAAGTGCCTTTCTCAAGGGCACGACACCAAGCCTGAGCCTGAAACCCCCGAAGCTACAACTTCACAATTATGAGTGAAGTGTGGTGACAAAATGAGTCATTTCTTGGGTTTGAACACTATGGAAATAGATACATCACTCTTATAGGTGAAGTTTTCATAATTTATAAGTGTGAGTATGAAATAACAAAAGGTATGTTATACGTAAAGAATATTGCATAGATTGAAAATCTACAAATTTGACCCTAGTATTGACTTTTGGCCAATATCTCCATTTGTGGATTGCGAGAAGTAACTCATTTTGTCAGCTCACCTCACATGAGTCCAATAGCCTAACCACTGGACTATTAGCACCTAATAACTATTATGTGAATTCTTTCTGAACTAAGGGTTTAGTTATATGGTCGGTCTTAAGGACAAGTGGGCTAACCCAATTTCGGGGGTTTCCAGAAATCCTGATCTTCACCAAAAGTGTGCATTGCCCTACATATAGGAGAAGTTTGGTTTCATTGGTGTGTATATTTATTGTTTGGTTATAGAGAAAACTCTCCTTATCTTTATAAGAAACTTAACAAGGGTCCAAAAACTATACCTTCGACTTTCTCAAAACAGCATTTTTCGTGATAGCCCCTTTGTGCTTAAAAGCGACTATACAAGGACCATGTCTTTATCCAAAGCTTTTGTTTATTTTAGTAGAGTTTTTCTGCGTTGGTAACTGCATAAGGTCATATGAGCGCCATTGGGTAGATGTCAACAGAGAAGTCCTTACAGGGAATCAGGCTTACTCTTCTCACCTCTATAGCTTCAATAGCACAAAGTCTGCTTTGACTATCAAGACACCCCGGAAATAGCGGGTCACAAGAGAGTGACAAACATACAAAAGAAGTAGAGGAAAAATGACGATAGTAAGGATTAGGAAAGAAAAAGCAGCAGTTCCCCCTATGGTGTTCCGGCACAGTATGAGCATGACATCGATGAATCAGCCCTTTTACAGTTCTACTGAGTATAAGAACATAATATTAATGTCCCCCCTTTGGGAATGGCCTAAAGACACTTCAGTAAGTAGCACCGCCCCGGGGGTGATTACCAAAGCATAAAGAAAAATAAGAAGAAGAAAATAAAATAATTTGTGTGAATTTTCCCTTAGGAGCGGACTACTCCCAGTCCTACATCGACGTGAAGGACGCCCAGTGGGTGTGTAAGGGTGACCTCTGCCCGGTAGATGTCAAGGCCATCACGTCGTCACAGTTCGTTGTGTACCGCTACGGTGTGTTCCTCATACGTCTGCTGCACCAGGTCATTGACACACCCGAGGTCACACTCCTGCTGGCTTCAAACCTGCCACCAAATAACTACAGGTGAGAGCTACCACTCCTGACAATCTGAATGGTTGGCTGTCCAACTGAGGCTTTTTTGAGATTACACAATACACTGAAAAATGCTGGTTTGTTTACTCCCTGTTTTTAACACAGGGATTCATTTTATCTATATGAAAAGTAAGTATTTTTCCCTATCTAAATTGTATTCATATCATGAAAAATGTTATATTTCATAGTTACACTCATATCATGGACAGAGCTCAGCTGTGTAAAACACAATGATATATTATTATATAGGCTAAATATTAAGAAAGGTGTTTGGAAGTCACTAAACTTTGATGGCCATTTTTTGGTGCTAATTTTACCCATGACAACTGGCGACCCCAGCTCCTTCAATTGCAAATATCTCGACTTTTATTTTAGATAAGTGGGGGGTTTTTTCCATGAAAAGCAAGAGAGATAAACAAGCTTTAACTCTGTAGACCCTGAGTTATTTCCACCATTTCCCTTAGTTTTTTTCAACGTCACCTAAACCTGGTGCACTATGTCTCATTATAACCCCAAAAACTTGCCTCTATCTTCTAAATGGCAGAAACAAAGACTTAGTCATTATTGATAAACTTGCTCGAGAATAGTTTCGAAAAACGCAAAAACTAACACTAAATGAAGCGAAACAGTTATCACTAGCACTGGACGCTCCCAGCATCCGATGGGGAACAGGTTTATTACTGCCGGACGCTACCAGTGTCCAATGGGGTTTAAAGAGTTAAGATGATATCAGTAAATCCATATGACCAAAACTTGATGAGTGCCCAACTCCAGCGTGTTGTGACACATAATATATTATACTCTTTAACATTTTAAACGTCACACATTTTAAGAGGGCGTAGCTCAAATGCTACACATCCAATGACTTTGAAATTTTTACACATGTCACATAAGCTCATTGTTGTTTGGGAACTGTACTCACTAGGGTGCACTGGTCTATCGTTTTGTCTGACGATGCCATTCACGGGGTTTTGATTTTTTGTCAAATACTGTGGAAACGTGTGGGTAACTTTGAAAACAAAAACTACACTAAATGAGTCAGAAAGAAATCACATCGTTGAAATGCTTCAGGTGGGCACCTGCTTTCGTTAGTCTCAAGAAGGTTCTACATGAACAGACGAACTGTGTATGTGGCACAGAATCACATGGCAACGATAGGCTCCCAAAAGGACAGACCCCTGTTCTTCTTTGTTTAAAAGATAAGAACCTTCGTGGTAGCAGCCTAGTTTGTCGCATAAAACTGCAGCCCCATCACGTCCAGCACAGACTTCACCGGGGACAGTGTCGCATGTGATGGCCAAGGCTAAATCAACCAAGTTCTCGAACCCAATTTACTTTTCTTTCAAAATCAAGCTAAAAGACAAGTATTCATGCATGGTAATGCACCTGCTGATAAGACTGCTTTGACAAATCAATTTCTCAAAACTAACAGCATTCCTTTCTTGCACCCATGGCCAGTGCATTCGCCAAATTTTAATCCAATTGAGCATTTGAGGGACATTTTAGATCGCGCCATTTGTGCCAGACCATGTCAGCCCGTACTCTTGCTCAGTTAGAGCATGCCTTAATTCAAGAGTGGAATATTATCCCTCAATAGACAGTACCTCGATTCATCCCATCTATGCGTCGACGATGTGCAGATATGACAATGTCAGATGTCATCACACGTTACAGAAAGCTGTCAATTTTCATTTAGACTGGTGACTGCAATAAGCTCAAAGCTGAAAATTAAATACATTCTTGACGTTGAGTTCCATGTGTTTTCCTTGCTGTAAAATGAATGCACTGTCTTATCTGAAATGTTCCTACAGGTTCGATAAGTGTTAATCAAGATATTGCCTGTAATATGAGGTGTGAAGTTAAAAATGTTAAAGAGTATATATATATATATATATGTTGAATGCTTTTTTTTCTCTAGCCCATTTCTATGATATTGACACCATCTGATTAGTAGAAATATGTGGTTATGGTAGTGTCCAATAGTGTCTTACGTCAATTGTATGTTGAATGTTTTTGTTATTTCTCGCCACAGCAACAATGCTTTCCGGAACTCTGTCTTCTACGAGCACACTCGGAATATTTTGTTTGTGCGCCACGAGAGAATGGACTCCATCGGAGAGTTTGTGATGGTCGTCGTCCACTCCCTGGCTCACATTCACTGTGGTGACATGACGGATGACAGAAACTCGCTCTTCTTGAGGCAGTTCTACAAGGTGAGATCTGATCAAGATCTGTTACTATTTAGTTGTGTGGGTTTTTTTAAGATAAAGATCAGATTAGCTTTATTGATATAGATCAGTTACTTTCCACCCTCCCTCTCCTCTTTATCCTACATCCTCTTAATCCTTCGTCCTCTTAGACGACTTTGTTCTTTCCGCTTCACACTGACTTATTCTGTCTTGTGGGTGGTGGTAGACTTCAAAGAGAATAGACAACCAAATGCCACAGCAAAATGATCATAAAGTTACTGGGCACTTTTATTTACAGGGAAGACCGAAAGGGTGTGTGTGAGGGGTGGGAGGAGAATATGGTTGAAAGGCATATGAAATTAATTTTTTAGGAAGTTTACTTTATATAGTAAAGGACTCCAGACAGAGAGCAATTATATTCTTAACATTCTGTCCCTTACCTTCCCCCTCCCCTCTGTCTAAAATATTTGTGAGGCATCATGGTGAAATCAGGTGCTCGTCCAAATTATAAAATCAAAGAAATAGACACTTTTCAGCCAGTTTGGCAATTTTTATCGAATTTTTGTTTTTTGGCTCAACACCTTTTACGTCCATAAAACAACACATTTTCGTGTGAATTTTACTTGAAAACGGTGATTAAAAGTACAAAATATTTAAATTTTCAGTTTTCAAGAACTCTCAAGCTTTTGAAGTTATCAGACTTTGGAAGCCATTTTGTCACTAATGTTACCTCCAAAACTAGGTAACTGGCCCCCACCTTCTTCAATCACAAATATCTCTACTTCTATTCAATGTAGATGGGTATTTTTGTTTAATCGAAAGCAAGGCAAATGATTTAGGCCTTAAGATGATACCAGTAACTCCATTTGCCAAAAAATTGATAAGCGCCTGATTCCACCATGTAGTGTACAGTTAGTTTTTTTTAAAGTTTGTTTTATACAATAAAGGACTCCAGGCAAAGAGTGATTATTTTCTTAACTCTCTGCCCCCTCCTTCTCTTCTCCCCTCTTTCTAAAATAATAAAATATGATTTGATAAGTGAAAATGTATAAAGAGAAAGTGAATGTTGTGTTCCTCGTCTCTCCCACCCAGGCTCTGAGGGTGGTGTGTCAGGACATGTTCTTCTCGCGCTCGCGCAACACACCAGCCTCGCAGTCTCTGCTGACACCGTCCGGGGAGTCGTCCGGCACACGCCCAGCCCTGGAGGAGGCCCTGACCGGTCTGAGACACCAGGAGGACAAGATGAACGTCATCGGTGAACTTATTGACCTCAAGGTGGACGGCCCGACCAGTGTTGACTATTCAAGTCAGGTGAGACAGAGAGTCCTTTTGAATCTTGGATGTAATAAAGATTGTAAAGCACATAGAGCTTGCTGTGCGTTGAGCAGGAATGTGCACTATACAAATGCTGTTTATAATTGTTATTATTGTTATTATTATTGTCATATGAACACACTCACTCACATAAACACACAATCAAGCAAGCTCGCATACAAATACACACCATATATCCACACAAACAGACTTGTATCATCTTCTAAAGTCATTGTCCGTATCAAGATAACGACACATTAACTGCAGCAACCTTTTTTCCCAGATGCTAATCTCTTTTTCTCCTCCCTCACCTTTGCTCAGCGGCTGTCCCAGAGACTGTACGGATATGAAACAATGGCCAGCAACGCCCGCCTCCGACAACAGCTGGCCGCCAGCGGAGGCTACTCCACATCTGGAGATTTCATCGCAAACCGCATGGCAGAGCTGAAAGGCTTAAGCTCTCCAAGACTGAGCCCAGGCAGAAGGTAATTGATTTATGCTGCTATGTCTGAAATATTAGAAATATTTACCAGATGTCCATCTTTTTGGAAATTTGTAGAACGCTAGAGAGCCTGGCTGTTTCTTGTGTGGTTGTTTACATTGTGGTTTGTTCACATATTTGTTAAGTCATTTTTGGATACAGACCTTCAAATTTATCAAAACTTGCTTTGAATAGGCAGTACCTGTAAGGTCCTCTAATGATTTGAAAGAAAAGAATTATTCATTTTTGTCATGGTACAATCTTTGTATGGAGAGGGTTTGAGTCACTGGTGAATTGTTCTAAGATTCATAGCAAAGATAAAAAATTCACAACTACTAAAGAACTTATTTGAAATTGGAAAGAATACTAGTAGGCAGTAATAAGATTATGCAGGCCTAAAAGGTGGCCTGTGGAAGTAAGAAAATTGATGTATTAGAACTGTTGAGCTGATAGCTTTTTTTGACTCCTCAAGACAAGAAAAGGTAAGTATTCACAAAACAGAAATGTGTCATGACGCAGTGGAATCAGGCGCTCATCAATTTTTTGGCATATAGAGTTAACTGGTACCATCGTAAAAGGTTGTTCATTTGCCTCGCTTTTGATGAAAGAAATATCCATTTATCTTGAATAGAAGACAAGATATTTGTATTTGAAGGAGGTGGGGTCGCCTGGTTTCAAAAGTAAAATTAGTGAGAAAATGGCTGCACACACGCAGATGCACACACACTCACACAGATGCACTCATACACACACAGACGCGCACACACACACGCGCAGGCGCACACGCACACACATATACACACACATACAACACTCGCACGCATGCACACACATATACAACACACACACACATGCACTCACACACACACACACACACAACACTCACACATATGCACATACACACACATGCACAGACACACACACATACGCATACAAGCTCACAAACGCATGCACACACACACATGCACAGATGCAGATGGACAGACGCACACACTGACACACACACACACGCACACACATATACAAGCACACATAAACACATGCACACACACAGATGCACACACATGCGCACACACACACAGAGACGCACACGTACACACACACAGGCACACTCAAATGCACACACCACCAACACATGTGTATATGGTATGCATGGTGTATCTGTGAAGACGTCAGAGTTTACCTCAGTGTATGTGACTTTTCTTCCCTTCAGCCCCAAGAGAGCCCGACCTGCCCCCATGATATCCAGCCCGCGAGAGGTCCTGGACTCGCAGATTGTTGCCCTGCGCAGCAAGACAGATGCCCTCAATCTTGACCTTGCAAAGGTAAAAGTTTGTGAATACGAACTGAAAATATTTCGGCCCCCCCACAACAGAATTTAGATATTTTGGAGGCAGGCTGCCTTGACAGTGGGCCGATAGGGCTATTATAGTATAAATTGTAAAGTGCATAAAGCTTGCTTTTGAGCGGGAATTTGCACTGTATAAATGCTATCTATTTATGATCTATTATTATTATTATTACTATCTTCCTACACTAGAAAAGAACTTGTGTTACTCGTATAAGCTTTACTTTCATTCTACATAGCGTTCCACAGGATTTTCCCTGTAAGGTATTTCTTGAGAATTTTAGGCACTATGACAAGAAGACCTAACGCAAAAACGCGCTCAGAAGTAGAAAAAAGAGCAACTGCAGGAAAGTCTTAAAGACTTTTTAAAGAGGATCATCATAACTGGATTTTCCAGTTCTATACTTCTAATATTGTAAGTTTATGTGACATAAATGGCTGACTAGTAACATATACAGTGGAAACCATAAATTTTTTATATAACAGGCCCGGCAATAACGGGGATTTTTTAAAACCCTGTTTTTTCCTACTTGTCTCTATTAAAAGTTATCGGGGCTCATCAGAGCCCAATCAGTTATAGCAGGGACAAAGGCTCGTTAACAAAGTGTAAAAAATAAGAGAAAGAGAGAGAGAGAAAGAGAGAAAGAGGAAGAGAGAGAGAATGATAGAGCAAGCTCACGCAAGCCACGCCACTGCAAGCACACACAGCGGGTGAAGCGAGAGAGGGCTGTGGTTTGCTGCAGACTTTGATCTAGCCCTAAGCCTAGCTACTCTCACACGTAATGTATCATGCACAGGCCTCCCACATAACCAAAACCCCTGTTCATGAGTATTTGTGGCAAGGGAAACTACCTATGAACAAATACAGCTGGATTAATCCACACATGCTTACTTTCCTTGCATTTCTGATTTAACAGGGATCTGATATAACAGGACTTTATCTGGTGCCACCATCCCTGTTATATCAGGTTTCCACTGTAGAGAATAGAAAAGTAAACCCATAGACTTTTTATACTTAATTGAATTATTGCTTAACATAAGACAAATATAACAATGAGTACCATATTTCAGAATATTACATACACAGTGTATTGTACACAAAGTGCTTTTTTAATGTTGCAAAACTTTTTTTTTTTAAATGTAGTTTGAGCTCTATATTAGATTTCACTCATTTCATTATACACTCTAACCCACAGGCCCTGAAGACAGAAGCAGAAGTCAGAGAAGGTCTGGAAAAAGTCGCGGAGGGATCTGACCAGGAGCGCTCACTGACTGACCGTCTGACCACTGCACTGATGAACAAAGAGCAATTAATCAAAACTTTGTCTATTCTGGAGGATGAGATTATGCAGAAGGAAAAAGCTGTTAAGAAAAAGAAGTAGGGGGTATGGGGCTTTATTAAAAGATGATGAATAAAATATTTGAAACATCTGTGATATTGATATACTGGAAACTAATTTGGTGAATGAATGCAATTTGGGATTTACTAGAAGTGATTTGTGGTTTTAAGTTTGCATATTGTCCCCTGAATTTGAGCCAGTGCCTTAAACAAAACAGAAATGTGAACATAGCAAGTACAGTACCCCTCCATTGCGAGTTGCACCAGGGCATACTTGGACAACTGAAAAAAAGATTTGTAAAGATTCAAGAACAATTAACATTTATTGAAAACATTTAGCACCTAAAGCTTTAAGTTAAACTTTTAAAGCTGAGAAAATGGGGTTACAATTTAAACATTTGTTTCCTGCTTGACTATTTCCTTCTTAGGTTTATTATGCACCTGTTGAATCCATAAATACTCTACTGTGATAACAAGAGCTATAATCTTACCACAAATGCTAACATTTGTTGTTGTACAGATTTTTGTTGTTTTGTATATTTTTACCTCACTCGGATTAAAGAAGTGTTTTATATGTCCAGTTTTGACTAAATTGTGCAAGTGTTGGCTGCCTGTTAATGTAATTTTTTTTTTTATCTCTACAATTTTGATCTTGTACAGTTCTACTTCTACTTGACGATGCCTTCAGCTCAGAGGCGACACAGATAATATACCTTTCATTTGTACGGAGAAAGTATGCAAAAGCATTTTGTAAAATAACAAAACCAGCTTTGCTTTTTGTCATTGTTCATATTTTCAAATAACAAGCTTGCATTTATTCTTTCTCTTATCTATGGTTTTCACAAAACATGAAAATGTTCAGTTTTTAAAGAATTTGGTTTGATTTTATCATTTAGGTGAGAATCTTAGTAAAAGTACTTTTATCAGTTATACAGGAGGTCGTCAACTCTAATATCTAAATGATACACAGGCATGACTGGACTTCAAGCTGCAAATTCAAAATGTCTGCTGCAGTTGAAAATTGTGTTACCATAACCTGGGTGTTGGCTCTGGACTTAGACTTGAAGATTCGACATTTTACCTGAAATTACACCACGATTTTTGCTTCTGTTGAAGTACTGTGATTATATTTTAACCGTTATGGAATTGCATATTAATATAATTTTACGTTCTCCTTTTTCATATTTTGATTATAAAACAGGGATTGGGTACACTTTCACACTTTCAAAAAAAAAGTTTTTTCTATGTGTTGAATTATTTTTGTCAAATAAGGTTTTGTCTCTAAGAGGAATATAATTTTCCCACTGGATTTTTAAAAATAATTCATCACCTGTTATCATAATCTGTCCTGGTGTTGTGGACTAGACTGGCTGTATATATAGGCCCTATAGTTTCTGTTTTGAGTCAAACTTTCAAAATGTTTGATTTTTTCTAAGGTAATTTAGTCTTTTTTTCATGAACTGAACAAACCAAGCTGAAAGAGTGAAGGGAAAGAGGTGGGGGGGAAAAGTTTGCTTTAATAAGGGGAATTTACTATTTGAAAATTTCCTTTATATTTAATTGGGAAGTTACCTTATATTCAGGATCCTACGGGAGTCTCACCAACAGCATTTTTATAACGTTAACATTCCGTCCATTGTAAAGTTTATATCCTCAAAGTATGATTGTTTTTTATTATTTTATAATATGAACTAATGAACAGCTCTTGCTATACTTATTATTAAACTGTGATAGATTTGCAAAAAGATTTCTTTCGTGTCTTTGTTGTGCATTGACAGCCTGTGCTTGTGTGTGGCATGTTCTGTGAGAATATATGAACGTAGATGTGAGAGGTATGTATGGTTGATGGGTGTTACTAGTGTAGTTAGTTTCTTCTAAATCTCTGTGATGTCACTATTTTCCTAATGTAGGCTGAACAAAAAGTAGCACTTTGGTGCTAAGTTATAACAGCTGAACATGTCTCATGCAATGAGTAGAACTGCTAACATCCATTGTTGTCTGTCTGTCTGTCTGTCTGTCTCTCTCTCTCTCTCTCTCTCTCTCTCTCTCTCTCTCTCTCTCTCTCTCTCTCTCTCTCTCTCTTTAAAAATAACGACACCTATCATCATTCGTAAATTATAATAAAGTACTAAATCCACCCACCACGTTCGTCATTCAAAAAACGTACCCACTCATTACTCTTTTCATGTGTCACTACGCGTGAGAGCCTGAGGGAGAACGTTCTAAACGCACCCCAAGTCTCCCCCTCCTCTCCCCCCCCCCCACCTTTCCCATCTCCTCCCCCTCCCTCCTTCCCCCAATCTGAATGTGCCCTCGGTTCTACATGATGACCGTGTCATCAAAAATAATTTTCCAACCTGTATCTAAGATCCCATTCCCCCGCCGTCTCTTATTGGGGGCAATTGTCTTGACCAGATCATTGGTTGAAAATTTTGTCGCTTCCTGCCTTCACGACAATTTCATTTCTCCGGGCTCCAAGTTCTCTCTTTCTACACCAGCTCATTAGTTGGGAGGACGAGAGGACAAAAACGCCCAGCTACCTTTTTCGACTGCTTCTTTTGATAATGATGCTAGGAAAAAAAAGTTTTCTTTCGTATCAATATGACGCTTTAAAAAAACGAAACAAGACAGAATGAAAGAAAAACTTAGGACGTGATGTATTTGAATCTGTGGAATAATTGCGGGTATTGCAACTGAGAAATGAGCTCAGAGGAAGAGATTGCGAGACATTAAATAAGAGAAATAGGGACGCCACGATTATGGACTGATACAGATAGAGAGAGAGAGTGGGGGGGGGGACAAAAATAGAGAGAGAGAAAG